ACAATTGCGACGACAACAGAAGCAAGAACATGATGAGCAAACCTTCAAACCCAGCTTATGGTATGCCGGAAGGTAGGTTTGAGGCAATGCGTTTGCCATTTTTCACAATGTCTATGAGATGCTTAAGATGTCTTTTAAACAAATAGTCCTGCTTTTGAACAATGCTTTGCTTTTGAACAATGCCTTCTTCTTGCCATCGAATGCTTCTAAGCCATCCTCTTCATTTTTAGATTCCTGTTCTGTTGGGGAGAAAATTCCAATGAACAACCGGTCGTCATCTGGCATATTTTGCTTGGATTCAGCTTCTGGAAGCTGTCAAGACACAAATCTATCGTCAAGCCATCAAAGTGCTTATGACGATGAAAGTTACTTCACAAATGATACTGAAGAAACTGAATCTAGCGAACTTGATTCGGAGTCTGATTCAACTGAAACATCAGACAGTGAAACAGAAAGCGATCAACACGCATCGTCGTCTGAGACTCCAGAATCCGTTGCTGAACACACATCAGAAGAAACAGAAGTCGTTAAAGCAAAGCAGATAGACATTTTTGCTGGTGAAACCACTGAAGAAACAGAATACGAGCCAATGCCTCTGTTTGATCCTATTGTCGACGAAGAAGAATCTGTTCAGAAGCTCCACGAGTATTTTCAAGTCCAAAAGCTAAATATCAACGGTTTATACAAGCCGGGTCCAATTGGATCATATGAGGTTTCTTCAGAAATCAAGGAACATATTGATAAAGCCGTTGAAGAAAATGAAGATACTGGTGTTAGTACTTTAGCAGAGGCCTCTTATCACTTATTACCTGAAGAAGATAGAGAATACAACAATGCAGCTGGCACAAATCAAAGCGGGTATGGCTTCCTCCCAATTCAATGGGAACAATACGATGAAGAGGTAGAAAAAGATGAAGAGGAGTACACAGAAAAAAGAACATTGAGCACGTATGACAAATATTCACAGGGTCAGCTGTATTTCAATCCTACGCCAATGGACGATATATTGGAAGAGAGTAATATTGACGTCACTGATTCTAAATCCTGCTGGGTATTCAGAAACATTGCTAGTGAGTACAACGCTGACACACTCTCTGCCATCGTTCCATTTGCAAATGAAATGAAAGAGGAAGAAAGAGAAGAATACGGGCTAAAAGGTAACAGTATTTTCATTGCTCTCTTACTAGCCATTTCCTCGTATTAAAGAAGCATATTCTTACTTATTCTTGTTGTTCGAAATCAAAGAGAGTTTCAAAGAGAAATTATGGGAGTTTCAGTCATGTATAAACTTGAAAGCTTAGTGTCGGACGGGCATCTGTTTTTAAAAATTCAATGTGCATAAAAAACATTTGTGTTAACAAAACCAATTTTGTTTCAATGCTTTGATAAGTTGATATCCTTTCATTCAGTTGTTGCATATTAATGGCACTGTAGACTGAAACTTGTTCTATACGATAATGTATTGATAAATCAATTTTTTCCATTCAGACTCCAAACCACTAAAGCGAAAGATCAAGGAAAAGTTTGCAAAGCTCAAAAGATTCTTTACAAGAAAGAGCAGAAAAGTAGCTCCTGAGCCTGAAGAGCAGGAAGACTCAGAGGAACCTGAAATGTTCTTGTTGAGATTTAATGGCGAATGGAACTACTGTTATGAGGATAAAATCCTAGACGAGGAAACAGGAGATGCGTGTATCGTTTCTATTGGACAATACGAATATCCGGACCATGATCACGTATGTGCATTTACTTACATTCGTGTTCTCACAGTGTCAATCATATTTTCCACTATCTTCATTATTCCTTAAATTGAAATGAAATTCTTTCTTTTATACGGCCCAAAGAAAACATTTTCAGCACTCGTTTTTGTCTGGTGCTTAAGAACGTTGAAGAATTATTGGTCAACATAAGTGGTTTTCTTTTTTGAGAATCTGGTACCATACCTTAACTTTACTTAGTCACAATCAAACAAAGTTGACAGAAAGCCTCATTCATATGAGACTGATTGAATCGTCTATGCACTTTAACCTTTCAACCAGTTTATTCATGTGAGAGATGTAAGATTGATGCACAAGCATTTACGAAATAATTGAAATCCTGATTCATGAAACTTTTCTTTAGTATTCAAATTTGAATATGTCTCAATTCGGCCACTTCTCCCATTCATTATCTTTTAGAATCTAAACAAATTATTACCTTTCAGATTCGCAAAAGAGTTGTAATGGACCCAAAACTGGGTACCATCGAAGAAGAGGATGATGAATTCATTGTTCAATAGTTCACCGCCATCGTTCCTCTAAGGTTAGTAGCCTAATATTTCATTTCTTCAAAAGGGGAAGCTATCATAGTTGTTGTTTGGTTGTTCATGTCAGATATGTTGCAAGTAGTGTAAAAGTTAGGCCCCTTAGTAAAACAAATTCTTTTTTACTACATTCAAACTTGAAGAAATCATTTTTTAAAGAGACAAAGTACCTATTTGCTTTTGCAACCCCGTAATGTCTCTTTGTAATACATATTAGGATGGAAAAATTGATATTTCAGTTTAAAGGGGCGAATCTTTAGCTTTGAAAATATCTCGTACCTGAAACCCTTATTATTTAATTTCCCGAAGTTGAACTTTATACCTTATCTTGTCCTCTCATGACTGTATAATTAGATTTATTTCTAAATGATTCTATTTTGTTTTATAGTGCTGATAAAACAGTTGAAAGCCGAATCAGAAAACAGAGCCAAGTTTCATTCAGATTTTGAAATGTGCAGAAAATGCAAAAGGACATCATTATATAAAGACTTTAAATTTCCAATTCCTTTTAATACCGATGAAGACTTTTTTGTTAGTCATTATGCTAAAGGATAGGTTCCATTCTTTAAATTGTACATAATGTTTGATGTTTATTAATGCGATTCTATATATAAAAAACTGTCATTTTTGCTTGTTATCTCGATATGAACTACTTAATATCTGAATGAACATTTACTCTTATTGCTAGCTACGAGCCAGTAATAATTTTAATGGAAACCTGACTAAGGATATCAGTGCTGCACTTTCGATTTTCATTTGCTTTGATTCACAGAAGAGCTTGAAATTGCTTCTAAACGTGTGTTTCCATAAGTTGCTTTGCAAGCTCTAGTTTTGATGCGGAATTTGAAGTAAAGGTGCGTGCAAACCAAACATATATCCATTCGTCATGAGATCCCTAAAAAGTATTTTCCAGTGCATATCTCCAACATATTTAGTTTTTTTAGTAAAAGACTATGCAGAAGTTTTCAATTTATCACAAAAAGATTGGAATATTCGTTCCAAAGGCACTTTTGTTTATTGCACACAATAATAAGCATGTATAAGTATTTTGATTGAAAAATGTTTCTTTTGATTATTGATTGCATCTTGATTGCATTTCACACTTTCAAAGTAACTTTAAAAAACTTCATAAGTTCTAAAACAAAAGATACTAAATGCTGTTGTTCTATCTGAGAAAGGCTGTTGAGTTGAGAAAATACTACTTAACATGCACTTCATCTCAGAACACGTTTAAGGACATGTCTAACCTCTGATGAATAACTAGAAGAAACAGCGAAGTGATTTTGAAAATTTACTCTCCTGTCTTTTAACAAAAACGAGTTGATATTTTACCAGTTGATCATCCGTTCTACTTAAAATTTCATGCAAAACTTTTATTTAGTGGCCTTAAAAAAAACAATTTATAGTATGTAGTAGTACGGAAATCAATGTTAAAATAATAACAATATTCAGATCACCAGAGCCTCAAATCATTCAAAAAATCAGAACATCTAGCCTTGAAAAAACTATTAAGTTCTTTTTTAAAAAATGCGTACTTCTTGGTGCATCCGAACAACATCAATAACCTGAAGCAGGGTGTTATTTTTCCAAAGACTTCCTGTAACCGCAATTTTTTGAAAAAATTTCCTTTGAAAATCATTAAGAATTTTTGGTTAGCATCTCTACAAAATACAATAAAAATAATGTCGCTTGAATCGATTAGGAGACACAAAAACGAATGAAGCGATTTGACGAATGGTTCTTTCCAAAAGCTACTATTATGTACAGACGAGATGGGTTTGTCGTGTTTTGATTGAGTTGCAAGAAAAAAAATTTGTACAAAAATACATCATATGGGAATGGAAGATCGGTTATTTATGTGTAATCTGTAAGACCCTTTTTCTTTAAGTCGGAGTGCCTGGTAAGTTGAAACGTTTAGCATAATCAAGTGAAAGCAGCAAGTACCTTGTTAAAGCTCGGAGAAAATTGCCGAGGAACAAGCTACACTTTTACTTACAGAAGAAGGGATAGACGCTAACGTACATCCACCTCTATAACATTGAGAGGAAGGGGCAACACTGCCAGAAATACTGAGTAGGGGTTGAAAGTGTTTTTAAGAGTGACAGTAGTTAATCAATTTTCCAATTGAGAGTTTAATATTCTATGAGAAAACAAATTGGGAAAGATGTGTATCATTAATTGAATTTAAAAAATGGAAATGTATTTTTTCAAACCAAGGGTGTAGAGCTACGAAAGGAACAGGGGCCAGTGGGCACTAAAATACAACCTGCACAATACCACTGTGCTAAACATAGTTTTGATCTTTTTCAATGTAATGAAATTACTTTACTTCGGGCTTTTTTATTCCTTCCAAATTGCCCAACTTCTTATGAAATATATAGACTATTAAATTGCTTATTCATTGAAAATTTTCTGTGAAAAAATATTTTAACTAAGGTTTTCTATGAACAATGGCCAAACGGTCACAGGGCCAAATAACGCCCCCATCCAAAGGATGTCAGTTTTCGGAGATAAGGGAATATTTTGGTTTTTTTGAATGTCAAAGAAAAATGACATAGTTTTCATCTGTGTAATTGAGCATGAAGTCGGTGATACACCCACCTGCCCCGCCTGTGACCCCTTGTTCCATATGACATACACCCACGACTCATGAGTCGGTGCTGTTGCTAGGCAATTTATGCCTTGCACAATTCAACTCAAATCCTCTAAGAATAATTATGTACACAAAACTAGGCCATATTGACGCGGCAAGAACAGTTTCAGTTAAAACTAACGTAGTTGGTCGTTTCGATCGAGAAGGTAACGCTTCACATATGAGAATTGCTCTATGTTGATAAATTTATCGGTTTAGCGAAACATTGCGTATTGTAGAGGACAAAGAAAGACCACTTCCATTCACGGTACGTTGTGTTTGCGAGGCCTCTCACAAGATTGTCATTCTTCAGCGAGTTCTTTTGATCTCTCACAATGAGCATTGCATAAATAATTGAAGCGTAATTAGTCTCCTTATTCAGAATGTGATTGCTTTGCTTTTGGCAAATGAGAAGAAAACTGCGTTCTTCTACCCTCAACAAACATCTCAGGAGGCCTTTAAAGCTTTCATGTTTGGGTATGCACAATTGTTAATGTTTTGTGTTTTTTGGGGGGGAAAGAGGATTAAGTTTAGTGTTTTACTTTCCTTTGATTCATACAGTCGTTTAGTAGAAACACGAATCTGATATTGGTTTATCTGGAATTTTGAAACTGGAGGATTCTAAAATAAAAGGCACGAGTGAAGTTGAAGCTGCAAAGGCATCCTTAGGGTTTTAACTGTTATTACACCATAGGCCTATCATGATATCAGATCTACTTCAATCCAAATTAGTTAACAATTAGAGCATTAGTTCACATTTTTGTGATGTGAAAAATGTCTTTCTATCAGACCAAATGTGCCTTAATTTTTTTTATATTTTTGCATTATTTCCAAAAAGCAATAAACTCTTTATTTTCCAAATCAAGATGGCTAACAGTGTAGTTACAAGGAGCAATATTCTTTGCAGTGATGTAGTTAGCCTTGATTGTACTTGGCTTGAACTTTAACACCATTATTCAGCATTGCTAAAGCATTTTGCCCAAGTAAATGAATAAGTAGATAATACAAAACTAACTAATAAAAACTAATATGCTTTTAAAGCAAAATGTGAAAATTGGAGTAATCTCAGCATAAGAATCAAATTTCTCAGAAGCCTCTAAAACATCCTACCTATTGGTGGTAATTACTCATTTAAGACTTTTGTTTTAAGTATGGTTACTTCAAGTTTTTATCAAAGTGCATAAACACAGAGATAAAATTGTATGTAGTCACAAATTTTCAATCAATAGTTGGTTTGAATACAATGAATTTTAACTACAGCCTTAAGATACCTTGTCATCATCCTGAAATCTTCTTTAATGATACACCCCCCCCCAAACTACATAAGCCTGTTATTAGATAAGTGGTGAAATGTATAAGATTTAGATAGATCTGCATATTTTTTAGAAAATAGGTTCTAAGTTGATGTGATTAGATTGGTTAAATTTAGGTTACCAAGATTAGTTGGTGCAGTATCAATCAACTTGCCATCAAGTGGTCAACTACTATCTCTACAAATTGGAATAAAAACAGATCAAAGGGGTCAATGGTATCAAAATCCCTTCAAGTTGTAATCACTGTCTGTTTTTACTATCACTACTTAATCCCAGTCTTCGGATCAATCTGCATTTTAAGAAAATACAAACACATTTTCTTTCCTTTATAGCATCGTTATACTTTTTGAACAGCCAGAAGTGAATTTTCTAAACAGGGTATGACCTTTCTTCCTTGGTGACTCCTTTGATTACTCAATATTGTGAGCATTTTCAAAGTTAATAATTCTCTTGACAAGGGTCTTCTTCAAAATTAAGTGTCAAATTTGCATCACTGAAATGGATGTAGAGCCTCCTACATTTGAGTACGAGTTAAATAATTTTGATTCATTTGTGCATAAAATAAAGGCAAATTGTTTTTTGTTTTTTATACATAATATAACTTTAAGACATCTGGCCTGGATTTAAGTTGCAACTTTGTTGAATTTTGAAGGTACAGCCACAGTATGGAAAGCACAATCATTTTAAAGAAATGCAGAAGTGGTCTTGGTATGTTTTTTATATCTACCTCAAAATAGATATCTTGTCCCCATTTCAATAAAGATAAGACTGCTATGAAGAAACGGTGAGTGTCATTCAAGTTTGGCACATTTTAGCAAGTTGTCTTCAGTAATTTTTGGATTATTTTTCAACTTTCATCTGCATTTGCATCAATTAAGAAATATAAATTTATCTAACTGTTAGGTTAATGGGGCCATAATAAAATGTTTTTTCTTGTTCTGGTAAACACTTCATTTCTGGAATGGTCATTCCTAAACCTAATGTAAAGTTTTTTTTCTTGTTTGAATTGTACCTGTTCAAGAGCTCTGTACCTGTTCTGCTTTAATTGGAAGTTTTTATTGTAAATCATAAAACAAAAAAAGTTTAAATCTTTATTGGCTTTGTAATTTGTCACAAGGAATGAAAATTGGTGGTGGCCAAGCTTCAGATGGTACATTTACTGGTATATTTGTGAAGAAGATATTAATTGGAGGGGCTGTTGCAACTGATGGTACGCAAATTAACATTTCTTCTTTTTTAGTTATAACGATATTTGCACTGAGCCAAATAACTTCTGATTTTTCTTCATGTAAATTTGCAGCAGACGGAGCTGTTTAAGAAAAACAGAATTAAGCTAAATCAAAACATTTTCTGATTCAAATATCTATATCTAATATCAGTGTTACTTACTAGATTTAATACATAAAATCAACAAGCTAGCTAGTGATTACAGTAACTGCCCCCATGTAAAGCCATTTTTTATTCCACAGGTACCTTGTCAGAAGGTGATGAGCTATTAAGTGCAAATGGAGAGAGCCTAAAAAACTGTACCAACGACCAAGCTGTATCCGTCCTAAGGAATGCAGCTCAAAGTGGAACAGTCAAAATAGTCTTTAAAAGGGATGCTGACTCCAGGTAATTATGTCTTTTAGTCAAAGAAGAAATTAGTTGATAAATCAGGTTACAAAATGACACAAATTTTGCTATATATGATAACCACAACCACCATGCCTGACATCCCTCTTTATTTGATCCCTTGCATGGAAAGTCCTTGATATCCTGATAAAAACCATAACCCCTTACACCCCAGAGCATTCAGCAGGTAAATATCATTCAAGTCATGTAATTTAAGAAATATATTTATTAACTGATGCCTTTTTGTGGTAAACCAACATTCTTACAATGGGGAATAGAGGGTAGTTGAATTGGCCCAGCTTTAATCTCTATGTTAATCTTCTGAGATTTTTAGCATTGATTATGGATGAAGACATATGTATGAATATTTAAGCTCTGGCATTATATGCTTTTTTTAAGCAGAAAGTTGGCTTTCAAGTAAAAATTGTTTGTTTTTGTCAGGGAGAGACTTGAGAAGTTGTTTCCAACATCAGAAGGGGCATTGTATTCTAAACTACGACAACTGAGTCTTGATAATTCAAATGGTGGCTTAAGCCGCAGTGACTCCATGTCTTCACAGGTCTCAACTACCTCATTGGGTAAGTAACTATGTCAGTGTTAATCTGTTTTTTTGGTTACAGAGCTGGCTGATGAGGTGAAAAGTTGGTACACAAAACCAAGACATTTCAAATTTTACTCAGGATTTAGAAGATAAGCTAATTTTTGGCGGGATAGAGATGAAATTTTCTACTGATTCCAGCTAACTAAAAATTTCCTCCAGGTGCTTTCCCTGAGGCTAGCTCTCTGTACTTATAGCTGCTGCACCCCTTGGTTAAAAATGAGTAACTTTCCTATTTAACTGCAAACAGTGTAAACTCCACATTATTGCATAATGTTTCTGCCTATTAAATGTTGATAAAATGAAAATTAGTCAGATTTAATTATAAGAGAGACATTTGTCCTATAATTGATTTGTCCTGATATGCTATTGTCTGCTATTTGTTACTGTCTCTGGCGATGTGCTTTTTTGTATTGACTGGTACCTATCCCACAATATTATGCACAATGCTGTGGAATCACTTTCCCCTTGGAGATTTTGTATGTAGAATACCAGGGTAAGGTGCATGGCTTCATACCATTAATTATATTTCCTTGGTTGAGCCAGGGGTATTTATTGGCTTATCATAGCGTATCAAGTGCTGTTTATGCTTTAGCAACCCACCCACCCCCCTCATTTGGTTTCTTTATATGAAAATTTTGTTTTCTGCATCACCCTGAATGTTTGACTTTAGTGGACCAAGGAGGCTTTTCTTGTCAATTCCCTCCCCAATATCAAATAGACTTGGAGTTTTTGAGCATTTTCTTTTGGTAACCTCTTTTAGTGTGAGGTTTTATGAATAGTTAATTGATTTGCACAGATGCAACAATGGTCCAATTCACTCCCTATAACTGACTTGCTCTCTATGGCATATTTTGAGGGAGCAATATCTGCCCTATAACTTTGTTCTTGTAACTTCTATGCCAAGTTAGAAAATTAATGCAATCTTAAATTTAAACATTGTAATATCAAAGACTCAGAATAAATGCTTCCTGAGTCTTTGAAATAGATCCAGAATAAATGCTTTTTACCAAACAAAATGAGAGTGGAAAAATTATATAAGATTTGCAGCTTATCAAAGCAATCTTTAATTTTATTGCACATTGTGATGAAAGTACTTGCTGGCACCTATTGTTTTAGAATCAGTAGCATTTTAAGTAAGTTCAAGCATGGATTTTAGAAACATTTTATGAAGCCCTTATCAGCCCTCATCAACACTCACATTTCTTTCTGAATTATAGAAAAACGTGCTTGGGTCTACACAGGCAAGACTATGTCACCAGCACCATTCACAGAAACACAAAATCGTGGATCTTTAGATAAACACAGCCTCGCACGTATGGGGGCCCTGGATCTTCCTCTTAGTCCAAGAGAACGGGATTTTCAATCCACAGGTTCGTAATGTTTGATACTACGAATGTTTTTGTTCTAGCTTGATCGATTCTGTATTTTATTAGATGCTAGCAAGGTCAACACAGATGTACCTTTTAAAGGGGCTGTGAATTTTGTTTACCTTTTTGAAAGACTGGTTATTTTCTTTCCTTTGTCTTAACTAAGTGTACAAAATTGCTCGCCTAAAGACTTTTATAATACCATTACTAGCAACCTAACTTCATGTTTTTTTTGCCAAAAAATAGTAAAGGGGGACAGTGATGAAGTCATAACAATTTATTTTGGAAATTTGAATTTAAAACGATTAAGAACCTCAAAATTTGCATCAATGAAAGAAAAATATACCGTTCGCGAATGAAGAGCAATTAAGCGTTTTCTCGAATTCAGTCTTACTTGCGCTTCAGTTCGCTTTTTCGTTCAGTGCCTCTATCTTTTCTAAGCTCTCTTATAATCTTCTTCCAAATCTAGAAGGCAGTCATAACAGCAACCAGCGTTTAAACACCAGTCAGCTGAAGAAAGCCGCAACTGAACTGGACCGAGCATCCTCATTTGATTCTGGCTTTCCATCAAGCGGCCATTATTCATCGCCTGATTTTATAGAAAAGGGCGTATCAGATATTACACCCGTTATCAAAATAGAAATCCCTGCGAAGTCAAATCTTGGAATAAGCATTGTTGGCGGCAAAAATAAGCCTGAAGGACCTCATATATACGTAAAAGAAGTAATCCAAGGCTGTGACGCATATTTGGTAAGGCCTTGTACTGGGAAATCTGCTATTGTTCTTTGCCTAAAACTTTGTTATCATATTGCATTGATTTATCTTTTCGAATCAAAGATTTTAGTTCATCATTAAAGGGATGTAGTGACATTCATATCATCGATTTACTGGTTACAATGAATTTATTTATGTGAATTGGTCACAATGTAGATCTAGCGGCTCCTGATGATTGCAAAAAACTTTATTCACCCACCCTCTCTAAGCAACCCCCCTATTAAACCCACTTTAATCCCCCACTAATAAGAACCCCCTCTATTAATATTTCCTTACTCCATTAGCTATGTTTCTTTGATGAACAGCATAATAAACTATGAAAAACATTTTTGTCGACTATTCTTGAATACTTAAGAAGCTTTTTTTCCTGTAACCTCAAGAATTAAATAAGCCCCCGGGGCTAGATGGAGCTCTTTTGGTAAAAAATGAGTGTGTATATCTTCACCTAATAGGATTCTTCTACTTAGTATTGAAATATATTTTTGAATCATTTCTTTTTGCTGAAACAGGATGGTCGAATACGAAAAGGCGATCGCATCATCTCAGTTAATGGTGAATCGTTCAATGACGTCACATACGAACAAGCACGTTCAATACTTCTGCGACTCAAGCTACAGTAAGAGTTGATTTATGCCATCATTCCGTGATTGCAAAATAGCGAAATGCTAGGATTCATTTGGCTCCTAGCTTTCAAATTTAGGCCCATGTCATGTCATCTGTGACCATTAAACACCGTTAGAATCACATTAGGAATTTGACGCACCAACTGCCTGCATTACCTAGCGCACTATCAACCTATAGAGAAAAGCTTTTTATAGAAATTTTTTCACATGAGGATAGCTTGTGTTATTTGCTAGCTATTTTGTTCTGTCTGCTATTATGCATAAATTGTCCTGGAACTTTTTTCAGATAACCGGACCTATTTCCTTGCCTCTTTTGCTAGGAGAGATCTTACTCACTACGATATAAAGTACGTGGTTAATTCAGATCATGTCAGTTCTCCGAGACTCCATCAACTGACAGTTACTCCCAAAAGTCGAGAAATTGCCAACACCAGAGTTTCCAATGGCTTTTCTCCTACTATGGGAGAGCAAACGATCATTCAAGAATCCCCACCAATCGAGAGCTTTATATCACAATCTTCAGATGAGGAAGCAGTTGTTAAAGAGTTAATGAAAATGATGGAGAAGTCAGATGAATACGAAATTTCAATGAACACTGATGCTTTGTCAAAAGCAAGAGCTGATGTTTTGGAAAGACACCTTGAAGATGCTTCTTACTCGGAAACATATGAACCGTTGAGATCAGATTTACATTATCTTGAAGAAGCATCTCCTGAATCAAATGGAACAGTGTTCAAACCTGGGAAGTTCTCAAGTCCTGCTGTTGAGAATGGAGTGCCTCATGTCCATCAAAATGATAGTAGGTTTTGTGTTGAATGTTGTCTTTCGTTGATTCTCAGAATGCAAATTTCTAATGGCCAGCATTTAATGCTAGTACATTCTACACTATAAAGTTGGAGTATGGGTTACTGAGACTGGACTGCAAATAAGTTAATGCTTGTCAAGTTAATCCTTTTATTGGTATCAAAATTTCAATAGAAAATAAAGAGGAAAAGGTGGTTATGAGGTAACTTGCAAAGATAGTTGAACACCAAGTTTTTGTTCTCAAATTCTCTATATTTTTTTCTGCGTTCTAAGTATTTCTGTATTCTTTCTCTAGGCCCAGCGGAAAGAAAAACGATATCACAGTATTTGGACGAGGACATGAATGACACTTATTCCCCCCGTTTAGTGTCGCCTGTTTCCAGCAGAAAGACTGGTCGTAGAAGCCGTGGACGGAGGCTATCTCTTGACCCAATGACAAAGCTTAGAGTTGAAAAACTTGAAGGGGTATGTGGTTACTTTGAGTTTATGTTTTATAGAGGCACATTAGGTGTCCCTTTTTGTTTTCTATTGTTTCCATAATTTATGGAGCTTTTGGCAGTTTTTTGGCTAGAAACAAAATATTTGCCCCAGGGGTAGACCGCTATTGTGTTGAAATTCTTGGAGGGGTTTGAAGATCGTAATGTTTTTCGAAATACCCCCATCCCTATTCCCCGCCCTATGTTAAGAGCAATCCACCAACATATCAGGTAATTCTTGGGAAAATTACTCCAAAGATATGTTTTTGACAACAGTTAGGGCTAACCTTTATTTGCATTATTTTCGATTGCCAGTTAACAGGCTTTTCTAGTATAGCAGTAAAAATTAGGCGCCTCAGATTTAAAGTTTGGATGATCTGGATTATTGCTTTATTGTCTCAATCTGTCAATGGATTACTCGTACGGATTACAACACACTTCTGTTCACAATGTCTTGAAATAACACTTTAATTAATTCTTCGAATAGTTTAATGCCTGGTTTCACGTAGTTACTCATACTGTTTTACAGTATGCTTGTCTTCTTGGCGTGTTATTCCAGCATTTTTATTTTTAAAGGCCTTAAATTACCTTGGTTTCGAAGCCACACCGTCTAAAATCAATGAAATTCGAATGAGGGTTAGAGTCGATCCTAACGGATTCGTGACATACGGAGGTAAGCCTTCCATTGAGTTTGCCAGATACCCTTTATACAATGCCAACAATATTTTCATCTACATGTGTTTGGAGGTGTACTCAATGCTTTGTCTCAGGAAAGTTTGGTGCTTGTTTAGACCTAAAATTTCTCTCTTATTCGTATTTATGATGGCGCAACGATGTCGCCACTTGTGGATACTCCATTTAGATTACTCGACCTTACTATGAGGGCTCAAACAAGTCCTATTTTCAAGCATATGTTATTCAAAGGAAGATTAAATTCAAAGTTTATTCCATTTTAAAAGTTGGTATCATCTACACACTTGGTTCAGAAAAATAGCTTTTTCCTCTCTCTCATAACTACATTTTCATATCAGAAAACATTCTTCCCGCACCACAGGCAGTAATCTCATTTGGAATGAATTTGCTGCCATAAATCACAAGAATAAAATGAATATGTTTTGAATAGCCATATGTAAAGATCTTCATTTCAATAATAACTGCCCTTTGTTACGGTAAAGAAATTCAATATTTATGAAGCTAGGAAAAGGTCTTTATTCTTTTTGTGCATTCACATATTGGTAAAACAAAAACAGCAGGTGAAAAATTGATTTCAGGCATGACATTCAATAATTAAAGGTGTAAAGATATGCATAATAGTGAACTATGGGTTGTAAGACTGGAATTTCACTATCGCCTGTGTTCAGATAGGGCTTGAAAAAAATGAAAAAATGTAATGATTGAGGTATCTCCACCTAACAAGCCTTTCTAGGTCAGTAGGCCTACAGAACCTTATTTGAAATGTTTTTTATGCTCGAAGAAACAGTAATTGACTAGTTTTCCCTTTTACCAAGTTCAAAGGCTTGTGAAATCTCAACGAAGCTATCCGGTCTTATTTTCTTTCTTGTTAATTCGTAACAGACTTTGTCGACGCTGCACGCGAAGTCTATGATGTTCGACTGGATGACCGATCAAAAACCTTGAATGCTAGTGCGCTCCAGTTCGCAATGAGAGACATCGAAGCTTCGGAACAGCGTGAAAGAAAATTGGTAAGCTTAAGTTAGAGTTAAAAGATTAACAGTTACAAACTATATAAATGGTATACTTTTGCGAGGAGGATTCTGAGCAGTTTGTTTAGATTATTGTTTAGACAGCTCAGCTACCAACCTCTGTTATTTTCACCTGATATTTCATTCAAAGTTTTTCTTTGAAATGAATTCATGTTATTTTTGTTTATCAAATGATATATAATCTATGATCTAGACTTCGCCGAGATAACGTATTATTTCTTACTTGTTTGCAATCTTCGCAATCTTTCTTTACCCTTTACAATTACGCCATGCCTTATTCTAGCATCACGTGGTACCGAACAAACAGCGACAGCAACATATTCAGGAAATTCCAGAAGAAGAGTACCCGAAGAAAGAGCAGCAACAACTACTTCAATCTCAATCGAATCATTCAGTTGGTAATGGCAATTCGTCTCGACTCACATTAAAAGACATTGAAGCCATAGAGCGGGAAGAATTGAATATGGTATGTCTATTCTTAGGTTTATTTGTCAGTTTTAGGCCTTGCAAATTAGTTTGACTTGCATATGTTGCAAAACACTGTGATTGCATGTGGACCAGATTGGATGAAGTTTGCTGTTGAGTTAGCCAGTCTGTTGCAAAGTTGCTTGGTGATTGAATTAAGCCTAAAACTCTAAATTAACGCTTGGAAAATCGAAAACATAAAGGGAAATATAAGGACCAAAAGTCATTAATTGAGAAATGTTTTTACTATTCATTTTCACATACACGGTCATGAAAAAATCGAGACTGCACTGAATTTTAAAAATAAATCAGTGGTATATTCCAAAAATAATTACCTACGAGGTCATGTTTGCTAACACCCTTTGCAACATTATATATTTCTTAATCTTTACGATATTTCTAATCAAATTTTTTTGGCACCTGATTATCGTAACGCCAGAAAAATTCACACAAGACTGCCGCGTTCATAGATACGTTCATCCTAGAGGGTAGAAATATCCTAGTTTCTCAAGCCTTGCATACCCTTGGTCTAGATTAACCAGCAAATGAGTTTAAACAACAAATGAGTTAAAACATCTAAACAAACTCAAGCATTCCCATGAAATATTGTTGGAAACCTTATTTTTCTTTCACTATCTATTTTTCACCCAGGCAGTACTAGTGTTAGAAATATATCTTGGTAGTGGCTTAAGTGGTTTTAGGTGTAAAATCAACACTACTGCATTGAATATAATTGGATATCATTATGTGAATGTAGAATTAGATTCTTTCGCGATGTAATTGGCATAGCATTAGTCAGAGCAGGTTCTGTACAAGTATTAAAGATTCAGCACCCGAATTTTAAAGGCTGTATAGACGATTGACGGTAACAAGTGTGATAGCAGGTTACTGTATTCAAAATATTCAGTATTTCGTATCATACAAGTTGCAGCTCGGTGTATTAGGCCGTTTATATTTGATTGGAATGTTGTGTTGGTAACTGACGTTGCAAATACTCTGCTTGCTGTGAGTATCTTGATGTTTATACCGCTAATTATATCTGCACATAGTTTTATAAAGCGCGTTGATGCTGATGATGACGGTTTTGCCTGGCAACTTGCTAAGCATACTTTACCTCTCCGCAGTGGGGGATCGCAGAAAGACATTTGTTTGTATCTATGTATATGCGGCTCTTAAATACGGTATTTGACGTTGTTTCCCCGGCAGACGATGAGAATTTATAAGGCACTGCTTAATAGAATCTTTGCTGATATGAAGGTGTCGTTATATACGAAGCCTCAATAGTCACTCATTTAGGTTGTCCCTAGACGTCTTGTTGCTAGCTAGCTGTAGACAATACACAGATACATTGAGACTTGTCCTGATAGTACCCAGACTTAACTCGGGACCTTGAAAAATATGACTTAGTCATTTGCTGCAAGTATATGTTTTGCTCCCCTCTAACTCGATTCAAGCAAGCATAAGGCAATTGAGTGAATGAATACATCGCAGATCCAAGACGTATCTAAGGCCTTGTTCCTCTACTTTTTACTGAAAGAGTTCCTCTTAGACGAGCTTGTATCTTTGTTCGCAATTTTTAGGATAGCTAGAGGGAAATGATATATGTATGCCAATGTAATTTATAAGTTTCCAAACCTCACAACTTTATAGATTTGTTTCGTCGTAATCTGGAGATTTGGTTTTAGCTGTTTACGTCTCTAAGTTGTTTTAAGCAATACAGTCGATTCCTTATAGTCACTCTGCCTAAAGGCTTACTGCTTGCTGCGGTTAGGTGAAATTTATATAACTATGTATAAGGCCCAAATATGTATAACTATTCAATTTAGATCCATTTACAGTCAGAGTCCGCTTTCTGTCAAAACTTTGGTGTGACCCGAGTCTACTGTGCAGAGTCTAAAACATGTTTCTGTTTTGCATCATGAACATGTTTAAAACATGTTTCTGTTTTGCATCTTTGCATTCTGTTTTATTAAACGATGTTTTCCTATTCTGTTTTTCTATTCTATGGTTTTCAATTAGTCATTTCCACAATTGCTTTCAAATTCTAGACAAGCCAGTCTCCTTTCAATAACCAAATATCGTTTTTGTTTTATACAGATTGCTCGAAGAGAGACCGATCGTTTAGGAGAGATGCAAGCAGCTAATCGTCGCATTCAGGATGACCTTGCTCGTGTTTCACGGGAACGAGACGATATTCTCCGTGAGCTGCAATTCTTTAAACGCCAACTCAATGAAAAAAATAACAATACATCTGACATTGAAGACCAACTGAACAGATCTCGCCAGGTAAGCCCAGAAAATATTGCCTCAAGCACACCGTAATTTAATGCGCAGAGTCGAAGCATGGTGGTCTCACAACCATAGACCTTGATGAAGGCCAATGAAAGCAAATGCATGATTGGCGGAACGTTTCTGTACGAAGGGTATTGCCTTGAAGATAAAACAGACTCTTTTCTGGACTCTGTTAGTATGTTAGACAAGAAAGTATATAGCAATACCAACTTATATAGCGTGCTATTACTAATGATTCATCCAAGAGTGTGACAATATCTAAAAGAGACACACAGAACACTTCTCGTGAATCTTTCCCAGTTGTAGATAGCTGCGGAGGTACTTATGATTCTAATCATTCGTCCTGAACTATCAAACTACTATGCCTATTAGCTAAGTATATCCATTACAAACAATCCTACTTTCAGTATATGGCATCCTAGCCACCTCTGTACGACAGGAAGATTCATGCTGCCGTTAGTAATTTGTTTTCCATAGTCTAATAAATCTAATAGGCAGCCTACTTTTCTATATTATCGAGCAAAACTACCATCAAGGTCGTTAGTCATCGGTCCCCTTCCAGCTCGAGCAAAACGTCATCTATGTTTTCGCACAAACAGTTGCCTGGTGATTGCATTAAGCGTGAAACTTTGAGTAGCAACTTAGAACCGTCTTCTCCTATGCACCAAAGCGTTTACGCACAAACCTAACAATGCAGCTTTCTGTCATGATCTGCTCAGTCAGTACAGTTTTTTTAAATCCAATGCTAATGATACACTGCTGCATTACAACTATACAATATTAAGATGCAAAATCAGATACTACCATTTTACTTATACTACAAAATACTGGATTTTTACATTATTACGATGTTGCAGCCTAACTTCAAGGACGTGGGACAAGACAGGATAATACCACAGAGAATGTGTAGTTTTGTCTGCAGCCAAATTTATAGTGTTTGTAATGTTTTTTATGCTCACGCTTATTTTGGGTGTTGACCCTAAAATCTTATGTGTCCAATAGATGCATAAGTGGGTGGTGGATTTCCACCATTTCCGTTTTTAGCCTCATCTTTCAATCCTAGATACAATCCCTGAATAAAATGTTGTATTGTTTCTAAGCAAGATGCTTTGGATAATGCAAGAAAATTCAAAGCAAACAAATACAAACACAATTTAAGAGAGTATAAAGGCGAATATTTTTCCATAAAGTGTTAGAAAACTAATAGTAGCAACGAGAACAAATGTACTTCGAAAAATAGTAGGTTTCCTGCTACTCGGTAAGGAAATATTTGCGGGGCTTGAAGCACCCTTTTATGAAAAAAATGTGGCATTCAAGTAATATTCAAAGCTCTGTTTCTTTCAAAATGGAAATAAATCAATATATGATATATGATGCTTTCGCTGACTTTAACTGCTGTCTTACTTGAGTTGTGCAATGAAAATTCCTTTCCTTGTGACCAGATCCAATTTCTAAAGAGATCCACGTTTGCAAAGATATCTCTAATCACTCGTCACCTTGTGTAATGTTTTGAATAAATTAACATATTATCACGTAACGGTACTTAGAGTTATTTGTAGAGCACGAGGCCATGGAGTAGAACGTATTATATGTGAGCACATGATTAGGCCCTTTTTAACAACATAACACCTTGTACCTGTAAAAAGCTACCTCTTTTATGTTAACAGGAGGTTGCAAACACGCATCGAGAAGTTGGAGAGCTGCGAGTTCGCACACATCTTGTGAGCACTGCACTACAAGAAGCAAAACAAAGAGAACAGCAATATGAACAGGTATCAGAATAACCCAAACCTTTTCACTTGAAACTTTTGCTCATTACTACAGACCTATTATTTTCGCCAAAATGCAGAAACACTCACAGCAATCCAAACAAGCTACATATTATCTGCCCCCTGACCCCCAATCATTGGCAACATTTAAAAAAGAATTAAGAGCACACCCTATAGAATGCGACTGTAGATTGTGTAAAAAATTTATTGCTGGGTTAGGTTTTATTTAGAACATTATACCTTAAACCTTTTTAATATTGTATCATATATTTTTATTTCATACTAACTCTTTATAGATAGTTGGCCTTAATTAGCTTCTTTATAGCTATCAGCCGTTCATTTAGTACGCCAACTTTAAACAAATTATTTATTATTATTATATATTATTATCCCCCCCCCCCCCACTAATTGTTGTTGTGATGGGAATGGCTAGATATGTTGGTATCCTCATTTATTTTGTAACCTTCCGCCAAAGATTGACCTCGGGGGAGGGGGAAAAAATAAATCATGGTGTGATTTCACCATTGCTATCGCAGCCTTCATTACGTATTGTGCAGTTTGATCCTGCATATTCTACCAGAAGCAGAAAAGATATATTCTGCTAATAATGGCACATTTTTCAGTTTAAATTTTCAATGATATAACTTTACTTTTGCTTCGTTTATAACTGTGAAGCATTTTTTTTAGAAAATAAAAAACCTTTCGGAAGAATTAGAGGAGGTAAAGTCCAAGAACAATAATGGGGGTCCAAAACAGGTAATGGTTTTTTTAAGAGTCTAATTAATGTGCACATTCATACTCTCTATGTTTCTTGGTTTTTTTTGTGTCAAAGCCATCTTAAATTGAAACTTCTCTTTTATTACCTCAATATTTGAGGATAGCACAGCAAAGCGGAAGTATGCGCCCCAAAGTACTTTTCGTCCGACTTTTCTCGTCGGATAGTGAGCAAAGGATCCCGATTTGTGTAAACAGAAAAAAGTTTTTTCTCCCCTGGACTCTTCGACGAGATGAGAGGTTAGCGACCGCTGATTGGTAAAAAAAGAACCAATCAAGCGTGCCACTCTCCCCTCGCGTTACTTTTGGTCCGCATATTCGGTTCTGCTGTTCGGTATGGGGGTGCTGTGGGGTGATTAACTCCAATCGTTGCAAAAGCTACAGAATCGAGCAGCTAGAATTGTAGCTAAAAGCAAAGTTGATGCGCCTGCTATGCCACTGACTCGCAGTTTGGGCTGGCCAACTATAGATGACATTATTAGAAGCGAAACAGCTACAATTATGTATAAGTCGTTAAATGGACTGGTCCTATAGTACCTTTCCAACCTGTTCGAAAAAATTCGACTCGAAATGTTAGAAAACTGAGAAATACCGATACCGATCTTTCGCTTCCCTTACGGAAAACAAACAATGGTCAGAGAGCTATTTCTTTTCTTAGACCTAAGCTTTGGAACCAACTTGAACCTGATGCCAAACAGGTACCTTCCCTTGCCACCTTTAAGAGAAGAATCCAAAACAAACTATGAACGACCATTCTTGTTTCGTAGTCTTTACCTTCTTGCTTATTAATGTTTTTGTCACGGCCCCCTGAAAAGCAGTTCTCGTGGACTGACGGGCTACCGTGCCTAAATAATTAAAAATTTAACGTAATGTAATATACTTTGGAGAGTGTCGGACGAAAAGTATTTCAGTATACTTTGTTTCTACATTCCCGCGCTATCTTCAAATTTTGCTTTTGTGTGCAGAACATCAAGCTCCCACCATATTTTTTGCGAAACAGGCCTCCAGGGCTTATTCGAGGATTTACGGTAATCAATAACTAATAGCTCTTTGGTTTGTTTTTATTTATATTTCTTATCAAGCTTTTCTATTTGTCCTGCAGCGTGAATTCAACGAATTGCAAAAACGACTAGTTGTACTAGGGTGTCAGCTTCGGAAAACTGAAGTGAGCAAGCGGACTTATGAAGTTGCGGTTGAAAAACTTACAAAATTTGCTGAGGTAATATTAAAGCATGTAATTTTTCACATTGAGAAGAAGCATCTTCCTAAAAGCAGTAACAAAATGTAACAGCAGTTTTGTAGCAAAGAGAGCGAACACTATTTTTGGTTTATTTGTTATTGCGTTCTTGTTAAGACATTCTTTATTTGCATTATTTGATTTTCAAGGTATCTTATCTTTATATGTCCATCTTTTGGTTCGCAGCTAATTGAAACTTTTGCAGCTTTCCTGCAAAACTGATCAATAGTGCCATTGTTTGAGGACCTCTTCATATTAACTGCAGACTTACATTAACAAAAACTTTTCTACCCTAACAGCACGTCCACGATTCAACTGATGTTCAACGAACGCCTACCCAAGGGTAAGTCAATTCTTTTTCGATTGAACTTGCAATTTGTTTCAAAATTAATAAAGTTTGCCTTTCTTCTCGCGTCTTAAAACCTTCAACCTTCTAGAATATAGACACTTACTCTGGCGAGGTCCAGTTTGCAGGGCGAAATATTAGCTTTACATTGATTTTAAAATTCTATTCAACAATACATTGGCTTTTCATAGTCATTTTGCTCTGTTCCAACCGATTACTTCTAGTATAAAACTGAAAGGCGAGTGGCAGCTGTAAAACACAAGTATTTGATTGTGACGTCATACTCTCATCCTGGTTCTTCTCCTCTTTCTGCATTCTTTACATTAGCATGTTTCATTACGTTCCTACTAGCTTTCACCAACACGTTTTTAAATCTTCAAATTTTTAGTTTTTAAATCTTCGATATGGAACATCAACTTTTTGGATGTTTTGTTTTTGCTTTGATTTTATGCGTCAATTTTCTTCTATCAATATTTTTAGCAGTCGAAGAGGCTCTACAAGCAAAGGAAAATCTCCTAATTATGAAACTCTTGCCCAAGAGGCGCGGGACACAGTAAGGGCTGTAAAACTTCTGCTGGAGGAAGAACGTAAGCAGTTTTGTGTTCCATTAGTATGCAATTTTCTTCCAATCTTAAATCTAAATCGTTCTGCTCGAATCTAAACGAAATTTTAGCCAAACAAGAATACATGTTTTGGAAAATCATTTGTATGTACTTGATAACAAAATATTTTATCTTTAAATTTTTTTATTGTTTTCAAGTTTTCATTGGTCGAGGAATACCTTCAATTGCGATGATACAAAGAAATATCGATTGGGATTATATAAAATCATATACTCGATCTTAATCGAGATTTCAATTTTCTGTCTCTAATCTTAATTGCAAGACGCATCCAGAATTTTTATCATTGTCCTATTCTTATTGAGGGCTATTTGGTTTTCTGATGTTTTGAAGGATTTTTGTTCTCAAAGTGCAATTCCCAATATCTCGATTACGATCAGCTTTCTTAAAGTCTGCCTTTATAGATTTGTTTCAATTCCACCTCTTCGAGAACGTAACATTGTCCAAGTTACGATGACATTTTTACATTAAACCTACATTTATTTATGTTCCGTTGTTCAATTTGCAGCACTTCCTTTTGGTTGGGAAGAAGTATATGCTCCTGATGGAACCCGATACTACATCAAGTAAGTAACGCTCTTTCATGTTAAGTTTTGTCATTTATGCTCAAGTACCTATCCTATTGCATGAGCTAAGAGCAAAAGTAAAACTGAAACTCTTTCCAATTTTTGATTCTCTAGTTAACTGATAATTTTTCATCTTCTTGAAACTCCTTATAGATTTAAATCCGTTTTATTACAATATGTACCGTCTAATTCACTAACATAGCAAATGGCTTGAATATAGTCGCTAGAAAGCCTTTTAACAAATGCAAAATTTCTTGGATTTGGTTTTCCGCTCTGTTCTTTAATCTGTATTCTAATTATTTTAAGTTTTTGAGTCTTATAATTATTCATTGTCTTGCATATACAGTCATGTCACCCAGACTACGTCGTGGCTGCATCCAGTTTCCGGCGTCCAACACACAGGGTCAGAAAATGGAATCGAACATCCGCCGACAGATCAAAAATTCTAATTCAGTTTCTAAGCAAATCGTCTCACCTTTCTACTTTTAAAAGCTTTGAAATAAGATAGAAACATCTATTTTATGGTGATATATAAGACCTGAGTTCAGGACCGAATGATACTTGATAGAACTGGACTGAGGTACTAGTACATCTACCAGAAATGTTTTACACATACTGTTTCTAATTACGGCAAAATCATCAAGGTAGTGTGTGCATATAATAGGCATGCATAATGGGGCGTTGCTTAATCGAAGCCAATCACCATACAAGAAGCTTAGTCTAAACCACTATGTTAGTTAAAGGCTCTTGAGCAACCGGCATGCTTAGCGGCAGCTGTCTCAAGAAATTGACTTTGTTTTGTATTTTCATGCAGTACGGTATTAGGCCGGTTTTGAAATTATCGTTGCAAAGCATGCCGGTTGCGCAAGAGCCTTTAACGATACGTTTTATACGCAGTACAGGGCGCTTTGAATAAAGTGCCTTGCCCCACTCTCCATAGTAAGCCACCAATGCTATTTACGTTAAAATTGTATATATGTAAACTGTCTTTAAGTTCATATGTAGAGCGTTTTAAATGTAATTTTTAACTTTTTTGTGATGCCACGGGGTAGTAATGGTATATTGCACTCCGTGGTATCGTTCTTATGAAATTGTAAAGTTTTTTGACGTAGAGATACTAGTATTGTAAATTTTGTTGATGTAAAAGAAAAAAGCTTTGTGAAAAAGTTTCTGATGTGAAAATTTGTATGCTTTAAACATAAGTGCAAACATTTTATTGGCCAGTCCAGCAAGTCCGGCGTAAAATCACCACGCCTTTGAAAATATTTTGTAATAAGTTAAATAGGTGGAGCTATGCTTGTTTTATTCAGCATCACGTTCCATCTCTCTTGTCGAATTCTAGATCTGAATTGTTCTATAACATTAACGCTTTTTTCCTTTAACCTAAACTTTATGATAAACCTCAACCAAAGTCGACCCCATTCAACTGAAATTTTTCGATCAAATGCTGCACAGTCCTAGTAAAGTTTATGTCTTCATATAAAATGTCCAGACCAACCCTCTTTTGTGTTTCTTAAGTGTTGCCGACTTAAGAAATTCATGGAAGTATATTGTAAACAGTAATTGTCCTTTTTTACCAGTAACTGTTGTATTACTCGTATTTACTCCAAATTTTTATGTCGTATTATGTGATTTGAATGATAGAGTTTTGTAAAAATATACAAATAGGCTTAGAACTGCATTATCAAGGGTGATCAAAATGTTATGTTATTCAGTATGTTGCGGTAGATTTATTTAACAATTCTTTTCATACTCCAAACCACAGCTACTTAATTAAGTTTTCGACTTTTTTTGGAAACTGGTTCAAAATTCCAGTGTTTGCTACGTCTACGCCATTCTTAATTGCACTGTCTGCTACAATTGTTGCCATACTGTGACTTCAATGGGCTAAAATTGTGGTAAAATTTACCCTTCCCGTTACCTTAGGCACATTTAAACAGTTTTACAGAAAGGTTTTTCTTGGGAACAAAAAGTGTCACTGAGTCACCGGGTGGTACCAAAGTAAGCTCTGGAAAGCCAAAAATAAGGTTCCTTAAGGACTAAAAATACGTACAGACAGAAGTGGCACCATGGGGAGGACTGGGGAAGACTTTCCCTCCCCAATATTTACTAAGATCCATTTTCTATTTTGTATAAATCTGATAGGAAAATTTTAGGGGGGGGGGTAAGGAGAGGTCTATTTGCCTTCATTGCTTGAAGTATTCAGCCATAATGATTTCTAGATACTGGCACTGCCTCTTGATCATGTGAAGAACCCACAATATCTGTATGGTGATAATCTAAACAGTCAGCTTTAATTATAACAAGATGTTAAATTTTTTACCTTTGAATTTGCTCGCTCTAAAACTGGGACTGTCTAGCCTGTCTTCTTCAAAAAGTATTCAGTCTCACTCAAATAAGTAATATTTTTCATTAATATCTGATTGCTACCAAAGGTAGTACTTTTAAGTATCAACTCTGTTGCAATCTGTTAAGAGAGTCACCTTACCAGCAAATTTGCAATCAAAGGAAAACCATTGAAAGTCTGTGTAAATTGACCTTTACTCTAAGGTCCTTCGTAGAAGGGGGGATACTAATTAATTTTGTGATTCTTTTCTGACCCCTACGGAGCTTATTTGGACTTATTAATTTTTATATGCAATCATTCATATCCCTTATTTCATTTGTCCTTTGTTCTTTCAGGGGTGAAATTTCTGTAAAATTTCCCTTAAATGAAGAGGTTGCATTGTACAAAAGTTTTAACATAGAAAAGTAGTATAACATCCATAAAAATTTACATCGGCCTGGCTGATGTACACAACGATGATTAGCCTGCTCATTTTAGTAATACAATAATGCATTATTACATGGTGATTATTGTCATTTTGCTATTGATTGTATTCAGAAGAAAATCTCGTTTGACCCCAAAAAAGAATCATTATTCTTAACCATTTTTGAAAAATTTATGACCCCCCCTCCAAATATCAAGACCCCTCTTCTATTAAGGACCTTAGAGTATTGCTTGTTGCCAAAATTGAATGTGAAAGGCATAACATTTTTAATGTATAATTTTTAAGAAAGCAGCTTTTGTTCTTATAAGAATTTACATCAAGCAAGCTTTCCAGCATTAATTCAAAAAGCGTTTTGGTAATTCTTTGTGCAATGATAAATTGTCTGCTGTACAAACCGCCATCTAGCATGAACCAAAGACAAAGTATGTATTACAGCTTTTTTCTGATCACTAAAGCAGTTTGGACTAAGGTGTCTTATTATTTCAACACTTTGTGTCATTTTTTCAGTCTATAAAAGTGTTACCTATCGTGTCTCTACTAATGACTGTAAAGACAAAAACTTCATGCAATGTTTGCTTAACGACAGGACAGCTTTAGTAAATCACAGTTTAGTTAACATGGCCTGGGTTTAGCCCTAAAGTTGTTTTTGGAAAAAGTAATTGTGATCCAACATAACATAGGGTTAATAAAATAAAATTTCACCGACTGATTGTGCATTATACAGAAACCAACGCTAAGCAATAAAGATGAACATATATGATGTATTTTAGCATTTTATTTCCAATAATACACAAAAGCAATAGTTCACCTCAAGTGAACCAAATTACATTTATTCTATTCTACTTGTATAAGTCCTAATCTTCATAGATCATTGATTCCGACATAAGTTTCCAGTCAACCAGTTCCTTTTCATCAAACCACAAGCCAATCTCGATGGCTGCACTTTCATTACTATCACTGCCATGGATGATGTTCCTGTACAAAAGAAAAAAGAGCTTTCTCTTTCTAAATGTTTCTCATTAACAAAGTTTCATTGAAAACAAGTGTTGTATGTCTCGCAAACAAGTGTTGCATATTAAAAATATGTCTCGCACACAGGTAACCAGCTTAAAATGCAGTTAAGTTTTCTGGGTATTTCTGATGTTGATGGAGAAAGCTAAGTAAAACAGCCTGGAGTTATGTCACAGTTAAAGCTCATCACGGAGAAAAGGTCTATCTATTACCCCCAACATAATAAATATAAGTAAGCAAGTAAATAATCAAAAAAGGGAAATAAGTAAGAAAGTGAGATAGTAAGAATGTATCACAACAGTAGCACTTATAAGATTGTGGCTTGAAATTATGCAGCTCTCAAACATATCAAATAATGGCTAAAGTAGCTGGCTCTTACCTTCCGATATGAATACTGTAGTCACCTCTTATAGAGCCTGGCAAAGACTTTTGCTAAGAAATAAGAAAGGGTTTGATTTAGAATTTCAAATAACTCTTGCTGTGTGCTCATTCCAGTGCAATTTGAAGTGTTATTCGAAAAAATTGCTTATGAATATGAAAACAAACACTGGTCATGCAAAAAACTGTTGCCATGTGAAAGTATATTTGTGTATTAGTACATCTAAGAAACCTTTCAAAGATAAATATATGTACATGTCAAAAAGGAAAACAAGTCAATTTGGAAAAACATAGGAAAAACCTTTAGGGAAATACCGTTTAGATATAAAGATGCAAACAAACCATATAACATATTGAATGTAAAAACATTTTGTTGTAAGTAATACCTGCCTTAAATTGTGGTTGATGACAAAAAGTCTCTTTTTGAAGAACTTTATCTCAAATATAAGTTCCTACTCCAACATTTTCACATATCCACAAAAAAAACTCTACTCCCCAGGATAATTAAAACTACATTTAACAGCAAAGGCAGAATTAGAAAATACTTAGAAAACAAGTGAATTATACATCATTCAGAATAAATAAATTGGCAGTATGTATATATATAATTACTTGGAACTGAATAAGTTAGGACAAGACTTACTGGATCAGTTTCACCAAGCATCCTCCTGCCACCCTTTACTGCATCAAGGCCTTCCCAAACCTAGAAAAATATGGAAAATGATTGTTACTTATAAAAATGTGTGCAGTGTGTGAACTGAAGGCAACTTATAACCATCCAGCTCTACACACACACAAATGTGCAGCTCTGCCTAAACAGCATTACATATATACTTTATGAAATACAAGTAGAAAATAAATTTTCACTATATATATAATTAGCTATATAGCATTTATGCAAGCCATAAAAACATTACTCTCCAGGTTGGAAAACATAAACTATTTTTGCTGTGTAGTTGTGAGTAACAGCACTGTATTAGCAGCAACCTGCAAACAAAGTTATTCCAGCTGCTCAAATATATATGATTGTAGTATCATATATATATATATGGCTTTTTGATATCCTGGGTTAGCTGTGAGTGTTTGCATAAAATCAAGCATAGCTGCAAGTTTTCCAGCCTGTACTGCCATCATCAGTTTTAATTCAAAACTGCAACTCAGTATTGTTTTCTACCACCATTGTTATTCGTTGTCAAAGTTAAAAGCAGGAAATTTGTAGCTTGTAATCATACAGACTAAAGGAAATAGAGTGATGTGAAGACATACCATTGCAACAACAGGCCCTGCTCCAACATATTTGATGAGTCCAGGAAAGAATGGTAGTTTGCTAAGATTTGCATAGTGCTTCTTCAGCAATTCTTCATCAGGCTAATGAAGCAAAAATATTTTACTGCATCTAGTACAAAGCATAAAAAGGTTGTGACATGGGAACACTTGGGACAGCAGATCTATGCCAACCATGGCTTTTTAACTAACAGAAGTTGGCCTTCTTGCGAACAAAACTTTTTGAAACAGCGCTTACTTAGTTGGTCTTTGATGAGGGCGTGTTTTATGCCTCTTTTATTGAGATTTTTATTATTTGAATAGAAATGGATTAGGGCCTATAGAGAGGGACTGAGTACATGAAATAGTGCGTGCAGCTGCGGCCAAGGTATGCAGGAATACACCCATATATCTCTACAGTTACACTAATTTTAGTAAATAATGAACTGACACAATAACTTTATAAAACCATTTCAATGTATAAGCTACTTTACAGTCGTAGAATTTAATTCGAAACTACTTAGCTGGCCTAAAACAGACACGTGGCCCTTACCTTCATGAATTTCATCGCAACTAGTTTGTATCCCCGCTGTTCAAATCGTTTGATAATATCTGCAATGAGCCCTCTTTTGACGCCATCAGGCTTTATCATGATGAAAGTACGGTCATTTTTTGTTGGCTTTTGTTCTTTGTCTCCCATCTTTGGCTGCACCTGTACAGAAATGTCCAAGAGTCAAATATTGTACGAAGAAGTGAAAGGAAGATTGGTGGGGGAAAAGCGTTTTGAAGAAGTCCAACCGAGGCTCTACACAGGCCATGCTCCTGCACAGCGAAACTAATTTTTAAGCATAGGCGGGGGTGCACAAGGGGCACGTTCCACGAATTTTTCAGGAACAGGGGGTAAATTAAATATTTACAGCTCACAGATAAGCCCCCTTATTTTGTAGCGGTCCCTATGTCTATGGTTTTAAGCCCAGTGAAACCGGTCACCTGTGAGAGTTGGATTTTCTCACAAGGGAGTTGGTTCCGTTCAAAAAACCGAATGATCTGGGCACTTTTCCATTTCCCCCAATCCCCTGCATTCTGAGATTGTTGGGCTCAAGTCCTTTTTGAAGTTCCCATTTTTGAAAATTTTTTTTCATTAGTTTTCTTCAAAAGTGCACACTAGTTCTCTTCAAAAGATCTTTTTGGGACCCAAATCCTTATTCCAATTTTCCATAAAGTCGAAGACAAATCCCTCTGCTCCCTGTTTTATATCTACCTGCTATCCATCATAAAAAGAAATCGCCAGGCTCAGAGACGGCGCCACGAAATTGAACCTGGGGGGGCTAAGAATGAAGATAAGTGACATAGGAGGACCCACAAAGGTTGGGTCGAACGCGAAAGAAAATTTTCGAAATCAGGCCTTCTAGAATGGCTTAAAATGCATCTCCCAGACTAAAATTTAACAAAATACTATACCGCTCAGAATAGACAATACGATGATTCTCAGAAAAACATTATTGATTTTTAGTAAATATTTGGGAGGGGAGGATTCATGCGTTGGGGAATAAAAGAAAGAAAGGGTGACCTTTGTTCAGAGTGCACATCAATGCAACATTCAACATGTTGCGAGAAAATATTGGGTTAACTACTTCAAGACAGCATTTAACATTTTCAAAATATCATAATTGTCTTCACTTGAGAACCATTTTTTTGAGACATTGCAATAATTTTGAAATAATGTTTCAAAATGACTTTACATAATGCAGTTTTGAAAAATGGAACCCACTCATAAACAAACACAAGATAAAATTGCATCATGTAAATAGAGCCTTATCCTGTTTAATGTGTGACAAAGTGCACCTTTTGGAGCCCCTTGGGCTTTTGGTTTTAGGTACACATGGCACTAAGTAAGGAGTTTGTGCTCATTGTAGTAGTGCTCTAGTAAGCATTGCATTGTGTCTTTTGTGGGTTCAGAGCAACAAGCGTATAAGTGTGCATTGACCTTGAGTATATAAACTTTATGTTGGCATATTTTCTTCCTCACACCTTGCAAGACAACCTGAAGTTGGACTTTGGAGAGCAAAGGTATTTTGCAACTCTGCCTACTCAACCTATGTCTTAATATTTTCACATTTAATTTGCATGTCAACTCTCTATTTCTTTCTCATTTCATTAGTTAATGGCCAAATGGACAAGGACAAGGTGTTCCTAGACAAGGGAAGAAGGCCATTGTGTCTTTTTCACAAACCCCTTATAAATGGTTGGGATTTCATTTATGGCTGTCTTTGTGATTGGCGCACCCACAGCCCAAAAATAAATGAAAATTCTGAGGGCCATCTTACCCTTACTTGCTAATTCTATTTTTATGGTATCCTGGAACAAATATTAACCAGAAAATTTTTGGAAGCTAAGATAAATAGAAAATTCAATTGAACAAATTAGAAAGGACCTCAATGTGTCAAAATATGCACTACAGATTTTCATTTCCATAGACACACACATGCTTTTGTGAGCATCATCATTTTCAGACAGACTTGGTACACTGTTAATACTTATTCTCGCACTAAACTAAAAAAAATCCCAAAGACCAGTCAGAGGATAAATACCTCTGGAGAATTGCAAATAGTGTCAATGTAAAGCAAAAATGGAAATCACATTTATGATGACATTTCCATGTTATAGAAGAGTTATCACTTGTGTCAGAGTTATTGCATGTCAAATTCAAGGCCATTTGTCCCCCATCCTGCATTGATGATTTTAATTATATATTTATGTTATCTATTTTTCAGCATCCATTCACTCTCAGGAGAAAAGACCACACACAAAATTTCAGTAAAATAGGGTAAGGCATTCTAGAGATACCACCAGTTGAAAGTTTGGCTATTTTTGGGAGTGATCTGCCCAAAATTGGTTCCAGCAATAAATAACCACATTTAAAGTCCTGTGAAAGTTTTTCTGGTTGTAATATTTACATCAAATTATCAAACATAGTACATTAAGATGCTGTAGATTTCAAATATGACTATTAAACCATTGCTTCTGAAACTTTCAAATAGTTTCAAATATATGAGGGGTCAATTTGTGGAGGGTTTCATCAAAATTTGATAAGCAATCATTAGTGGAACCTAGGAAATTACATTTGATTGTACATTCAGAATTTTTACCTACAGAAACTGATGGAAATTGTTATTTAGAGATGTTTTTCCTACATATCTAATCAGGCCTTTTCCTTTGACGCGAGCGATCACTCGCGATTGCAAGACATTTTTTGGGCAGTAAAAGCATTTTTAAAAAGGTATGGAACAACATTTTGCGATCATCCGACAATAACATCTTTATGACCCTCGTGATGTACATAAAGTTTATAAACGAAGCAGACTTATAAAAAAGATTTAGTCTTTTTGGAGTGCATTATAAATCATCATAACCATTCCTTTTCATTTGATATTACCTTAAACAAAGGTACCTTATAACAGGAACAATTTTTTCACTATCAGAGCGTTTGCTCGCGCAAAAGAAATCACACAAGCGTTTGACCACTCGCGTGGGCTTTTACTTACGAAAAGGCCTGTCAGACTTGGTGTACAGTTATTTTCATGCACAGCTAAAATGACCTAGACAACATAAATTGTCATATTTTGTGGGTGTAACAATCATCTTTAGAAATCCACAATCGAATGTTTTATTCATATCTGTTAGAAAACTTTTTACTAAAATAAAAGGTTTTTTCTTTTCTTTGAAGAAGAAAGGCAAGTGTGATGCACTTTCAAATTTAAAGCCGGCTTGACACAAGAAAAAAAATTTAACATGTGAAGCAAATTTCTCACTACCAATGCCTGAAAGGGCTGAAGTAGAGCTTAGAAAAAAAATCTTTGAACTTACAGCAAAGAATGTTTTTTGCAAAAACTAGAAGCCTTTCCTGATTTTTGTTGCAAAATCTTTTGAGTTGCAAAACAAACAAATCAGAACAAAATTTAAAAACAGCTAATAGCTGTTATGATTTTGTATGGCCTAGATGTCATGCATGCCTCCATATGTCTTTTTGTAATTTTTTTCTCAAACAGTCAGCAATCCAAGTGTAATTCCAAGCCTTTCACTTGCATAACAAGGTCTTGCATGTTTGTACATTGTTTTATCATTTTCCTTCAAAAGACGTTTTCGCTTTTTTGCTCACTTTCAATAAAATTACAAAATTACATTTATATATATATATATATTTCATAAAGTTATTTCAACATGTTCTCTTAGGACAGAGGCTATTTTCTTCTGTATTTTTTGCAGAGAATTTTCAATTGAAAATTCTGCAAGCTGAAGGCTAACTACGAATTCGAGAGGAAAATTTGCAGCAAAAAAAATCACCGCGTACCATTCAGCACCAGATTCATCCCCAGATTCATCCCCAGATTCATCCCCAGATTCGAAAACTTGCTTGTACTGCTCGAAATGTATCGAAATGACAATGATTAGCAAGAAAATATGTTATTTCCAGAGTTTCCTTTCTATTTCCACTCGATAAAAATTTTTTCTTGCCAATTTATTCTTGATGTTTTTAGCGGGCCTAGGCATGCGTATTTTCCATCCCCAGATTCGCGTTTTGTATAATATGGGTCTAAAAACAGCATGAGATGTGTCAAAATGACAATAATTCGAGAGAATATGTAGCAATATGCGGTTCTCCGTCAATTTCTACTAGATAAATGTCACTTTTCTACCACTTTGTTTCCAATGTTGCTTGTTGGCCTAGGCAGTACTTTTCATCCCCAGATTCGCGGTCACAGGGATACCAACCGACCACAGGGATACCATTGCCAATATTTTTCCATCCCCAGGTAGGTATATCCCCAGATTCGCATTTTGTAAAATATGGGTCTAAAAACAGCATGAGATGTGTCAAAATGACAATAATTTGAGAGAATGTGTAGCAATATTACGATTGAAACTGCTTGTACTAATGTATCTATTATAATTAAAAATTGTTTGTACTAATGTATCTATTATAATTATATACAAAACGCAACAAAACTGGGAATTATATACAAAACTGATAAACGGATACCATTAATATTTAAAAAAAGAATTAAATCAAACATTATAATCGTACATATTTTCAATCGTAATATTGCTACACATTCTCTCGAATTATTGTCATTTTGACACATCTCATGCTGTTTTTAGACCCATATTATACAAAACGCGAATCTGGGGATATACCTATCTGGGGATGGAAAAATATTGGCAATGGTATCCCTGTGGCCGCGAATCTGGGGATGAAAAGTACTGCCTAGGCCAACAAGCAACATTGGAAACAAAGTGGTAGAAAAGTGACATTTATCTAGTAGAAATTGACGGAGAACCGCATATTGCTACATATTCTCTCGAATTATTGTCATTTTGACACATCTCATGCTGTTTTTAGACCCTTATTATACAAAACGCGAATCTGGGGATGAATCTGGGGATGGAAAATACGCATGCCTAGGCCCGCTAAAAACATCAAGAATAAATTGGCAAGAAAAAATTTTTATCGAGTGGAAATAGAAAGGAAACTCTGGAAATAACATATTTTCTTGCTAATCATTGTCATTTCGATACATTTCGAGGAGTACAAGCAAGTTTTCCAATCTGGGGATGAATCTGGGGATGAATCTGGGGATGAATCTGGGGATGAATCTGGGGATGAATCTGGGGATGAATCTGGTGCTGAATGGTACGCGGTAAAAAAATCGTAGAGAAAAATTCGCTTCGCGCGAAAAAATCGTCTATTGTAAACCAGGCTTAAGAAGTAACTGCAGCGAGCAAAAATTATGATATTGAAATGAAACATCCACAGTCTACTTACAAACGCTGATGCACTGACGGTTTGCAGAATTCCACACTGGCCCTTGGATTCTCTGTTAGCAAAGTAACTTGCACTGCCTGCTGCAGCAACGGCCGTCAGAGAGCCGATTAGCAATGGCGCCATATTAAAGGCTTTCCTCGTCCCAGAATTACTTGAAGAAAAAAAGGACCGAGTAGCCGCAGCTACATTAAAGTTCCTGGTGGATCTTATCACAGAGAGTGCCCTTGATGCCATTTTTGAGCCTGCTCTTTAAAGAAACCGTTCTGCTGCTGATGGCCTTTACATGGAAAGAAGGGAAGGCCTGTTGATCTCCTCTCCATGCAACCTCTATCTCAGCAGCCACAAATTTTCCGCGAACTCGAAAACCGTAGCATAACAAGAATTTTTACAAAAGTTCTCGAAATGAGAGGTTTAATCACAAGTGTAGCTCAAATTGCTTGGTAAAGCATTCTTATCATTGCTCTCAACGTGATAAACATTATCAACAATTGATTATTGGGAAAGGAGGGTGAGAAATGTGGCGTTTCTTGGCTATTTCTGCCAAACTAAAGGATTCCATCATTGAGTTACCAAGGGGTACAGCAACTCCCTGGCCAAGCTACTGCTCCAGTGACCTAGTTCTAAGACTCTGGTTTTGTATGGTAAGAGGAAATGGGAGTCAATGACATAACTAAGCAAGGGGGTTCTTGGATAAATTTTGGGTAGCGGTCTGCCGCGAACACATTCAACGAGGTCGACGAGGTTCGACGAAAGGTTGGCTTAACTTAATCTTAGAAAAATGGTACTCTTGGGTAAACCAACTCCTATGCGAAAAATAACCTCGGCATTGTCTAATATTCAAAAACGAAATAGTTTAAGATTCATTTCCAAGCAATTCGAGTTAGTAGATGTTTCAAAATTGTTGGTTTGAACTCGGAAATGTCTAAGGTCGATTTGTTTGAATTTACTAGTTCACTATAAACATAAAAGGATTCTCAGGAAGAAAGGCCGCTCCTTAGACCAATATTGTCAAATTACCCTTAGCTAGACTAGTCAGTTGACAGAGAAAAGATGGTCCTCGGTGTAATAAATGTAATGGAGTGGTCTCTCCTCGATTAGTATAGCTACTTAAAGAGCTCCTCCTCAAGAAATTTCCCTGCATACAAACCCCTCTAATTCCATTGTTTAGACAACAAGAAAATCGCTTAATTTGTTTATGTATCAAATTTATTTTCAATATTTAATGTAGTAAAGTATTGAAAATAATGAAAAAGTGAAACTGAACCTGGAACTATGGGTATTATCATTAAAGTTAGCGAGCACAATTTCCATGTTATACTCATTTTGCACCGCATGGTGAACGAGCTACATTCATATTGCAAAGAAGAATAACACCCCAGTCTTTAATTTAACCGTGGCAAATTATCGTCATTTTCTTTTAAAGAAAGGAATCCCTAAGTTTTTTGGGTTATTGCAACAAACCTCAGCTACTATTTATGTCATGGTGTCAAGTGCAAGTTGACTATTGTTGATGGCTGTTATTTATGTTTGCAGAGTGGTGTCAAGTCGGTGATTAGCCCCAAATATTTAATTTACCAGTCACCCCTTGAATAAATCTCAAAGACATGCAAGAAAAGCCTCGTTTAAGTTGCCATAAATCTTGACAAATCTACATTACACATATATTCATTACACGCCTTTTTATAAAAGTCCTAACTCAAAACTTAGGTCCTAAAAGCTACTTAACTGCACATTTTGTGACATGAGAATAGCATAGACACAGAAAAAGAAATTCTGAGTTTTGCTTTCAACTGGAGCTAGTAACAAGGCCAAAAGGCAAAGAGGGCAAGAAAAATAATTAATTTGCATAAAAGTCCTATGTTAAATAAAGAAGTACCTTTGCATTTAATAAAGAGAAAGACAATGACTACACTTTTTATTATGGGATTGTAATAAATTTTGCCCAGCCTTGATTTTTCTATGAAAATTTTCGCTTTGAGCCTGAATATGTTCTTAGATGTATCCCTATCTTTTCGAATCCGATATAGTTTCTGGAAAAAAATCGCTTGCTCTCGAATAGAGAACAGACATTTTGAAAAAGCGAAAAATGTCAATATTGCGATTCTATGTTGCAAATATTGTGAAAAAGCAACTTCTGAAAAATGTGCACTCTATGCCAAAGGTCACCTTTTCTTTCTTTCCCCAACGTCTGTCAGTAGAGTTTAAGCATGATTATTCCCCTTCCCAATTTCACCCAGCTACAATAATCTGTGTTTTTCTAAGAAACGTCGACTTGTCTATCCTGAATGGTATAGTATTTTGCTAAACTTGGTCTGGGAGATGCTTTTTAGCCTTTCTAGAACGTCTGATTTAAAAAATATTCTTCCCTCGTCGGACCATGGTGGGTCCTCCTCCATGGTGGGTCGTCCTACGTCACGAAACTTGATTCTCAGCCCCCCAGATTCAATTTCTTTCCCCTGTCTCTGAAAATGTTATCAATTCAATTATAAAAAAGTCGACATTTTAAAAAAAATCTGTAAAAACCTTCTATATAGCCGAAAAAATCTTACTAAATCTAAAAGTTTTATTGAGTTATGCATCTGTTTTTTTGGTTTCATGACCAACTGCACACATAAAAATTCACTCGCTCTCCTGACCGATTTACGGCCCTGATGTGAACCTTTTATTAAAATTTGTTTAGCCTTTAATTTTGGGTCATTCTGGAGAAAATAAATGTCGATGTCTACGGGCATTTTGCTACGTCTACACTCCAGTAATCTTTTGTAAAAAAATAATTTTTATTTGTGTCTCATTTATTAAATAAAGATGTAGTAGTTAAATACTGCTGTGAATGAAATGTTCGAGTTTGAGTTTGCAAAGATGGTGCGTTCTAAATTCTTTTAAATTTTGAAATTTTCTTTGCCGTCTAGAAAACTGAATTTTTTTATTTTGACTGAAATCAAGGTATGCTTCTGCATAGATAAAAGGAGACGTCTATCAGACCGAAGGGAAAGTAATCCCTAGTGATTAAACTTTCAAATAAATCCTATTCTAACAAGTAACATCGACCCTCTATCCTCTTCATTCCTCCTCGCATAAGGGTTTATTCTATCAAGGTCCTCCCATAAGGGTCATGTCCAAAAATATTTTTCCATTTCTCAAATCCAAAGATCCCTGAACCCAAGATGACCTATGATTGGTTTTTATTTCTTGCCCTTGTTTTTAAAATAAGATTTATCGCAATGACATTTTGCTCAAGGAAATGATAAATAATTTCATCTTGCAAATTCTCTGACGATTAAGGTTGAAGCGTAAACAAGCTCAAAAGCTGCTTTTTTCAAAAAGTGAAAAAATACCAGCCATGCTTTAAAATACATTCTGCTGAAGTAGAATATCAAGTACATCTATTCTAAAGAAGCAATACATTCGCAAATGAATTGTATTTTGTAGTTGTTTTAAAAGAAACTCGATGAATTTAGCGAAGGATTACTCCCTTTGCCGTGGAATGTTGCATGTGCTATGTGCTAAATTGCTTTTTACAATTTGACAAACGAATGAATGCAAAGGGCAGGTCTTCTGTGTTTACTGCCTGCCAATAATCATTCTGTCATTGAGGGAGCACGTGAAATTTTTTAAAAAATATTTTACTTGCATTGCATAAAACTTTAGGTAAAACACAATATCATTGAAAGAACTAAAAAAAGGGCTGAGTTAGAATGTTGGAAAAAAGTACTTTCTGATGACAGGAAGTTTTTTCTACAGTAGTTGTAAAATAAACTCAAAAAGTCAGCATGATTGATCACTTTAGACTTTCAAGAAAGCATACGCGAAGACAACAAAAATATGATATTGGTTACACCTATAACGTTTTCTGTATTTGTGATATTAACCTCAAACGGGGTCTGAAATGTCGTGGCTCGAAAATTTTTATGCCTTCGGATATGACTCCTGTATTAGAAATTCCTTATGTTTTGCCTATCTGAGTACAACCTTTCTTTAGAAACACTTTCTTATGAAACACTTCCTTACAAATCTACTTAATTTTTACATTACTAAATCTGCTTACAGCAACCAATTTAGAAATCAATCTAATTGATTGAATTTTTCTTCCAGGGCTATGCCCCCCCCCCCACTTTTTTGCGAAGCAAGTAGTTTAAAAGCTGCAGTAAAAGAGATAAGAAGCCTTTGTCCCCAACTTTTTTAGCCTTGCCCCCCCCTCCCACTTCCAAATTCATGGCGCGGGCCCTGTCTTCAGTTTATTCCTCATAAGTAAATCATCAAAGCATACAGATATAGTACCCTAGGTTCGGAACCAAAAGCCTCAGTGAAAGAATAAGTCGAACAGTGGTCCCCTTATCAACCCAATCGTTCACAGACCTATTCGCTCACCAAGGTTTTGGCACATTGGGTAAACAGCTATAGCAATAGAAAGCATAAATTCTACGTTTTCTTGTCGTCGATGGTTGAAATAAACATTTGGATTATTTTTAGGCTATACTCTATTTAGATTTGAGGCGAAAATAAACAAGGCCCATATTGGTAAACACTTACTCTGCAAACAGAAGCTTCGGCTCCTCTAAAAGTTGGCAAAAATATATCTTGATTTACCAAGTGCTGAGCTTTTATAGTACCTCAACAATAAAGAATTAATTAATTCATACAAAATAGAATCATTACTTATGCTCATGGTAAAGCTTGGGGTTCTATTTTCCATATCGAGACAATAATGCAATGTAGTGTATTATGGAACAGCAAGAGACAGAAGGCTTATCGATCTTGTGTTTTGTATATGTTAAGCTTTGAGGGCATTCCTCTGTATTACTCTAGTGACATAAACTTCATTTTCGTCGCTAAACAATTTTATGTTGCAGGCATAATATCAGTTTTTCCATAATTTCCAAAATGTTTTTCTATTTATGCGAAACTGGTTTATAAGAAACCAGTACTAGGATGGCCAACAATTTAAGAAACTTTAATATTAGGTTCAAGAAAACTTATGAAATCGAAAAATTTCCGTTTTTAAAAAAAGAGTCCAAAAGTTCTTACTTTGTTGATTTTCCTTTAGAAAAGATAACGTACATTGGATTTTGATCTGCACTGGTCTTTTTCGTGACGATCTCAGCGTATATTTTTCCAAAAGTGATCATGTTCAAGAGGATAAGGCAATTTTAGGTTCCAAAAATAAGAAAACAACTAAAAAATTTTTAGTACTAAAATGAAAAATTTGGATGCGAGATTAAGAAACTTTTAGCGCTTAATGCTGATCCAAGTTTCCTATAAAAATGTGCAGCAGCATACTTTACATTTTAAAATCACTAAAATAGTGGCTAACAAGCTGTCTGTATATCATCCATAACTGGTAGATACCGCTTACTATGAATTTTCAATCATGCCTAATTTTTCCTGTGTATTAGAAACAATTTGTCCTCTGAGCAATGACAAAACTAAAGGGTATAGACGCTTAAAAGGAGGCTAACTAGAAAATGGATGATGCTTGTCCTGTCTTTCTTAAGTTTACGGCGTGACAGTGGCAGTAACATTGCACTAACAAGCAAACTCGAAGAATGCAGAGAAAAGGGCAAGTGAGGGCTTATGCCCTTGAAGAGTATTGGACAGAATGGGGAACAGCGCAAACAGAATTATTCATCAAGCAAAATATCCAAAGAAATTTACCGTCATTTAAAGTAAAGGAAGCAACTGAAGGTATTGCAGAAAATACATTCCACCTAACTTTTCAGTAAAATTTTTCGAAAGGCAGTGTGTTCAAAAAGCTTGCAAATAGATGCACTGGTGATGAAACGTTGACTTTTGATTGGTTTAGAATGAGCTTTGTGCTTTGATTGGTTTACGTCGAGCTGCATATCCCAGTCAAGGAAGCTACTTCTACGGATTTACTACTTTCAAGTTCTCATAAAATTTATCTATTAATGTGCACTGGTATGAAATTTTGTAACACGTTTAAATTCTTTGGCTCGATTCATTTATTGTAATGATTAGCATATGGCTTTATTTTTGTACTCAAAAGCATATAAATTACACCAGTAGATTAAACGGTCTTTGGGCGGATAAAAACGTCTTTAAAAAATCCTTTAAATTGATTCCTAATGACGGATAGCGGGGTTTATAGCTGTGTTTATTTAGAGGTAATTACCAAGGTTAATTTGTTTGCGATTTAGCCTGGGTAATCTGCTTCTTTGGGCTTACTTTTACGGCTTAAAACTTAACGTTGTTCTTCATACCGGTAGATCTTTTGTACCAAGAAAAACATCGAAATATTTTCATGCCGAATCAAGGTCTAAGCAAAAATCAGCCGCACTGGCAACTCCGCGCTATGTCCGTGATGCGATAAAACCCGGATATACTCTTTCAATACGGCCACTTGATCTTACATTTCAATTCAATGCGGCAGTTGAAAAAGTCGATGATAAAGCAAATCGTGATGTAATGCAGAAATATTTTCGATTACGGTGGTATTATTGCGGCATCTTCCGTGTAGGTGTATGTGTGACTAAATTTGTTCTAGAAAAATGTTTTTGAGAAAACCGTTGCAGCCCATGGCAACAGATGATTTTTCGTTCTTGATTTGATGCCCTGGAAATTGACAGGTGCTAAACCTTGGTGGAAACAAACTTTGGAAATCATTAGGAATAGATGAGGCTGAGATTCCCAGGGAAAACTATATCAAATGATTCTGTTGATGAAAAGCTGGAATTTTTAGTAGGTATCTACAATCCCAGCCTTGAGTAATTGCTGTCTTAGAAAAAAATAGCTGTTTCCAGTAAAAACATGAAATTTAATGTGAAAAAAGATTTATAATGAAATTGTAAGTATATTTCGAAAGAATAGACCCTAGCACCCATGAAAAATGGGGTGCAGAATTTCATGTGAATACTAAAATCGTGATGACAAACCTAAGAGCTGATGAACCATCTACAAAGACAAATAAAAAGAAAACAAACTACTTGATTTCATCAAATACACTCTTTTTTCATAAAAGAACAATTTTATAAGAACCTTAGCCTCAAAATTGACTCAAAGTTAAGAACCAATTAAGAAGAAGCTGAGTTTGGGACACTTCAATACATAATTTTAAACAATGTTTCATCTTTTTCAGGGCTTTTTCGGTGAATTTTCAAACATCCCGGCAAATCAAGGATGTCTCAATCATTTTGCTAGTAAAAGAACCCTGAACACCTTCCTAGCGCGCTAAAGCAAGCAATTGCACTGCTTATACCCTAAAAATTTAAGAACAAATTAAGAACAAACCAGCCTCAAAATTTCGAAATATTTAAGAAAGGTGCATTTTATGAAACCATCGAATATTGTAAATTTTGCTTTTTCAAAGGGGAAAAGTACTGCAATTGAATTTTTCATTGGGTGCAAGCTGTGTCCATTATACCATTGGTCATAAAAATCCAGCCTAAAAGACCATTGAAAATTCAAAAATACGTGAAAATGAATGAATCATAAAAAGAATAGTCTTCCGATGCAGGAAGTAAATTGACAGGTTTATAATGACCAATTGAGTGGGGTGTTTCCTTTTGTATCCCATAGGGGGCTTGCTATAATTAGTAAAATTTGATTGTAATTCACAGAAACGGCAGTTTCTTAATTCTTCACAATAATAGAATCCGGTGTCAGTTTGAAAATTGTTTGGGACTAGTATGAATGGTGCAAATTAAACTTGATGCAAAATATGTGTTTTACCGAGGTTATTTGTTAAGCAAAAATGTGGGGCTTTCTCCCCTCAGCCTTTCGTCGTAAGAGGCCCTTGATATAAAGGAAGCCATAAATCTTCGTAAAAACAAGCTTTTCACACGTGTTTCTCATAAGATCGTTCATTGCAGTACCCGTTTCCATTTTACAGCAAGGCACTTGCAACTTCTTATTCTGCTCTTCTTTTGCATCCTCTAAGTTTTAAATCTTTTGCAAAGATAAAGCAAATCGCAATCTCGTAGCTAGAAAAAAGAAAAAGAAATGTCTGTTCCTTTAATGCTGAAGATCGCCGATCAAGGAGGTCTTTGTAGCTAAAGTACGGGTAAGCCAAGAGCAAATTTTGGTGTATCACATGTTAATTGTGATCGATAGTGAGACAACAGGGTCGCAAAAAACACAAAATCTTTCTGGTTTGCACAGAGTCCGAAAAATATGCAATATTATACCGGTAGGCGATGGGTGGAGACTGCTTGACCCAGCGATGAAACAAGTTACTATTTGAAACATAATAGCTTCGTCCCGTTGCAACATTTTAGTGAGAACCGCAGTTTAGGTGACGTAGTACTTAAAAGGGTACGAATAATACACTACGGTACGGTGAACGAGCGGTCCGGAAATTTCGTCACGAGCCTGACTAGTGTACCCTCCGCCTAAACTATGGCTTGAAAGCTGGACCGCCAGCGAAAGCGAACAAAGAAGAAAATCATTTAGAATGCAGTTAAAAACTCGAAAGTAAATACAAAGGTAAAAGCGATTAGGCCCAAAAGGACTTGCGTTAACTTCTATTTATGATCTAAGTCACACAGAGGAAAGCAGTGGGAAAATAGTCGACATTATAAATTCCATTGTATTCAAGCTGTTTGAAGCAAATAGCAGAATAATTATTTTGTCGGTTTTGATTAAACATTAGCCGAATTGAATGGAGAGTAAATATTACTAACGACTCCCACTGGACGAGAGCATAAATACGACAGTATACGTGTAAAAATTCATGAATTGTTTTTGACCCAAGAGAGAGCATCATTAAACCGAATGCCCAAAGGACTGTGATGACAAGGTCTTTATAACGTCTTTTCTCACGCAGATTTTGCAGCAATTAGAGAAGAGGAACATAAAATAAGGTAAGCGTTTTTAAGCTTCTGGTATTCGAATTTTTTTCCTGTTATTCGTTGACTGCTTTTGATATTTCAGATATGTTTTTTTTTCATTCTTTACAATTACTCCAAAGATAGCAACTCAACTATAGACCTTGAAAAAACATTCCAGTGGAGATTTCAAATATAAATCATTCCATCTGACTTCCGTATGATTTATTCTGATGCAGCAAATTTATCGAAATTTCGCAATCGCCTAATCGAGCATTAGGTGACAAACCTTCGATTTCCGATTGCTGCTAAATGAATTCATTTCGTTATGTCGCGCGATAGGTTTTATAACCTATATTGATATCTAACTGCTTATGCATTCAGGAAAATGGATTTGAAAAAAAAGTTGAGATAATAATTTGTGCAGTAATAGTAAGGAAAGACCTAAATAAAAAGCGAAGGAAGTTGAAAGAGAACGGAGAGAATTTTGCTGGTTTTTGCGATCATCATATATCGTAAAACACTAATCTTTTCACGGTCAAAAACTTTTGTGAAATGTTTCCTTTTTGGTAGCCTAAAAATTCCGTTTAGACTAGCAATTGACAAAATAGCCACTGAATTTATATCAAGCTGTCAAATTGATTTCAACTCATACATTTAAAGGTGCATATAGAAAGGTTGCCCCTTGTGCTCACTGCTGCTACCGGAGAGGTACGACCAACAGTGATCTTATTCCTTCTAAAGAAATGATTTAATATGCCATGGACACTGTAAGCATATATCAAAGCTTTCTTCTTTTCTTGGGCTTTAGCATAAGCAAACATATTTGCCTCCATTTTAGGTACTGTTTACGTTGCTGCGTTATTGGGAATTCAGCATGCCGCCGTCAAAGCAAAGACTGAGCCATCTCATTAAAACCGAGCCAGCAGAGAACTTCGAGATGCAGGCTACAGCAAACAGCATTCTTGGCAAAAGAAAATACAAAGAAACTATCTACGGTGCAGCGACAGCACGGGCATCCAAGCGAGCTCGAAACATTGACGAGTCGTCAGACGGAGAAACGTCTCCAAGGAACTTTCGCCCTCATGCTGGAGTTAAAGAGAAGGACAGAGCAAAAGCTTTTAACATCGCCTTTGACAGGTTGAGACAGTCCATACCGTCATTACCAAAAAGCAAGAAATTATCCAAAATTGAGGTTCTGAGACTTGCAATTTGTTATCTGGCATATTTGCAAAACGTTCTCAATGAATAAAATGCTCATGCCTTGATCCAAACACGTTGTTTGTCTCGAATACGAGATAGAGAGTTTTCATCCATTAAGAATATGCTGTGTCGATAGCTGTCCAAGATATCAGGAATCGCTTTTAAAGCTAAATACACACAAAGAAACATTCTAAAGCATAAAGTCGCTGGCGAACTTTAATCCATCCACTCTTTCATAAATTGTAAATACGAATTCGCACCATTTCGTGTAAAAACCAATGTTTTGTTTTGTTTTATAATGTATAAAATATTAATGCATATACAACCGAATTTCTCTAGATATGTAGTAGCCTAAAAGCGTTGGTAATGATAGCATTATGTCTTACGAAGTAATGTATGTTGATTATGAAATGTCATGACGAAATATTTTGATTGATAAAATTCTTTTGAAATCCTATTTGAAGATCGATAAAGTTCATTTTGAGGTATGGTTCATATGACATCAGTCGTAGGGCAAAGTGGGATCACAGTAGTTTTTGGCTTTTGCTGACATAGGTAAGGTTATCAAAAGGACTTCTCACTTCTGATGTCAGACGAGTTGTCAGCATAAAGCAATGTTTTTATGCGGGTATTTACAAAACGTAACAACTTAAAATATTTCTTTTTATGATATCTTTAATAAGATAGGTTAGAGAAAACTGGACGTTATGTTGTTATTTTGATATCCAACTGAGCAGACACAGAAAATTTAGCAAACTTTCCAAACCTCATATGACGATGTAAAAAGTATATTTGTGAATGTTGGCTAAGTTTAAGCTTTTCAAAAAACAAACATCTCTAAATAAAACCATCTTAAGTCATTTCGGGGCAAATTTAGAGCGGAAACGTCGCATTCCATACATTTGAATGACATGAGCTATGGAAAAGCTTTTGCTGAAAATCATTGACGTAACAAGACGAATTTATTTAGTCAGTGCATGTACACCTGATAGTTCTATCCTATCTGTTTGGGGGTAGGAAATGCAAAATCTTTACTTAGTCTCTTCTCTTTGATAAACCCCTCTCCAATAAGCATCTCTTTCCAAAAAGAAACTTGAAATAAGCCACCTTCAGTTAATTAATCAACTCTTTCCGACCTTATGCATGAAAAGCAGACAAGAAAAATACAAAGATTATAGTTGCAGCTTTCAAGATTTCTGATGCCTCGGGTTTTATGTCAAAGCATACATGTCAACTTCAGTCATAGGTTGGACTTTTGTACTAGTGTTCTTTTTTTGCCAACAGAGCCTCGCTGCTTTGATAGTGCACTTGTTTAGGAGGAGCGTAAAATAAAGTTTAGCGTTAAAATGAGGGGGCGTCAATAAACTGTTTAGAGATTGGCGTTGTTCATATTTTGGTATTTTTCGCTTTGTTTATCATAAAGATATCATTGGAAATTTTTTGTATGTTTGACGAAACAAGTGAATGTTTAGAACATGTACTCAACCGAGTACCTGATTGCTGACCATGTAAATCACTGGCAAAATTTCTCGAAAAATCCAACACTTTGCGCTGTTTTTCTATTTTTCATTTGTTTTCCCGAACACTACTACTTCCGTCTCCCTTTCCCCCCAAAACAATGTTGATAGTCTTGAAAAATTGTAAACAAGCTATAAGAAAAAGCGTACTACGTACCCTCTTTCTTTTTTATATGGTAAATTAACATTGTTCTTAGGGGGAGAGGGGAAGGCTGAAGTTGCCTTTGAAAACCTAGGTTGATGTTCCAAGACTTTTGGCAGTGATTGTAAATAAATAGTAGTGCAGCTATCGACTTGTTATTGAAATAGATTGCTTGCTGCTCTTTTCTAAGCTAATTACAGGATTATCGTTCAAACACTTCTAGAAAATTTGAACGCTTGCTTAACTAGGACAAATTATTGTGCACCAGGTAGAACCATTTAGTTTATCTCGCAGTTATCAATAGCGAGCTTCTTAAATAACAACTGTAAAACATTTTACCATATCTTTACTTTCTATTTTGCACTACCTTCTTCCTAAGTGACGAAACTTTGCTTTTAAATAGGGACATTAAAAGAGAGTCCATTAACTTTACTTAGCTGAGCTTAGACTATTTATATATGATTATTATAAAACACCTTTTTTGTAGATAAATTTTCTCAGTGTAGCACATGGTTTTAATTAAGATCATTTTGCCAGGCCAGTCTATCCTGTGCTAGTTCACAAAATTCTTTTCATTCGATTTCATAAATATTCCGTAGGATTGATTTCATTTTTGAAATCCAAGTTAGTTTTGGGAGGGCTCTTGGTCTTGTATTTTTTTTATCAGTGTATGCCAAGGCTAGCTTTGCAGGAGTTTGTTCTGGTAAACAAAGTGCATGTCCTAACCATCCAAGTTGACGTTTTTCGATTATCTTGCTCCCTAGAGTTTCATTGGTTTGTTAGTAGACATCGTCATTTTTCATTATTTTAGGATGAATTATGTTTAAGATGTATGTTCTTAATATTCTATGGAAACTGTCAATTTTAATTCAAGAGATTCGTTAATGTCCAGAGGTCTGCCTGAGTTGTATAGGAATATGGATGTAACGTAAGGGTCAAAGACTTTTAATTTTGTGCTGATGCTGAGGTTTTTGTTGTTGAAGATGAAATCCAGTATGATGGCGGATTGAATGGCGAGGCCTTTGCGTATGTTGGAGTCGTTTTCTGCATCTAGTACACTACCAAGCAGCTTGCATATTCCCATTTAAATTCACATGCATGCTCACATTTGCATTTTGTGATAGTAAAATTTTCGGTCTTGTATTTATGGTCAAGTTGCGTTTTGAAAGAACTTCTGGCAGAACTTTTTGTTTTTGTTGAATGTATGTGTAGTCTGATGTTATACTTGTGATGTCGTCTGCATATTCTAGGTCTAATGTTATGTGATTTTGCAACATTAGACTTGTTTCAACTTGGTGAGGGAGGGGCAACTGCCCCTAGTTGCCCCCCCCCCCTTAAATCTGCCACTGCCAGACTCTAACTGATATTTCAAGACTATCTAAAACAACAATTTTCAACATATTCTCTAGTCACTGAATAATAATGAATAATTAGAAGATTAAGCCTGGAATTTTTGCTTCCTAAACAGTCATTCACATTGGATTGGAAGTGTATTTTTTTGCTTTTTGATATCACCAGTCACTACATATTGGTATAACTGGATCCTTCCATCAAATCAACATTTTTATGTCTTTTTAGAAACCCATGTATCAATATGATTATTAATTTTGGTTTTCAGTTCTTTTTGTTATCAGCCAAGCCCCAATCAAAAAGGGAAAAAAACTTTTTTTAATGAGATATTGGGTTGAAAATATGTTGATTAATATTGATTTCCAGCTCAAACAAATGGGTATTAGATTGTTTATCTGCGTGTCTTCCTTGCAAAATAGCAAGCAATCATTTATACACAAACAAAACATTATTCTATGCCTTCATCAGCCTGTTTTCATAAAGGCTCTGGTAACATAAAAAAATAAAACATCAGGAAGTTAAAATCTACAACCCTAATTCATAACAATCTATCCCCTAATTCTGTTTTCAAAACCGTTTTTCCAAACTGTTTTGTGTCCTTTAATGCCATAGGAACAGTTGATCCAGTTGATTCAAGCAATAGTTTCAACTCTTCAGCTATTTTGCACTCTAATGTGAGAAATGTTGTTGCCTTCCCGTGTCGGCCAAACCTTCCTGTTCTACCACATCTATGAATATAATCCTCAATACTGTTTGGTGTATCATAATTTATTACATGTGTAATGTCAGGTATATCTAGTCCTCTACTAGCCAAGTCTGTTCCTACTAACACATCTAACTCGCCATTTCTAAAATCAGATAATATTTTGAAACGGTTGTTTTGGTTAAGTTGGGAGTGCAATCTTTCAACAAAGAATTCTTCCTCTTTCAGAAGTTGTGCAATTTCATCAGCCATTGTGATTGATGATACAAATATAAGCACTGGTGGGTATTTGGTCTGGCGTATAGTCTGAAGCAGCTTTTTCTCTTTTTGATAAGTGTGCATGAAAATCACATTCTGTTCTATATTCTTACAAACAGTATCTTTCAAACCCACATTAATTGTGATTGGGTTGATAACAGATGATCTTGCTAGTCTCTCAAGTGACGAAGGAAGGGTGGCAGACCATAGACTTGTCTGTTGAGGCATTTCATTTGACATTACCATGGCCATTAATTTTCTCAATTGGTCTTCAAGGTCCATATCTAACATCTTGTCACATTCATCTAAAACTATATACCTTACACTTTTAAGGCAGAGCAAATTTCTTTGACATAAGTCAAGAAGTCTTCCAGGTGTTGCAACTATTACATCAACTCTGCTTTTTAGTCTTTCAATTTGTGGCTTCATTGGCACCCCTCCACAAATCCCATACACACAATAGCCTGTTGCTGAGTCTATGTTTTTCAAGTCAGTCTGTGTTGTGTGGAAAAATGGCTGCCTAGTGCCATAATCTGCATTTGGATATTGTGAACCTGTATTCTGAGATGGAGGGTTCCAAGAAAACTGATTCACTGGATTCTGGTAAGTTGATATGAAATTCAATTGGTCTTGATTTTGTCTTTGAGTATGCGAATGAGTAACAAATCTTTCCTGTGAAATATTTCCTTTGTTTAAATCACCCAGAAAGCTTTCACAAGTATCCAATACTTGCTGCATAAGCTCTCTTGTCGGAACAACAATAAGTGAGGATGTATTGTTTCTGCTCGTGATTTTAGCTGTGTTGCTTTTAAGAAAGGCAAACATTGGCAGAAGGTACCCAAGAGTTTTTCCAGAGCCAGTGGGAGCTATTGCAATTAAATCCCTGCCTAATAGTTGGATTGGGAGAGATTGCATCTGCACTGGTGTTGGTATCAATATACTGCGATGTTTTAGAACTTCGATTATTTCTGTCTGCAAATTCGACTCCTCGAACCCCAAAATAGGACCAGGACAGTTATCAGTATCGACTTCAATTCCATTTTCAAATCTTATTTTTTCAACTTCCTCTGTTGTAGCTTTCCTATCATTTACTTTGATTTTGTTTCCATAAGGTTTTATCTGATTTCCATCAACTGATCCGATCTTCCTTTTGAAATTAGGGCGAATTGGAATAATGTCGTCCGTGTCCTTAGCACCCTTTCCTTCCGCCATTTTTTCTGTTTGTGGCCTCGTACTGAACCTTGGCGTAAAAGCCTCGACCGGGTGGGGGAGGGCAACCCATTTTGGGAACGCCAAGGGAAAGCTAAATTATTTCGGACAACACAGGCACGGCGCCACTGGGGGGGGGGGGCTGAAGGCACCCCACTTTTTCAAAGATAAATTTGTTTTGACTTTTTTATTATTATTTTTTAAACAGAGTATGAAATCAAAAAGAGAACAAATTGTTTATATACTGCTTGATTTTATTTGATCAATTTTTCTATAATTGTCTATTATTTGCATCAATCCAGTAGATAACTTTCTGTATCACTGCGATGTCTGCATTTTGTATGTGTAAAGGTGCAATGTCTCCCCAATTTTCCCTAAAAATCAATAATCAATAATTTTTGAGAAATGTAGAACTGTGTATTCTGAGCGGTGTAGCATTTTGTTAAAGTTGGTCTGGGAGATGCATCTTTAATCATTCTAGGAGGAGCAATTTCAACAATTTTCTTTCGCGTCTGATCCAGCCGTGGTGGGCCCTTTTAAGTCACTGTGTTCGGCAGCTCAAAGTTGATTCTTAGACCCCCCCCCCCCCCACAAGGTTCAATTTCGTGGCACCATCTCTGCAACAAGGTCTTTCATTGGAGTAAATATAAAGGGTCGATAAGAACTAACAGGTGCTAACAAAGTTCTTTTATCACAGTCTTGCAGAAGGTTTCTAAGCATTTATCCCTAGATTATGAAAAAATAACAGAATGGCCAACAAGAAAATAATTTCACAACTCTTCGTTCTCATAGCTTCAAATCTACATCGATTGTAATTTACTTTTTCTTGCGAGTCCCTGAAATTGCATTCATCATCTGTTGATGACTTTGCTATCGTTACGCGATTAGAGTTAAAGGCCTGGCCAAACGAATCAAACATCCGTAAAGCATAGCTCAATCTGGCCAAATGAATTAAACAATTGTTAAACATCTCATATGGTCAAGCGCCACCTACCGCACAGCTTCCTACAGTTACTGCGTTTTATTTTTTCGAATTCCAACAAACTGCGCTTGCGTTGGTTTGCTTTAATGTTTTAATGCAACAAAAGTTTCAATCGCTGTGTTGGATGATGTTTTATGCCGATGTTTTCTTCGTTTGGCCAGGGCTTAAGATATTCAAAAAAGCTTCTATGAGCTTCGCAAGTTATCCAGGTGAAGCTTGCTTCTGTTTGGTTTGGTGGAATATCGGACTTTCGCTTCAGTAAATATTTAAGGACATTCTTTTTGCTTGTACAAAAGTTGAGCTGCTGAACTCTTGAAAATGGCATTTTATTCACTAACTTTTATTCAGTCCCAGTAAATGACGTCATATCTCCCAAAACACTGCAATTTGGCATCATTTGCCATGATTTTAACATGATTGCCACGCATCAGTAAATATTTAAGGACATGCTTTTTGTTTGTACAAAAGTTGAGCTGCCGAACGCTTGAAAATGGCATTTTACTCTCTAACTTTTATTCAGTCCCAGTAAATGACGTCATATCTCCCAAAACACTGCAATTTGGCATCATTTGCCATGATTTTAACATGATTGCCACGCATCAGTAAATATTTAAGGACATGCTTTTTGTTTGTACAAAAGTTGAGCTGCCGAACGCTTGAAAATGGCATTCTACTCACTAACTTTTATTCAGTCCCAGTAAATGACGTCATATCTCCCAAAACACTGCAATTTGGCATCATTTGCCATGATTTTAACATGATTGCCACGCATCAGTAAATATTTAAGGACATGCTTTTTGTTTGTACAAAAGTTGAGCTGCCGAACTCTTGAAAATGGCATTTTATTCACTAACTTTTATTCAGTCCCAGTAAATGACGTCATATCTCCCAAAACACTGCAATTTGGCATCATTTGCCATGATTTTAACATGATTGCCACGCATCAGTAAATATTTAAGGACATGCTTTTTGTTTGTACAAAAGTTGAGCTGCCGAACGCTTGAAAATGGCATTTTATTCACTAACTTTTATTCAGTTCCAGTATATGACGTCATATCTCTCAAAACACTGCAATTTGGCATCATTTGCCATGATTTTAACATGATTGCCACGCATCAGTAAATATTTAAGGACATGCTTTTTGTTTGTACAAAAGTTGAGCTGCCGAACGCTTGAAAATGGCATTTTATTCACTAACTTTTATTCAGTCCCAGTAAATGACGTCATATCTCTCAAAACACTGCAATTTGGCATCATTTGCCATGACTTTAACTTTTAGTTCCGAAGTTAGAGTGTATTTGGAGCAAATGGTTGTTTGTCTAAAATGCTAATAGCTTTCGCTTTCGACGAGAACATTTTATGACGACTTCATCAACATAAAGCTTCGGCCTTATATTTTAGTAAGAAGTGAAAAGGCAATATAAACTAATGAGTGATTTTTAAGCCATGTAGTCCGATGCAAATTAATTTAGTCAAATGCAAATTGTGACGGATAGTTTTAGAAGTTCATACCACTACTTAAGAATTATATTGATTGACATTTAGGAGTAAGAAATGAGCGATGCAGTCATGAAATACTCTGTTATTTTTCTTTACAAAAATGTGAACGACATCTAAAAATCTAATATTGACTTCAATTCTCTTTTGTACCCAAAAAGTTTTCTAAAATTTATTTTTGCTAAAAGAAATAAATGCAATGCTTTTAAGAGGGATATTTTCATTCTCTAAAAAGCGATTGGGAGCAAAAATTGCTAATTGTGAAAACAGAATGATAACAAATCTCAGATGACCTTTTTAGCTCTTCAATATTTCAATACGTAATACGTAAAAATTCTCTTTCTAGTATTGTTCTGGACAGATCTATCGCAACTACGATTCTTTTGAACGTCATTCTAAATATCTGCCTCACCAGTTTGTTATTCCTTGCAACATGAGCTGTTTTCGACCTTAGGCCCCTTAAATTGTCAGGCAGCTTTAAGTAATCAGAAATCTCTTCCAAATTTGTTCCAAAATTTATTTGCCCCTTCTTTTGAACGGCAATGGCTAGGTTAGTTTCATCTTGGAATATGTTCTGTAACTTAATTGCTACTTAAGAATCGAATCGTTTAGAAGTTTCGTAGCATGTCAGGTCAGATACATAGTGAACATCGACTTCTTCTAAACACAACGTTTGAGATCTAGGCATCATACAAATTAAAGGGCCATCAGCAATCTTCAACTGTTTGCATCAAGGGACAACAATATTTGTTTGCGTTTAAGATGCGCATGAGCACTGGATGAATGCTTGGTAGTCGTTTAAAGACTGTTTCGAGTTTATTAGTTTTAAACGACCATTGATTTTCTGGATACTTTCTTATTTCCCACATCTTCAAGTAACGTTCTTTGCGCAGGTGCAAATTTAACTTGCATGGTGGCAAGTAAATGAACTAGAACGAGGAAAAAACCGAAATCATATGACTGACATGAGCTTATAGTTTTTACGACATCAGCTATCACCAATCTGGGGCACACCTAAGAACTGCCGCACATCTTTAAAATCTTCCGACATCATTGAGGCAATATCATAACCTGTGTTTTATATTTGCCAAGCCATCCAAATGAGTGACCTTTCATAATGTTATAAAATTTCCATATACAGTATAATCCGGTTATAACGTACTTTAAGGGACCAGCGTATTAAGTACTTTATATATCCGAAGTACGTTGTAACGAGGGTAAGTAAAAGTTGACTAAAACCAAGCACACCTTTTGCCGGAACCAAGCACACCAATACTTTATATCCGAAAGTACGTAATAACCGAGTACATTATAACGGGATTCTACTGTACAATGTCTCTTGAAGCAGCGAATGCATTGCCTTGCCAGGTCAAAGGCATAAATTGCGCATAAGGGTTTACTGTTAAAAATGAGCACTAGCAGTTTTTCGCTGTCCAGTCCAGTCAGTAGAAGCGGTTTTGACTGCCATTCTATTTTAAAGTAACAAAACACAACCGATGTTATCTTTCTTAAATCTGCGCGATATTATGAAATTTCCTAAAAGACTCCCTGAAGAGGAGTTATAGCTACTTCCCTAATATGTTGAGGTCTTTTCAATCACTCTCAAAATTCGATTGGACAAGCGCCGTGGCGTGGCTAGAAAGTTTGCAAGCAAAACTAAAAAAATAAATTCAATGTTGAAAACGAATACCAACATTATTTTTTATATACAATCTTCTAGATTGCAGCTCAACTAGACAGTATAATGAAGATGATATTAAAAATTCAGTTCATACATAAGTATAAATACAAAGATAAAATTCACGAGAATAAAAATCTCTGACATTTCATATTCCGACTGTTCTCAAACAAGAAGAGGACAATAGAGGAATGTCTTAAAAATAACAAAAAAAAACGCCAAATGAAGTCTTTTTCATTGAAAATTATTATTCTATTTCCTTTCAGACTTTTTTCATCTCCTTTTAAAATACGAACTTGCCACTGCAGAATTTTCATGGCAAGCATGATCTAATCATTGAAAAATAATTTATCCAACGGGTACTGGTTGAGCTATCCTATGTTGCTAGGCACTTTATCAACAAAGTTAAAAATGAGGGAGAAATTAATTAGGTATAGATACTAAAATTGTACTTAGCGCTGTTGTGGAAAAGTAGATCCGAGCTTCTTACCTGCAGAAAGCTAAAATAGTCTAACGTGAACCAGACTATGATTAAGATGCACAAAACATAAGTAAATAGACAGATTCGAGAACAAGTCAGCAAGATACGTAGATATTGGCTTATGCCTGACAATACTTTATTCTCGCAGACATTCCCTATTGCAAATAGGGAAGTTCAGTTAACGAAGCGTTCTCATCATCTTTATCAGCTATACGCCTACAGCTCTTGAAAATACGTCACGTTGAGCATAATTGTTAGAATTATAAAATGACTTTCATAGCCTAAACCTAAAAAAAACGTAACGATAGAACATAAATCTTAATATAACATAACAGTATAAAAGAAAAATGTTAAACTGAAATTTTTACAATAATATGTACACAATATCAGTTTGCGTTATAAACAAAGTATAAATTGAGCTATCATACATATAAAGTGCATTTTAGAAAGATAATCGATTATTGCATTTAAGAATAACTGTTAAACAATTGCTAAAAACGTATGTTGAAATTTCGTGTTCCATAAAACAGATAACAAGTCAAAGATTAAAGGTGATAGAACTAGCTTCTACACTTTCAGACGGAGCAGCCCTGAAGATGTCAACTACGGAACCATCCATGGACGCTTGATCATCACAACCCATAGCTTTTATATATCAGCATGGAAGAATACGAAGAGTAAAGGAAAACATTGGGGAAACAAGGCTGCATTGAGTGTTGTAAAAATATGATGATTGCCTTTTACTTTACAGATTTGCATTCAGAAATAATTGGGTGTTGTTTCTATCAAAATTTTTTAATCGTCCATCTAGGAAAAAGTTAAAACGGTAATGATAAGATGATCGATTTTGGTTTCCATTCCAAGGAGACAAAATTTTAGCTGGATTGAATTAATATTCTCATAAAAAATCATACTTTTAACGGAATAATTAATCAATAGGTTTTTCTCTCAATGGATCTATTTTTTATTTATATTTCATATCTAGATACTTCTAAAGACAAGGTTTGATTTGGCTTTTAAAATATCACGTTTCAAAATCATTCAGGTTAGGCCCTGCTTGGTGTTTCCACTGGAAACCAGATGTTCCATATATGTTTTCATTGCTGGAAAGGAAGAATATGTTGATGGTTTATAATATTATGTATTCGTTTTGAAACGAGCATGGAATTGAGTGAAGTCAGTTTTCGTAATACAATTTGCATAAAAACATGATTCAGATTGCATAAAAATGCAGAATCCGAAATGGCCAATATAATTACAATGAAAAATCTGGACTGACCAAAATGCCTTATTCCTTTTCATTTAAGACGAATTAAGGCATTATGACACAGGCTCAATGTATCCTAGTTAGGGCTTCTGATCACCCGTATTTTCTAGCAACAACAAGTTATGTTATGAGGAATGAAAGGGAGAAAAACATAAATACTAGTTATATACATATTATGTTTTTCAATATACATATTATGTTTTTAATCATGGCTAACTGAAGGCTGTTCATTTAGGAAGAAGCCGCAATAAATACATATAATCATAAAATGAAGAAAATTATATCCATATCCAGTTGGAGAAAAAGGTGTGTGGTGACGAGAGAACATATTCACACTAGAATTCTGAGGTGTGGCATTATGAAGAACAGATTTTAGGAAATGTTTGCTTTTTATCATATAACATGAAAGAACAACTGAGATAGGTTTTCTGAAATGCAGTGATTGAAAATCTAAGTTTTGCTTAATATGGATTTATTATTTGATGAGCAACAACCTATATGCCAAATGAATATATGTAAGCCAATTTGTAACTTGTTCAACTGATATTAAAAGTAGGATAGTTGAAAACATATTTGCTCTTACCATACATCTTTCAGGAGAACATACATCTACAAAAATAGAATGATAGATGAATAATTACAGCAGAAATTATATTAAAATGTAAAAGTGGTAAAATCAGAGAGCTTTGTTGAAATTGAAACATTTGCAACAACCTAATTTCATTTGCTTGATTAGATATTTAAATTACATGAATGAACATGGGATCTTATTTAAAAAAAGACTCAACTGAAGAATACAACTAGCCGGAAACAGTGGCTGGCACAGAAAGTAAGATGATACAAGTAAAATATTGTGAGGGGATCAAACATCTATTGTTAAACAGCTATGCAGCAAAGAGACAAACCTAGTAATGTGAAACAAAGTTCAGTTGTTTGGTTATCAAAAGAAAAACTGTTTTATATCATGTTGAGAATCATGAGGGAACTGCAGTACCGGATGATGGAGGTCTCGTACCATAGTATGTACACATAAGAACTTATTCAATGTCACTGTCAGATATTGGATGTGGTGTATTCTGCTGCTTATCTTCTAATTGTTTTTTGCAATTAATAAAGAATGTTGGTATCTTTGAAAAAAGCAATTTCATTCCATGCAAAAATATTTCAAGCTTTCAGTGTTGAATGGTACTAGACTGGCACCAATAGTACCGCTGCCAGTCTATCAAGTTGATAGTGGGAATGCTACAGAGTTCAGTTATCAATTTTTAAAAATGAATCTTGCTGAAATGTGCAGCAGCCACCCTTTGCCACAATTCTTACAGGATAGGCCCCCTTGCTGTAGATTTTATGCACATCTGTTACTAAATTCAAGAAGTCCTCAGGTGTCAAGAAGACCTATTCAAAGACACAAACTTGCAAACCTTATCTAAAAATGTTTCTCCTATCTTATCAACAATTGTTTGTATCTGTAACTTCACGTCACTGATGTACTCTTCAACATTTGTATTTGGTGGGCAGGGTGTCATGGTGAGCTGATCAAGGGTCTTTGTCATCTGGAACAATGAAACTTAAAATGATTATGCTCACATTAATCAGCAAATGTGTAAAAAATTAACTTCAGTTTTTTTAAAGATAAACTGTTAATCTCTATCAATCATTAAAGCTTCTTCTATAGCATTTCCTACTGAAACTTCAATAATTGGTATAAAAACAAAAGATGACTAGCCATAATTTAATATATTATTTTAAAAAATAAATAACAGAGATGGGTCCATGCCAGCTTTTTCATTTTTTTTGCTTCAAACAAACCCAAGCTGTTGACCTGTTTGAACATTAGCAAAGAAATCACTTTAAATCCCCTTTGATCTTCAATGACAAACAAGGAAGCAGTCATGATTAAAAATGTTGGCTGGTAACCCAGTCCTGGTAATATTAGGCTATTGTACACACACGCCTCCACACACACCTAAAACTGCTGAGGCATGCTTTTTTCGCACACACAGTTCCATGTTTTGACTAACTATTCTTTTTCTCATTTGTTTCTTTAATTTCTTCTTTATTTTCTCTAAATTAATTTTTGATTTCTTTTGTGTGTGTTATCTTGATGGCATTTCGGGGGGGGGGCATTATAACTCTTTAAAGTGAAGTTTTGAATGACTCCACTTTGAACAATTGCCTGTTTGGTGTCAAATGATTCCATTTTTTAGTGTATTAATGGAACTCAAAACCTAAGACAGAATCCATTCTCACACAAACATGGAGTAATGGCAACAGGGCCTAAAAGCTTGTTATGCTTTGTTAAATTGTTCTTTTTTCCAAGAAACTTCTAAATTCCGTAAAATTTATTTGGTTCTATGGAAAACCTTGAATGCTTTTTCGAACAGTGATACTCCTCTTCAAATAAAAAGATGGCATTTAATAGGCTATCAGGTCTTCATAAAAATCATAAGGTCTATATTTTATAGATCTCACACCATTGCATGGCTAAACTTTTTTAGGCGTGCGATTACCAGCAAGCCCACCAGGACTGATAACCATTTTACAATTTGGTAAAAATTTGCTGTGTTTGATTATACTCACTTCAGAATAGCCAGCCAAATAATTTTTTTCCTCTACATCTTGTAATGAATAGAGAGCATCACAGCAACTTTTTACCAAATCAATAAAACAATGTCCCTTTTCAATAAATAATGTTTGCTTTTGTATTCTTGAACAAATTTCAGCCAATTTCACATACATCTGCTGTTTTGTGCTCAAATTTGAGCAGTTACATGTAGGTGCCACTGCTACAAAGATTGAAAAATGAAATACTTGAGTCTATCAAGGAAAAAATTTATTCAACCTTTCCCCATATGTATGATAAAACCTTACATCACAGGACGTTTATTGGCAATGAAGCTTCTAAGAGAACAGAAGAGCTTTCTGCCAGCATCCCCTTGCTCTGGTCAAATTTTCTCTTAACCTGCACCTAAGATATTCCAGGCATCCCTATACCTGGCAAACAGATAAGTTGAGAGTTGCCTTTTTTGTCCATTGACAGATATGATTAAAACTTCAAGTCACAAGGACAATAAACTCTTGTGATAGTAACACCAAATGTTGCTTGAAATATGTGACAGAAGACACAGGTGTTACTGTAAAGGAGCTAAATTGAACAGTAAGATTAACTGGGTCTAAATTTTATGGGACAGTAAATGGTAGTGTAACATTAAGTTAACCTAGAGATGTATGACATATGCATAATAAAATATATTTTTAGAATTTTTTTTATTTTGACCATATAACCTAAAAAGCACCTCATGAAATAATAAGCATCTCCAAATTTGGGTGAGATATGGCAAGTGAAAGATTTCAAGTTTGCTAATGGATAACTGCTAATTCGGCTCTTCTGTTTACCTGTGCACATGCAGGGCCTCCAGCGAAGAAGGGCCGGGGGGCCATGGCCTTCCCACTTTTCTCCAAAACAAAAGGCCTTTTTTTCAAAATCTTTTGTTATTCTCCGTTCTGGATTGATATCTTAGATTTTGCATCTTGCTATCTGCACACTTTTCTCAAAAATGGACTTCAGATTTTAAATCTTCATCTTGAAATTAGTTTAGACTGAAAGTTTACTGTTTCAGTTTCAAATTAGTTCATGTCGTTTGGACAGTTCGGTTGCGAGTTACATCAATTTGAATATTTAGATATTTCTATAGATTTGACCGGAATTCGCTGCTGTAGTGAAAAAAAATTAAATAAAGCAAGAAATTCCATTGAAATATATAGGAAAGCCAAATTTTGAAAATGGGTTAATTCACTGTCTGAGGGGCCAAACAACATGAAATTTTCGACACAGACTAATTTTAACATGAAGATTCCAATTCTATGATCCATTTCTGGGAAATATGAAGATAAAATATTGCCCGGTACAGAGAATGGTTGTTGAAGTTTTCCTTTTGGCCCCCTCACTTTCCAACCTGTGCCAAGAGCCCATGTCATGTGGCCATATCTCAGCTAATTCGTAATACATTTAACTCATTGTGGATATTTAGAGGCATTTCGTTACTTTGTTTCAGGTTATTGGATCCAAATTCAGAAAATCTAAAAAGACTTTCTGTGGGGTCATCGCTTTAATAATGACTACCTTACCTGCAATCACCTTTAGGTAACCCGTCATTTCACTGTCAAACTCTGCACAACCGTTTGACTCCAAAAAGATAGAGACAACGCATTTGCAGGCATACTCTAACAAAGTAATTTTAAAATGAGCAGCAGCCATGGTGTTTACATTCCGGCCTGTACACTGTACTGTGGGTAGGGAAAGACTCAGTCTCGTATTCATAATTTCAACCAAAGGGGGAAAAGGGAAAAGAGAGGCCCAACAACAATATTGTAAAGATGGAGTTATCAAGAAAGGACGTTTTGAAAGAACATGTACTTAAAATGCGAAATTGGTTTACTCAGAAACAATTTTTCAAGAATCCGAGGGTTTTTCTGCCATTTCTTGCATTGTTAATTTTCGTGTTAATCGTTACAGGAATTCTTCGAGTAATTTTATCATGGCTCTTTGTGTCGCTGACACTTATCATGAGTGTCATTTCTGGCATTTCCATTGTTCTAATAACAGGAAAACACAGAATTCCGCCAACGCCAAAACCAACTCGGGAACAAATTCAAGTAACAAGGACTTTGGAAATGTTGACAAAGACTTATAGTAGGCATTATTATACTCACAAGACTGTAATATCACGACAAATGGACAAGACATTGCAAGATGTCATAGATTTAGTAGTTAGAGATTTTTGTCTCTCTTGGTTCAGGGATATCGGGAAAGACGAGACAGCTTTCGTTGAAATTCTGAACAAAGAGTTTTGGAAAATAATCGAAAATGTGGTAGAAAGACTAAGGAATGTTGACCTTGTCAATTTTTTGGCCAACGATATGGTTATTAGACTTTCAACCCATTTTCAAGATTTAAGATTATCTGATGCAAGAATTTTACCAGGACAAACGAAGCCTTTTCTTTTGCATCCAGCACTTAAAGACAAGGAATCAGAGCTTGAATTTCTTCGATCTGCTGCAGAATCTCTCCTTTATTGTGTTCTGCCACCAAGTGATGCACATTGCACCCCAGTACGATACATATTGAGAGAGATTCTTGTGAATTACATTTTTCTTCCAACTGCAGAATCTGTTTGTGATCCTGATTATCTTAATCAGACATTGGTGATCTACCTTGAGGATAGAGAAAAGATCACAGAAACACACAAGCAGCAGTATGCATATGCTGAAACATATGAAGATTTTGTCAAACTTATAAACACAACCACCAACATAGAGACACTAAAACAAATAAGGTTGAAAGATTTTTCATCTTTTTTGCCTAGCAGATTTGAAGAAATAATAAATTTTGGAAAATTAGACAAGAAGTGCCAGAGTGCAAATATCTTTGCCTGCTGGAAATTATTTTCTGATGCTTAGGCTCATGCAGGAACACATCATGTAGAAAAATAGCAGGTTTAAAGGAAAAAGCTTTGGCAGATGGGACCCCAGGAAGATATAGAAAAGAGGAAAAAACATGTTCCCTGTGCATACCCAAATTTTGCAGTCCAGCTGGTGATCTAATCAAGAATGAAATTCAGACTTCCAATCTAATCAGACCATATTAACACCAAACCTTAATCATATATATGCCTATTATAAATTAAGAAATCTCTAATTCTTCATACCTTGGCAGATACCTAGCTCTGTCTATATATCATTGGGCTCTCTGTAGCAGAATGGTTAATTTTTACCTTAGCATGTTTTGTACATACTTTAACCAAAGTAATTTGTAGAAGCTTTGTACACAAACAGCCCATTTGATTACATTTTAGGTATCACACAATTGCAGAAATTATGCAGGCAACTGTTATTCATAACATGAAAGGAATTGATCACAAGGATGGTAATGAAAAGACAGCAAAGAGAAGCAAAAAAGAGATGCTCAGAGAAAGAAATTTGAAACGGTACATTAACCAATGCAGAGTTGCAAAGTCACTTTGTGAGAAAAGGATTAGGTCTTTAGGAGGTCCTGATTACAGAGTTTATGGCCTAGGTCATGGTAAACCATTGGAGGGAGCTAGTGTACAACAAGGAAAGTCAGTGAAAGTTAAAAGATCAAATTCCACCAAGATATTATCTTTCCGCCAGATAATGGATAACAGTCTAGCAAGGAGCTACCTGATGATGTATCTTCAAAGAAATAATATCAGTAACCTTCTAGGGTAAGAGACACATTTTCAGCAATTGTATTTGTTTGCAAAAAGTTAGGTGCCTTGTTTTGAAGTTGTCTGCAAGCTGCACAATGAACTAAGCAAAGTAAAAAAGAAGGGAACATGATAAGTTGCAAAATATTTTTAATGTTTCTAGAAGCCCTCTGTTTTGATTATTCTTCAATAAGGTATGAAATAGTGCAAAAAGAAGAAAAATGATTCATAATATCTTTTTGTTTACATTACATATTTTCTAGAAACAATGTGAAGGAAAATTCATTGAGACTTTGTTTGGCTTACTAGGTATTTTTAAGTTTAGTGATTCTAGTGTTGACTCAAGTCCACACAGTTTATTCAACTAACCTTAGAATAAAGTCTGAAATGCAATTCATGAAACACCTTTGGCATGAAATGCTATGGTACTCTAAGACGAAGAAGAAGAAGAAGAAGAATTTTAGTTTTGAAAGCTCCCTTTAAAAATATATTCTCTGAGTTACAGAAAAGAGACACACATTATTTGGATGTTTTGAAAATGTATTATGAAAGGAACACCAAAATCATTCTCCTTTTTTTATGGAACCTTGTACTATGAAAGTCATAAAATAGTTGAGTGGTAGTATAGCTTACTTTGTAAGGTAAAACACATAATCTAAAAATTCTGAAGTGAAATCATAGATAACTTTTTCAGTATTAGCTCCTGTCTTTCACTGAATTCCAAGGTTGTTAATTCAAGAAGTAACTGAATTTTTTAGTTACAGTTAGTTTTTAATTTTAGTTTCAGTGGACTGGAATCATGCAAAGATGCAAAGATGGTTTTAAAGGGAAAATAAAGCTTAGATGTTTGATTTTAAAACAGTGACATTTTTATGTAGGTTATGGATGGCAATTGAGCGTCTCAGGCTTGTCACTTCTGCTGATGCTGTTGAGTCTGCAAGAGACATTTTCCAAACCTACATTACTCCATCAGCTGAGAAAATCGTCAAACTTGATACAAGACTTGTCAGAGGAATGGAAGCTTATCTGTATGGTATGGAGTTTCTTTAATTGTATTCTTGGCAATTCTTTAGATCTACTTTGGATAGCTTCCTGCAAATTGAGGTACTGGACAACATTGAACAATATAAATGTTATCTCTTTTGGAAGATGGAAGCTGGACTTTTCAAGCTGGGCCTTTAATAATAAAGATAAAACACTAGAGAAACCTGATTATTCAAGCAAATATTTGTCTAGTGTCCACCACTGAGCTTGACCTTTGGTTGCATGCTACCTTTAGATCAGCTACATGTTTTTTGGTGTTTAAAATATATGTCACGTAAAGTTTGCAAGGTTATGAAGGATTTGGCTGGAAATATCACTTGCTGTGTGATTTTAAAACCCTAAGTCACTTTTCACAGTCCATCCTCATTCAAACTATCAAGTTTTTTCATGTTTAACCAACATCACTAGACTTTGAAATGCATAAATATTTATCTCTGGAGTTGCCAAATCTGAACCTGGTGTCAAACTCTTCAAAGGGACAACAAGAAGAATTTTTTATTTTTTTGCACTGTAATGTGGATTTCTTCCATATTTTTCATAAGTTTCACTCAATTGATCGGTCCTGTTTATACTAAACCAGTTACTTGGTATTTGGTATGCATATTTTTTAGTGGACTTTTGTATTACGAAATAATTATTGTGTTTCTATTTTTTATTTTTTTTTATTTTGCCACAATCATTGACAGGTAACGGTGGTCCTGAATACTTCTTTGAAACTCAGAAAATTATCTACCGAACCATGGAGGAGAAGGTTTATCGCGACTTTGTGTTAAGTAAAGATTACATGGAGTATATTTGCCAATCTGAGTCTGTTATTGACGAGCTGAGGGCTCATCTACCAGAGGGAGAAGAAGAAAATCACACACTTGCTTGGAGTGATGGGATGAATATACGGGAAAAGGTGAGTATAAACGTTTGTTTCGAAATCAACTTGATATTTGCTTAGCAGAAAAACTGAGATATAAAGTTTACATATAATTTAATTTATCATTCAATGGTAAATCAATTATATATATCGTCGTTTCCATAATATTGATAGTAATTCTAATATTTTCACCAATTGATCTATCAGCTAGGGCCTCAAATTAACCATAACAGATAATCTGAAGTTCCATTTACTTCATTTTGGACATTTCATAAGCAGTATTACTCAATTGAATGTAAAGCCTCGTAAATGAAACCTATCCTGTTCGAGACATCAAAACGTGTACAGCTCTCTCTGTCACAATATGCCAAGCGAAAACTCCTCAGTGGACTCTCTAATCGTCATTAAAGTAGCAATTATACATATAAGTGTGATAGAATTACTGACATAATATGATTTTTATTTTAGCATGCACCTGACTCGTGGAAAGCAGGTTAGAGAATAATCTTGTTTTTCTGTTTGTTATTTTTTCAATTTTTACTTAATAATCCAACCCCTAACAAACCTTTGCTAGAAATCAAACAGACGGGGACTGTTACACAGATCTAGGAAACTAACCTAATCCCAAGGGTATTATGGAAAAAAAGAATATAATCGATGAACAAAGGCACCTTTAAAGGTCGTAGAAGAAGAACAATTCGTGCTTACTCGACTTCTTCTGAAAGCTCAGTACAGAAAAGCAAAATTTGGTGGGTAATTCTGGTGAAAAAATAGAAATATATTGGTATAAGGAACATTATTATAACTTGCTAAGGGGAAGAAATGCGATGCATATGTGCCGTGCAGACACCTAACCTCGAATTCTTTTTTTCCCAGTTGTGCCCAGTAGCATTGAAGAGAGGAACGATTATAGCGTTAGAAAGTTGCAAATACTGGATCAGAATTTGTCTGCGAAGGTATCATTTAGCTCGATTTCTTGAATAATAATGTAGTTTTTGCTTTCGGCAAACATTTAACTTTTGAGGCAGACCAAAAGTTAATTTTGTTGCCTTCAAGTGTTTTGCGACACAGGGCCGCCATAGCTTGTCCTGTTTGTGTTGTTGAGTAATTCTTCGTCGCACACAGACTTCAGACTTGTATTGAGTAGGAAAGAAAATCCTAGAAAAATATGGTATCCTTTTGCAAGACGACTTCCGTTTGCATCTTTCTGATACCACGATTAATGCGATAGAATTACTTTTTCGAAGTCATTTTTTAAGGTATGACGCAAAGAAAATTGTTGGAAAATATAGTTTACTTCTTTTTGCAACCAAGTGTCTTTTCAAACAATTGTAACTCTCTACACATCTTGGACCTTAGAATTTTGATGGAGGCTGTCGTGCACTCTCAGAATCTAGAATTTTTTAGCCTTTATCCGAACAATTACTTTTAATTTCTAATTTCTAAAATTTTCATATGTGCATACGTTTTGTTATTTGATGACAGATTGAAATGGGAGTCGAAACAATTATTATTTATCATTTATTTTATATATCTACTTGATTGCTTTCTATCAGTGGCATAAACGATAAACTCTCATTTGATTTTCTCTCCTTTTTGTTTGTAGGACAGTATTCATTTTTCTATATAGAATCATTTTTCGCATCGTTATGTTTTTTAGAGGCAAGCATTAGAATTGAGCAAGAGAGCATTGCCAGCTGATCCACAGGTGTGACTTGTTCGCCATTTCAGTGCTTGCATCACCTTAGACTTTTTGTCTTGTCAAACTAAGAAAGTCATTGGTTTTGTTTTTCTAATACTTATGCCCTTAAATAAGCCCTTAGGGTTTATTTAGCAGCAGCCAAAATTTTTCCGGGTTTTTCCTTTATTTGTGGCTGGTCAGTATCCTTAAAAATGCAGATATATTGGAATCAACGTATTGATGTCGAGGCAACACCTCAACTTATTGGGGCTTATTCGAGGGTGGAGGGTTTATTTCAGAAGAGTTACTTTAGAGTTGGGGCTGATTCGAGGGGGAGGGGGGCTTATTCGAAGTCTTGAAACCATCACTGTTTATCATGACTTTTGGTTATTATCTTTTCCCAGATTGAAGAATTATGTTATTTTGCTTCGTGACGTAATTTTTAATGCCTCCTGGGTTTTTGCTTCTAGTCATGGTGCATTCTGTGACCCAGCCACCTCTAGTCTGCCTTGTTTGAGGATGTGTGGCTTCTATTTGGTAGTTGCTAAGGTCTAATTCATCTAATGGTTTTTGAATCTATGCAAAAGTGTTTGGAATTTATTGATGAGATAGAAATTTTGTTTAATTACCTTCATTTCAATACGAAAATTGTTTCTAAATTGAAGCTTTGGAGAAGGAAGTAGAGGGGTTGATTACGGAAAGAAGACAACTTGAATTTCACATAGAGAGAACTGGTAACTTTTAGTGAAGCTGATTTTAAACATTTCTTACTCTACATTGTGCTAGTTATGTTTTTTCGTATCTTTTTTATCTGTATATAGTAGAAGCTGTGATTTTTCTATGTCACTATCTTTTTAAGGATATCTTGCCCTTGACAGGCTCAGATTACGCCACTGAGGAGCCTACCATATGTGGACTTAGAATTTTGTTTCTTCTTTCTTATTCAATGCTTTAGCTCAAAAGGACTAAAATGGATCTATGTATTTTCAGTAAAATCTACAGCTTCATCATACCAAAAGGAATAGATATTCCGTAGCTTTTGAGTTTTCCGTTATTGTCTTTTCGTTTTCTTCCATTGTACTCTTCGTTTAACCTCCGATTTTTTTGCTTTTGCTTTTTGACTTTGATTTTAAACATTTTCACTTTACTGCCCAAATTATGATGAGGTTGTACTAAGTTTCTAGGCACTTACTGCTGATTATTTCATACCATTTAAGTAATATGCGCATACTATTCTGCTTCTTTAATGTAAACTTTTAACGCTAATGATACTTTGAAATGGTAATTTATTCATGCTAATTTAGTAATGATTAAATATGACTAGCATATTTAGTGGTGATTGCATAATTTATTATTTTATCATGATTCAATTTGTATTAAGTACAGATGGGTAAGCAAGTACATGTTTATATTTCTTTTTCTTTGATGCGACTCATTATGATAAAGTCTGCGATTATTTTTTTGTTTTTAGATTTGTGGTGCGAAATGTTGGGGTATTGGAAAGCTACTATCGTCAGTGCACAGGTTAATATTTCCCTGCTGTATCATTTCGTAAAAGTATTATCATAGTGGAATTTGACGTGCTACAAGTCTTTGATGTTATAGAAAAGTCGAATCATGGTTACACTTGAACGATTCGCCTTTTTTGCGTTACCCTGGTGTCAAATTTGATCATATAAAATAGCTCCTCTTAAGATAGCTTCATTATACCCACGGCGTATGAGTGCATACCTGGATGAAATTGGACTGTCAATTTTAGCTCAGGGTATTCACTATAAGTTCAACAAAACAGAACACTTGCAGTACAACAAATTTGCAAAAAGTGAACTAGTTGGAGGGTGGGGCCAAATCATATATCTTTGCATCGTCTATGTAGGAGTGTCTTTTCATATCTTTGACACTTACAATTAACGCAACTTAGATGCCTGGCTGAGCTTAGAGTACTATCTTTTGCAGCTTGATCCCAACGATGACAAAACACCTTTGCTTGTTATCTGTATATCCTGTGATGAAGCAGCTAATAAACAACAAGATTACGTCACTCAAGCCACTGGATGGGTTGTTGCACGAAGACTTAAAGACTTCCAGGCCCTTCACTCTAAGCTTAAAGACGTAAGTATTGGCTAGCAAGATACATTGTATCCTGTCTTATTTGAAGGACTCTGACTAGACAAAGCTGCACTATAGGGTTAAAGAGAATGTCGTGCCGAGTGACGTTTATGCTTTTTTATGCTGGACTCTGCAAAACATAGATAGTATCAGAATTAACTGAACTGCTCTTTTAAATGCTTATTTTTGCCAAAATTCATAAGATTTTGAAGCGTTGGATGATAATTTTGTGCTCATAACCAGATGTAGATTGAAAGTCACTTGCAGAGTATTGCAGAAATAATACTTGTAACAACCTTAGTGTCTCAGCATATAACATTAACAGCAAATGATATTCATGGATTTAAAATTTACCTCTGCAGTGCTGTACGTGGATGAGCACTGAGATCCCTGTGTCTAGTAAAAAGTGGTTTTTCAACAAGAAGTATGATGCCGCTGCGCTGGAGAGCTTGAAAAGTTCTTTGCAAGAATACTTATCAGTATGTTCATTTGCTAATAATTTCTAAATACATACTTTTACTCGTTACATGCCATTTTCACGTTTGCTATTAATACAGATAAAGCTACAAGTAGTACTTCAAGTCACAAAATTTGCCAGACAGCATTGCTAAACCCAGTGTTTTTCTATTTGTTTCTACCTAGCATCCGAAGATAGTTTTTAGGACACTGAGAAGCTTATGCTTATCGAGCAGTGTCCTAGTCCTTCCTTTTGATCTGACCACACCTCGTGATTCCTACGCCTGGAATTACAGAGAGCTGGCGACTCTCCTCATTCTAGCTTCGCAGTGAACATAAAAGCTTCCCATTTTTCAAGCTAACATTATCATTTTGTGCTAAACATGTGTAAAGCCTTTTTCATTTTCTTCATTAATTTTCAGATTTTATTGCAAGATGAAAGGTTGTACCAGAGTGAAGAATTATATTTGTTTCTGAGTCCCAGCTCAGAACAGCTAAGAGGCCAGCAGGGCAACCGAACTGGAGCCGGGTACCTATGAAATTTGAATATTTCCTGGTGTCTTCCTGATACCACCATTCTACTCTCGTGTGACACTCTCAAGCTTCCAGGGCATCTGTACCATTGACCATGCTTTGCCATTTTCTGTTATTTGGTCATGTTGAGATGCTGGGCGATTATTCTGCAATCATATCTAGGTCATGTATCTCATCCAAAGTTTCGTTGGCACGTTAGTTCAACGTGCTATCGGGGGTTTTTTCAGCTAAATCACGTCACATGCTGCTTTGAAGTTGTTAAAAGAAGATAAATTGCATGGAAATGTTTTTGAAAGCGATGCCGTTTTCTGAAGGAATAACCCATATCTGGAACCATGGAGATTGAAAGCCCTGACTGGGTTCACTTTTGGGTATAACACCCATTTGCAAAATAATTCATACTTTTTCCAAGATCGTTTTGTTCCGATATTTACCCTAGACCTGTATGCACAAATTCTATCCTTCAGGAATTTCTTGATTGTTTTTTGCCAGCCACATTTTGGAATTGTTGCACCAGTCTTGTCATGCGGATCTTGCTCACATTTTCCATTTCCTATGAATATATAGCATGAATAAATGCTACAGAACTGAAAATGGAAGAATATGCTTTCTGTTTTGCATGATTAAATCAAATTTTATTCGGTAGTTACTTGAAACATATCGTTTCTATGCGATACCTCTCAATACTTCACTCTATCTTTAATGACATATAATTTTCTGTTGGTTTTCAGACAAGAGAAGAAGCAGTTTTCGTTTGTCTCTTCCTTGAAAGAGTAAGTTTCTTTTTTAAAGTTGAACATTTCTCTTTAATGATTTTCCCAGTAATCTTGTTAGTTTGATTTTTACCATTAAATGTTTAGTTAACGAAAAGTCATTTATATGTTGTATCCTTGAATCGGTAGCTCAATTAGAAAGATGCCATTTCCTGAAATTCTATCTGATTCCGTGGAGGAAGCCGAAGAGGTGGTAAGTTTTACATACAAAAGTTTGGTTTTCATTTCCAGTTGCAACTATTTCCAATGTTTCAGCAATGATTCGGCAAACATAATTTCATTTCTATCATTATATTTTTCCTTTACATTTTCAATATTAAACAGTTTCTTGTCGAAATGATGTTTATTTATACTCATTTTAACTGGAAAGGAATTTTTTAAGATTGCCGACAACGTTTAGAGGACTAATTTTTGCCTTCAGTTTTGACGCATTCTCCTTTTTCTTTTGACCTGTCCATGAAATTTCTTTGTTTTTTACAGGACGCTGGAATTGAAGAAGGGTGCGTTCATTTTCTCTGTAACTTTCACCCTATCAGTTTGAGCAAGTATCGATTCAAATTTTCTTTTGGCTTTGGTTGCCCTTGCAATTATAAGGTATGACATTCGAATGAGGGTCACATAGCTGGGCACATATCAGGCCTCGTTAGATATGGTGATCGAATTAAGGCATGATCGCACTGGAATCTCAGCATTTCGAAACGTTCTTGTGACTCTCAAGAAACTTGTGACATTCAGGTGATTTTCAAGCTAATCAATATCAGAAATCTCAACATTTTATCACAAGAATTTCTCACTGCCGTAAACATATTTTAATGCAAGTTTTATGGTCATATGTGGGAGAGTATTAATGCAGGTTTTATGGGATATGTAACATTTTACCTTGCAGGGTGACAGACCGAAAAGATTCTATCGCAGAACCCCTTTATGCATTAATCAGTGAAGTTTTTGAGCTCAAAGGAGGTACGGTTTTAAAATGTCCATAGAATCAGCAGTAGTATAGCATCAAAAAAATATTTTACCTTACCCGATCAATTATGTTCTTTAATCTTCTCGTTTTGAAAACATGCTACACCTTTTGCGTGGCACGATCTTTAAGCTCTCGTGTTGCAGCCCTGTTGAATTTTATTAATTTTTTTCAAAATATCAAAGATCAGATAGCTTTTTCAAGCAATCAGATTTTAAATGCAGAAATTCTGTTCTAGCAACAGTAAAAACTAAAAAAAATTATTCCAAATGATAGAAAACATTTTAAATTTGATAATAATTTGTACTTCTCTTGATTTTATTATATTTTTTCGTAGTTTTCAAGTACCTGCGGCGAACGCTGATAGCTTTTGTTCAAGTAACTTTTGGTGGAACGATAAACAGGTTAGTGAAGTGCTGATAAATACTTTCTAAAAAACAGGAAAATTTTAAAGCCGACAGATTTTTCTTGTGATTCGTTTCTAAAGCTTCTTTTTGGATTCAGCAGTTAAGTAAGAAGCTAAAAAAATTTTTTATTATTCCTATTCATAGTCATGACCGTTCATTCACATTTCAGCATTTGAAATTCTGACATACACTTTAATTACAGGTTTTGTTCTATGAATTTTCTAATTAGACTTTATCTGGAACTCCACATTGCAGAGGGTGTTTTTTTGTAAAATGTGGTTTTCAATCCGTTAAAGAATATTTCTCTGCAACAAGACCTTTTTTACTGTCCTTTGCTTGTTCTTTAGATCATATGCTGACACGGCTGTTTGTTAGGGCTAGATCTTGCAAGGTAGTGGAAAACTTTGCTGAAATTCTTTGGAGCATTGCTCCTAAGTCGATACATGTGTTGACGTGAAACTAAGCGTTTTTGTATGTTCTATATTGTTGATATTTTATTATATATTTCCCTTTTTATAGGCATGTAAGAGAATTTGTTGAATGGCTTGTATCGGAGTCAATGCTGATTTATTACATAAACAATTTCAAGGATTCTTTTTGGCCCGGTGGCAAGCTAGCCCCACCGTACCCTGAGAGAACTACCTTGGTAAGCGTTAATGCCGTGAGGTATCGAACTTGTCATTCAAGTATTTTTCTGAATTTTTCCATACTAGGGTCCCACTCTGCTGTCTAATTCTGTGCTTGCTTTCTAAATGAAAGGGGTGGAAGTACCCATAATTTTTGCTTTGGTCTAAGTTTGTCTTTGTTTTCTGGGGCTATGATTGGCTCAGCGGCCGAAAAAAGCCACGTGATTTGCCATAAGCTCTCAGCCAATTATGGTTTGACCCCTACCCTTACCATTGCTACCATTATAGCCTGTCGAAAGTTTCGATTGTGTGTTAAGTCATATAATTTTGCCAACATATTATAAACACACTCAAGTAATTTTATTTTTGCCTTGTAAAAATGACATTCATGTCTTCTTCTGATAACGTTAAGTTAGAATTCTGATCTTATCTTCTCGTTTGCTTTTAGATTTTATAAACTGACTTTATGTCAAATTTTTAGGAAAAACTAAGAACAAGAGAAAAAGCCAAAGAAAAAATGATGAAGAATATACCAGGTTGGTTTGTTTATTTCAAAGTCAAAATATTTTAATTGCTTTCAATTTAATTGATATTATAGTTATAATGGAATGAATTGAAGAAAATTTTAACTGTGAAGAATCTACTATCCTGTAGGTTTCTTATTCAATTTTTATACAATCAAAAGTAGCAAGTTATAAAATTTTCGCTATTGGATGAAACATCCTTAAATGTTATTCTTTTAGTTTTCATGAATTTTTTCATTACCCATAGATGTGCTCTCAAATTTGGTTGGAAAACGAAATAGTAAACTTGGATTTATCAAAGTACGTATAGAGCAGAAGTTATGTATTTTCACAAAAATGTCTGAATATGACAATATTATATGACAGAATAATACAGAATATCATTGAGCTTACAAAGTAAGTTGAATGTTTCAAATTGACGTGTTTTCGTATTAGTGTTGTTTGTGCTTTTTCGAAAAAAAAAGAGAAAGTTATAGTGATTTGTCAAAGAAAATTTAAAGCCTGTGCTCTTGTGGCTATGTCTGGGCAAATTTTAGAGACATCCAATCGTTTTCACATGAAGGACATAAAAAGTTCTTTCAATAGATTTTGAATAAATCGTCGATTGGCTACTGTAATGTTGAGAATGTACGTTTAGAATTACACATACAATGAACATTTTTTCAGATATTCGAAGGATTTCAGGATATCAAAACAAACAAGCATATATTCTACGTAAGTTGTCTGTTTTTACATAGTTTTTTGTTCTCTTTTTCTTCAGAAATAATCTCAAACAATTAAAAGTCTGTTTCAAAAACCAACTTCTAATGGAACTACTACTGATTGATCAATTCTCATTATTTTATCATGTCGCTGCCTATTATCTGTTTTCTGCATCCTTAACCCAGCCCGAGTTCAATGTCCAGCAAAAATAGCAGTTATGTAGTAGAAATATCTTTGTCCGGTAATGCCAATATGATTCTTTGATTATTTAGGTGCTATTGGAGTTGATTATCATTACTCTGTGTCCTGAAATCAAATCTGATGAGATCTTAGATGCCATGAATCGAAAATTTGGTAAACAGTTGGATAGAGAAGTGGATGTATTTGACAGTATGTAACTACGAGTAGTACTAAGTGGGACGAACCATGTTTGATTGTTGCGTAAAAATCATCGTTATACTTCTTCAATTGTATTTGTCAAAAATTAATTTAAGGACTTTTTAATGTGAATAAGCTACCGATTCTAAATAGAAAATTTAGATTGCTAGTCATAAGGGTTTCGTGTACGTTAAGTGCACTAAGAAATTATTTGATCTTTAGCATTTATTATAAAACAGCAGACCATATAAGAGCATTGTTACATGCTCCAGCCTTAATGCCTGTTAACTAACTGGTTGTCTCTGTTGTGTTCATGGGCATAGACAAATCACAAATACTTCAAACAAAATCTGAACACCATTTGCGATCTTTAACTTAAGAACTAAATCGGAAAATGGAGAGCCTAGACGCTCGCTAATCTCAAGATGATTATTGCTATTTTGTTATTGGTCTTGAGTATGTATTCTTTGAGTATTTTTTAAAAGCAATGATTATTCAATAAAGAATCAGCTATTGTAATTTTTGTAGTAGCATGTAACCTTTGCTGTCCACTGTTAACATGAAAGATTCGTTACTAAGATTTTGCTCAAATTTTTATTAATTTTTCCGCCTTGCCATTTTAAAACTTTTGATAAATAGTCATAGATCTATTTGCCCCTTATCCCCTAGCCATTTTATATCAAAATTAAAAATTCATTATCTATCTCTTATTGAAAAAATCAATCCTGCAGTTATCATGAGACATTTATAAGGATGGGTTATTTTGAAGCATTTACAAACAGTTGCTCTATGTTGTGTTATTCGCTTCAAGAATAAATCAAAATTATTAAGTCGAAATTATCGAAAATATAAGGTATAGTATCTAATGTTTTATGGCCAGCCTACCTGATTAGTGGCCTATAACATTTGTTGTTATTATCTGGCAATAACATTTCTTTATGATCTGTTAGTAATATTTACATTATAGATTTTTTGAACCATTTCTTTTCCAAATAAATTTATTTAATTCTTATATATACAATCATGTTGAATAATTGATAATTTTAATTATCAGAGTATTGATGACAATACCGAGCAATAGAAGGTTGTACTTTATACTAAGAGCATGCTATTTGACAACTTTTGACATACTTTTAAATAATTTATTCAATACTTCAAAATGCACTTTTATCGTAGTTTGATTTAACTTAAATGTTTTGTTGTTATGAATTTTTTACAGTACGAAATATCAAATCACTGCCGTCTTTGCCCGCCCCGGATGATAACCTCAACATCTTCATGCTGCCAATGGGCGACGGAGACTCAACTATTGTACAATGCCCTACCGGGACCCTGACTGTTATAAATTTGGGCTCAGTGTACACAAGCTCGTATTGGAATGAAAACGACGTTGGCAAGTTCATTCCTGACTTGTCTCGTGTTGAAAATATAATAATTACTAGACCACACCCATCATGCTATAACCTTCTACCGTTGCTATTTGAAGATACGAAAACGTTGAAGAAAGTTTATATTGCTTGCTCTATTGAAGAATACATAGCAAATGCCAAAGTGAAGAGATGGATAAGTAAACTTAGACAAGAAGACAAGATAATTGAAGTTAAATCAAAGTCAACAGGTACTAGAGCATGTCTAGGAGACGATTGCACAAACATCAAACTTTGCTCAGATAGTCCATTTCTTGACGCAAAAATCGTAGCAGCAAATCTTGGTGGTTGCTCGGTTAATAATGTGAATATGAAAAGCAACAGCATGGTATTTCAAATAAAGTTTTATGACTTCAATATGATTATGCCTGGAGACATAGAAGACCCTTCAGTGGACACGAGTGTCTATTTGAAGCAAGTTATCGCAGGCTTCACTGACCCTGAAGACCTCCAGGCTACGGTCTACCAAGCCGCTGGTCATGGGGCCTGGGGACGAACCAACAAGTATTTTTTTGTCAATGCAATTAAACCCCAATACGTTGTCATTGGCAACTCTGCCCCCAGGAATGATTCGACGAACTCGTATGTCCCTCGTTGCGAATTGTTGTACTATTTATCTCAAAGAGAAAAGGCAAGTGTGATTGACCTACAGTCAACGCAATCGTTTCAATGCGTTTGGGCTGATGGCAGTGTATCAATTACTAGTGAAACGAAAAAAGCGCTGTTTCTAACTGCCTTTGATGTTAATTCATATAAAGTTCGACGGATTTTACATATATCAAGTGATGGTGAAAAGCATAAAGTGACACACTTGCAAGTTCCTTTGGGATGACCAGTGTCTGGCGGCAGAAGACATCCATGTTAGCACCTTCATTACTGTGAACATACATATAGCCTGTGAATAACTGTGAATAACTGATGTTTCGTGTTGTTCAGCATTTCATGATAAATTTTAAAAGGTGAGGTTGCGAAAAACGAGTTTAGAAAATAGAAAAATAGTTAAAATTTATTTTTTTAGGGTATAGGATTGATAAATGTCGTACCAATCAACATATGACTATCCGTGTAAACCAATAACTTCGTCAGCTTATTTCCACGCTGCTCTAAAGTAAGCTGTCATCTTTTCTGCTAAACTAAGCATTGTAAAATGGATAATTTCAACTATGCCTATTCCTTTCTCCAAAAGTAAGCCAATAGATAGCCTTGCAAAAGATGTATATTCTACTGTGCTTCATTTTCATACTAGAATTAAAAACCAAAAATCTATGAGCTTTAAAATTTGTCATTTCCACTCAGCCCCATTTTTCACGCTTAAACAACCCTATAACCATTTCAATTTTTATCAAAAAAAGCGATAGCCTTGAAAAATTGACCATTTCTACAAAGCATCGTTTTCATGCTATTTCCATTAACTCAAATTTTCGATCCATAAAGAAGCTTGTAGCTTTGCAATCCCAATTTTGATTTAATTATATGTCTACAGCCTTCAAAAGTTTTTAATTTGACATTAGCAAACTCCTTTTCCAGATAGCTAAAGACAGACTTCTGAAACATTTTGCTACAGCAACAAATATAAGTCAGGTTTTAAACGTTGGTTTTAGTATATTTTGACCTGTGCAAGAAAACCGCAGCAGAAAACTCATTACACAGATGTGCCTCTTTAATTACTACCATTGATCATACGAATTCTTCGATAGACGTATCACATTAACATTTCGAAACAGATCGAGCATCTCGCTAAAAAACAGCTGAAACTTAGAAATACGTTTGATTTATCTCCATATAAACATGGTGCTCATGAAATAAAAATATAGTTAGTCCTCTGTAATAGCCCCGAGCAAAGTCAGACTAATACAATCAAATATAACTATGAACACATTTTATTTGTATCCCATAATACATAAGTTGTATACATAAATACCAAAAACTATACAAAATAATCTTATTTCAGTTATGATTCAATTCCATTGCAGTTAATTTTATGGCATTTAAATTACCATACACAAGTCAAGGAGAGAATTACATGCCTTTACAACAGCAGCGGCCTTTTCCAATACTTGTAGCCTCGAAAGACTATATTTTAATCTCTTATAAAGATCTGTACATTGCTTCATTATATCAAGGTGCTAAAGAGTAGCTTTATCAATGGCGTAAAAAAGAACTGGAACATATCACTGGAATGATTGTCGAGCTAAATTTTACTTTTAGTGGTGAGTCTCAGTCTCTCCAATAGTTGTTCAGTAAGATCTAACGTTTCTAATACTTTAGGACATGAATGGAAAATTCTTTCGAATGACAAACGCAGCTAATGAAAATCAAATAAGCACAATTCAAGCAAAACTCCAATTCAATTCTGGAATTCGATTTTGATAACTTCAATAAAAACTTCTCATTTTGATTTTTAAAAGATCGTTTTGGAATCGAAACTATCCATGGCACGGATCTGGCACTATATCAACGGCAACTCTGTTGGCCTGTTGGTTTTATTTTAAATCCCATTACGGTGCATTTTGAACAATATTACTTCAAATGTTTCTAGCATGATCTTAATTACGATGGTATAATAATACACGAGACGTATGACACGTTGCACGTGATGACAAGGCAGTTGCTATTTTTTTAGAATTGGCGCTTAAAAATCGTCATGCATTAAATCTATGTATGAAGTAAATTTACAAATGTATTCACCACACTAAAGTTTCATTTCTACTTTAAAGAGCTGTATATTTCTGAAAGAATTCTCCAAGCTGAAACTTGGAATCTTCAATAAAAACATTAATTGAAAGTATAAGCAGAAAAAGGCCAACTTTCAGATTAGAGCTGACAGAATAGTAACGATATATACATTAACTAGGCCTTCATATGTTGTTTGGCCAAATAATGACATATATAAACTGTCCTTATCGCTTTCCATAGTTCCCAATACAAGAAATAGTGAACTTGTGCATATTTAAGTAAATTTAATCGCAGGTAGACTGTGTATCTAATAGTGATGGATTCCTAAGCCATCTCAATTTGGGGCAGTTATGGCAGTTGGAGCTTTTTCCAAACTGAAAGTAAACTGGAGCAAGAGAGCAACCTTTGTCGTTCTGCAGTCTATTGTGACTAAGACGTTTCTCTACCCTCTATTCATCAGGCAGTGCAAAAACAAACAAGGGGAATTCTTGGCTTCTTCACAGCAGCTTGAGAGCCATGTCGATGATTTCAAAACGAGAGTTGTTTAGAGTATTTGGAGACGAGATGTCTGGTATCTAATTAAAAATCTAGTTATAAACCAAAGAATCATGGAACCTGTATAGGAAAAATGCATCACTGGAGGCTCCTATTCGAAACCAAATGCTGAAACATTTTGAAAGGGATCGAAAATTATCTCGCTGAACAAACATCTAGGCCCTAACTACCATTGGCATCCCTCTCATCCCCATGCAAACGAAAGGTAACTGGACTCAGGCCTTCCTAGTACACTATTTGGTTATCTGAATACCCGCTTTAAAAAAGCACATACGAGTTAAGCAATACAGCAAATCTTTATTTCTATTCAACTTTAAATACCCATCTACCTTTATTTTCAAACATCCACGAGAGTTTCTTGGTTTACCCCTTAGCCACTTGTCTATGTCCTTGTGCTGTTCGATGCGAGATCACTGAACGCTGTTTCGAAGCACGCTTTCAGATCTTGATATGACACAACGAGGACGGACTGCTCATCGCGTGACGTTAGGCAGATACGCTCTGGCGATCCAGCATCCAGCTGTAATAGTAGCAGACAGTATCAAAAAGGTATTCAAAAACGGTTGAGAAGTATACACTATAAATTGCTTAAAACTCGCTTCATATAGCTGTATCGTGTAATGCATCGAATATTCAAAAGCCATCCACTCATTTTAGCATATTTTTTTGATGTGAAAAATTTTGTTAAATACTGCAAGGAAATATTTTGCTAAAAAAGTCTGAAAATTATACAATGGTCTTCAGGCCATGAAACGACAACTGATTGGCAACAGAAGGGTATGTCCTTTCTGTGTTGCTGATTATTTTCTTATTGAAAGAAACATTATCACACATCTTCCATATTGCATAGAAGAATATATCATAAATTAAGCTTACAGGCGGGTTCACCCTATCATTGTAATTTCTCCAGCTTACAGGCTTAAGAATCTCATCTGTTAACTGACATAATGCATTGCTGCGTTGTATTTTGTAGAGCAGACAAAAAACTAGACAGGAGTTTCGAAAGTACCTTGTTGAGACAGGATACAATGTGTGCCATGTCTATCCACGGTGTGTTGGTATCCGTGACTTGGTGAAACACATAGTCCCGGAACAGCTTGAGCAGGTACCTGTCGCCAGTTTCTGACCATTCGGGGTCCATGTTAAATCTGAGTAATAATAACATTAGAAAGATTGAATGACGGGAGAAAATATCAAACAAATGTAAATTAGCACTACCCATTTGCGTCCGGGACACTGGAGCTTTGAGATAAGGGAAAATAGCTGATATAGAGAGTACAGTAAAATAGCCATTCCACGTTGAACCAAAATGGCGGTTATAATTGACAACTTTGAGTAACCGCCAACGTTGATGCTAATGAGGGTGAACTGCCTTTCCGGATGATTGCATGTACGAGATATTGAATAGCAAGGGGAAGGGGATATTCCAACCATTTATTTAATACGGACATCAACGCTGTATTATGATTGCTAATATATAGAATAAGTTATTTTGCAGAAAATCGATGAAGAATCCTGTCAAAATTTTAGACACCAATTTCATTTCCAAAAACACCCGAAAATTCTTTAAATTCTCAACTTTGATATCTAGTTATTTTCAATAAGAACAATCGTAAACAGCGTTTGAACGACCCTAGACAGATATGTTTCAAAATTATTGACATTAAAATGTTGTGATTTCTGGATAATTCAATACTTACTCGGGTCTTTCAAGAATGGTGGCTAACTTCGCTAATATTCTGAACAACCTTCCACTTTCTAGCTCCTTCGATATCAAGAGAATTCGTCAGTAAAATGACACAAAATCACAAAACAATCTATGTTTTTCAAAAGTTTCAGAAAATAGAATTTCGCTTGACAACTAGAATGGGGGCTCTTTGAAAATGTGGGCTCTTTGAAAATGCTTTTAAGTTAGATTTTAAAATATTTCTTAGCTACAATACTCTACAACAAAATCTTGGTTAAAAAGCTTTCGCATTCGCGTCTTCCTGTATAATTGAATAAGCAGGCCAGTAGCATTTTGAGCATATCGCATAAAATAACAGCATGTAAAACAAGTGTGAATACAAATATATAGACAAATGACTTCACATGCATAACAATGGTGGAACAGACTCAATTTTAGTAGCAATATTTAATGAAAACAGACGCCAGCATTAAAAAAATAGCAAGTCTACAATTTGTAGACTAACAATGTGATTGGCAAATTCAGGGCTAGAAACAACAGTGGGTTACGTACGGTTAGTTATCTACACGGTTATCTACACAAAAACATCGAAGCTTGTAAGAATGGTTCAGCTAAAATATACTTCACAGCTTTTAGATAAAGGGATTCAAAGACTATTTTGGCATCTCAGATAAACCTGCAAACCTTTAAAAGATCCTTTTCAAGAGTGTCACTTCTATCTTGTATCACATCAAGCTGTTCGTAGAATTTAGTTCCAATCACTGGTACAACATCCTCTATACTTTTCGGCGAATTCTGGAACTGAGTGCTGTGGAGGAGCCTGCAACAGGATAAGTAGTTTCTATTTCACTGAACCATCTTCTAGATTTGGATAATGCGAGCCTGCAATTCTAGACTCGGATAGTACTAGAATTGGAGCATTTTATCTATGAATGAGTGCGTGCAAAAGCACATCCAAGCAGTTGCTTTCACATTTTAGGTCTTGTTCTACCTTGCTTGTACCATTTGTTTGTACATTCAATCGTTTGCTCAATACCTTCTTACCAAGTCTATTGCGACCGCCCTTTTCACTGGTTCATGCAGTTACCACCCATCCGCTCTGGTACAACACTCATACTTAAAGTGCCTGTGACATGATTTTCGTACTTTTGGGTTTATATATCTATTCTTATGTAAAAAGGCCTGTTATTTTCATTTCTGAGGTTAGTTTTTACGTTTCGTGAGAAATGAAGGTGTTATTGGCGATCTTCTACGCCAAAATTCGCCATCTTGTTTTTCAGAATGAGTAGACAGTGACGTCACGGGAGGGACCCGATCGCCTCCTCCTTCGAGTTTTTGTATCGTAGTCAATGAGGGAAATCTAACAGGTCCAAGATGAGCGATATTTCCAGAGAAAGTAGTGGCAGCGAGGATGAGATTTTTGAAGGTAGCGCTTACATTGTTACAATAACGAGTTCCTCCCATGACGTCACAAGAGAACGGCGAATGATGATAAAGCGACTTGGCTGGGCCGCATTATTTTGCTTAATTTCAATATCAAAACGCTTTTATTTCAAAAAAAAAGTTCAGATCTACTATAAGAGCAGTGCAACGCTTCAATTAGAAAATAAAAAAAAATTGTCACAGGCACTTTAAGCAACAGAGCGTACTCATAATTATCCCTATAAAGCAAAGCTATTCAACTATTGATGCGTGATAGCTGTTGGATAATATCATAAAAAGTGGGAAATGAGAGGCAACAACTGTGACGATCAACTCTAATGGGAAGCAGAAATCTTGTTTGGAAAATATGTCAACTCCAAAAATTGCTCTCAACCAAAGGCGCAAATGTAGTAAAATCAAGTGCAAGCTTGGCAATATCGTTAATCTCACAGCATTTTCAGTTAACAACACATTAGCTGTTATCAAGTTTTCTTACCAAATAAGATTCTTCAAATCGTTAGAGTAGTTCTTAGTAACAAATTCCAAGGAATGATTTATGTTCTCCTGATGAATAGAAGCGATGGAGGAGCATGCCAAAGCTAATACCAGCTTTCCCAAAGCCAGGAGATCTTCTTGCTGTAAATTAAGAAACTCAACATGAAATAGTACAAATTTAAAAAAAAATGCATGATTATATAACAGAAAGATTGCAGTAGTTAAACATTTTCTCACCAAACTCTTCTTATTTTGTTAAATTGCTGATTATTTTAGTAATATTCCTTACAAAAGCAACATACCCTAAAGAGTTATTTTCTATAAAAAGCTTTATTTTTGAGGGACGAAGTCGCAGGAATTGTATAATAAATTCTATTTGATCCAAGCCATTCGATACCTGATAGTGTAACATTGTCGCGGCTGTATTCGAATTGCTGTCATTTGTTAAAACGTCTAAAATACCCACGCAATTGATTCGCAACCTGAAAAAATTAAAATCGAGTGAATATATATTATTTCAATGCTCTAATGCACAGTAATGCATAAAACAGAACCTCTCTTTCCCTAGTTATATGCAGGAATGACTTTGTTATTCAAGCCTTTAAATTATGCTAGCCTTTAACCTTTAACAGCGAAGATACAAGAAAATGAATTTCTTGTATCTTCGCTGCTAAGATACTTTACGGAACAAAATTTCTTGTATCTTTGCTGTTAAGATATTTTACGGAACAGGTATTTTAAAAACTTTTTCTATCTTTGCTGCTAAAATACTTTACGGAACAAGTATCTTTAAAATTTCTTGCATCTTTGCTGTAAAATACTTAACGGTACAAGTATTATTTAAATTTCTTGTATCTTTGCTGGTAAAATACTTTATGGAACAAGTATTTTTAAAATATCACTGATTCATCGAATCTGCATTTAAAGCATTGCAAACAATATGCTTTGACTTTCGGATTAGATGAAGTCTAACAAATAAATGTGCAGTAAGCAAAGTCGATCGGTCTATCAAATCGATTTATCAATTGAAGTTTTTATCTAAGCAGAATTTTCATATCCTCCAACTGCTTAATAAGAATAAAGGAGGGCAAAGGCGAATATCTGATAATTTCTTCAATACCGATCTGTCAAACAGCTCTGCCAGTCACAAGCAGAATACAGCAGTCCATTTTTTGAAAACTTTCAGTGTCTTGGGCTCTTTTCTTCTATCTTAGAAAAGCTTGCAAATATGATAGTTCGTGAACAAAGAGAAAGCTGGGAAGGAAATGATTAACGAGAATCTGTAGAAGCAAACAAGGTCCTTAGGATTTCTGGACAAGATCACACTAATTCTGAACGAAGCATTGTTTATATTTGGCATTATTGCCGAATAATTTTGAAAACTTTTAGAAAGGTTCTTATTAGCATATCAAGAGTTGCAGGAATGATTGATGTTTTTCGGAACTCTGTTAAATGCATCCCTTAAATGTTGATTACTTACCTTGAATTTCCAATGATCAGTATCTTCGAAGGATCGATGATGCGACAAGCTAGGCCGGAATTATGGATAAACCGAACAGCAGCAGTTAATTGAATGATGTAGTTCCAAAGATGGCGCTCGGGAAGAGCTTTCTGCAGTTGCATAGGCACCGCATACCTGTTTTGGGGCGTCCACAATGGGTGATGACTGCCTTTATGGCCTTGGTGGTATGGTTTAATAGCAGCTGGCGTGAAGTGGCGAGTCATTAACGTCTCAGCGCCAGGGAAGTACTCGTAGACGAATATCAAAGCTGAAAGAGATGAGAAAGAGACCGTTGGTTCGATGGACAGGGCTATAGCTACATGGTGTGTGGGGTTTGACAGCCCCCATCGAAAAAAATTCTGCTTCCAAAAATTTTTGCTGTTTACGGGTGTGTTGTTGGTAAATAAAAGATTGCTCACTCATTTTGGCGGCAAATAAGTCCTGGACATCCATAGAGGACAAAAGCTAGCGACGGCACTTGGTGAAATATTGGGCAATTTGTGCTTTTAACAGAGAAAGTAGCAGACTTCGTTGCTGGTTGTTCAAAGCCATGGCTTAAAAGATAGAGATTTTTTCACAATGATAAGTTTGGAAAATACAGGAAGAGAAAACTGCATGATTTATCATAAAAGATTATCAAAAAGTTACTTGTTGCCTCACTGTAGAAATTGTTTAATAAGTCACCTTTAGTCATTTTCACAAAACTTGCCAAAGACTGCACGACTTTTGAAATCTCAGTGTCTACATATTCATCTATAGGATTCTTTAAATTCCTTTTCTTTAATTCGTCACATGTCACGTTTCATAATAATATCGTCAATATTTGGCTGAGCTACTGTCACGCTTTGTGCAACTGAGCTACATTTATTTATGCAAAAGAGCCAGCCAAAAACTGCATGCTCTTGCTAGAGTTTCGCCATTTATGGGTTCTGATAAACTGCGTCTCCTAATGAACAGCTTCATAAAAGCTCAGTTTAGTTACTGCCCCCTAATTTGGATGTTCCATGACAGATGTCTGAATGCTAAAGTAAATAAAATCCACGAAAGAGCACTCAGAATTGTTTATAAAGACAGTCATGCTGACTACGAAGCATTGCTGACTTTGGATAATGCAGTATCAATTCACCAACGCAATCTACAGTACTTGATGATAGAAATATACAAAACCAAACATAACCTGAACCCTAGTTTCATGAGTGAGATTTTTGAAACAAGAAATGTACATTATGACTTGCGAACTAAAAATAATCTTTGCATTCCAAAAGCCAGGACAACTTCTTATGGTATAGAAACTGCGAGATATTTAGGTCAAAAACTGTGGCAAACACTACCTCACAGTATAAGAGAGTCCCAATCATTGGCAACATTTAAAAAAGAATTAAGAGCACACCCTATAGAATGCGACTGTAGATTGTGTAAAAAATTTATTGCTGGGTTAGGTTTTATTTAGAACATTATACCTTAAACCTTTTTAATATTGTATCATATATTTTTATTTCATACTAACTCTTATTAGATAGTTGGCCTTAATTAGCTTCTTTATAGCTACCAACCGTTCATTTAGTACGCCAACTTTAAACAAATTATTTATTATTTATATATTATTATACGCTGCGCTGCGTCCCTGGTCACTAAAGGCCGATTTCCATTTGACATTTTTTGCGCACGCGTGCGTAGCGCCCAAATCTGAGCATGCGTAGTTAAAATCAAGTGGTCTCGATTTTGCGTCCGCTATGAGCGCCAGAAAGTTGATAGGGTCTCAACTTTTTTGTGCGCTCGGCCACTTAACAGTATCACTTAACTACGCATGCTCAGATTTGGGCGCTACGCCCGCGAGCGCAAAAAATGTCAAATGGAAATGGGCCTTAATGTGATAGGCTTATTCATCCTTCATAATCGTAACCATTCTAGTTATATTCCAATGAAGAAAAACACTTAATAAAACCAACATGGTGAAACTAATAGCTGAATTGTTTCTTTAAATTTTTATAGAATCGGATCGTTTGTTTTTCAGATGTGGCCGGGGGCATTGTTTGGTCTGCATAGTTTGTCTGCCACCGCGCACAACGCCGAAGCCGGCTCACAATTTGAGTCTGTGCTTGCAAAACAAGATTACAAGAACAATACTCTTTGGTTACAAGAACAATAACAATTTCGTTGGTAAATTTTTTAAGCAGCCTTGCTTCATAGCCTGTTTTATGGAATTACAACCTCAACTTACAAGTATCCCCAAAAGCTTTTGTTGTAAATACTTCTATCAATGGTACAATGTTTGTGTACTTGAGTTTCTTCCATTGCTCGATAACGGATGACACTTTCCTATCACCTAGGCGATATCCTAAGAAAAGAAGAAATGCAATTAACATCACTTAATGAATCGAGAAACAACTTTTCTGCTTAAACCATATGCATCAATATTCCCGAGCCAACCAGTTAACTAAAGGTCGTTACACTTACGCTAAAATTAATCGAAGCACTTGGTGCAGATAGCAACAAATGGAGATTAGCAAGGACAATTCCGTTTGTCATTCGATTATCTATTTATACCTGATAGCTTCAATTGAAAACAGGTGGTAGCTCATTTGGACAAAAACGATTTTATGAAATATTAAATCATAGGAAAAAAGAATCCTTGGAAATTTGCAAATACAAATAATTTATAAGGGTATATTTTTATTAAAATCGTCACCTTGAATTGAAGAAGGGCTTTAGTTTTCAAAGCAAAAAATTAGAAGACAGTTAATAGATTATGGCATAAACTAAATAAATTTCCTAGAAATTTTATTTTTATACACTTTTTTGCCAGTTAGGTCTCTCTTGTGAAAGATAAAGCGGACCGTGAGATTATAAAGGATTGTCTACAGACCCCCAATAGGATTGTCAACGTAAATTTATAAGAAGAACGTTCACTACAATAAATTTGTCAGTACTAAAAGAGAAATTGGTGAGAATGACGTAATAGAATGAAGTCTAACCATGTATCCTTCTGAGGCAGTAAAGCTGTCCATCCTTTGAGCAAATGGCCTTGTAGCATGTAGTGACACAGCGGAAAATACCCTGAGCCTGCAAAAGCACAAAATGAAAATATTACTGTGGACATGATCAATTTATATCTGATGGAAGAACAATAATATTACTAATAATATCTAATAATAATATTTTATGAAACTTTCAATAATATTACTTTCATGAAAGCTAGCATTGATAAATCAAGGCTTTTAGGAAAAGTATTATGAAATAACCCGATTATTACATGTTTAGTGTGCAGTTTAGAATACAAAAAGGGCAACTTTTGATACACATGATGAAAGAATAGAAGCTACATCAGAGATTCACTTTTAATTTAAAAAAATACCGGCTGATTGGTTTTCCCATCTTCTAAAGGAGACAGAGAATGGTATGAGTCAACAGCGGCAGGCAAACCTTAAATAAAATAGATTGCCTTAGACAAACCATTATGTCAGCATATATACCGGCTGACCGTTATACCATTTTCAATTTTATCAACAACAAGCAATGTTTAGTAAAACTAAAAAAGTGAAATTATTGAACTTTGTATTTATTAATAATCTTCAATTTCAAACTTTGATAGCACATTTCCAAACCTTAGTGATAAGTTCTTCTGAAATTAATTTAATCAAGATAGATTTCTCAGAAATTTTGGTGTATTTTTTTGCCCTACATTTCTTAATTTTAGTCACTATTCAACAACAGATACAGGTGCACATTTTAGCCTATTTCCACTGCTAATAATTTTTATTCTAGTTTTACAAAAGTATTTCCTATGTTACTTGGCTTAAATGTTTCATGTGCCATTAAACATAAAAAATCACATACTTTCATCAGAACAATGTGTGTTAGCAATTACCAACTGCCTCTGCAACTCCTGTATTGAACAGATGGAAAATTGACACTAATTAGGCAAAATAATTAACTTGAAGTTATCAACTTGGCATTAACTTAATTTTTCTTAACAATCAGGGCAGACACTTGGTCAAATATTGGGGGGGGGGCAGGCCTAATGTTTTAACAAGATGATGTAACATTTTCCCATTGTTTTAGAATAAAATACCATTGTCCTCCAAAGTATTGAGGATGACCACCCCCTTGTTGCCCCCTTGCCACCCCCTTGCCCTTGTTAACACCACCCCTGTTAACAATACTCTCTAAAATAAAATTCTTAATAAGTTCTTAATGCTATAATAAAAGTTCAAAAGTCAACATTTAGATTTTTTTCTAAATTCTTGACAAACCTGCTTCATTCCATGTGGGGCAAAGAATGAGTTCAAAGGATCCTTCTTCACATGATCTGCAAATGGCCTTGGAATGGCTTGCAAATGTGGTGCTGCCTGTGAAAAATTGTATGACAAAAACTGAAGGAAAAAATCTATTCCAGGAACTTGATGCATAGTTTATTTCACAAACAAAAATATAAACAGATACACTGATTTGTTGTGAAATTACTTAATATAATGGCAGCGTGATCACTAAGTAAAATATTATCAGTTTAAAAAATATAAAAGCCATAATTTATTTTAAAGAACTTTTAATTTAAAGACAAGGTCAATACTTAATAAGTTCTTGCATTTAAAGTTCTAGCAGTTTTGAATCCATTTATCTCCAACAATCACCAACAAGTTAACCAATTTACGTTTCAGCAAGCCATTTTAATAAATGCTTGCTCCAAAATAAGCCTAGCTCAAAAAACCAAAAAAAGTATTAAAATTTCATAGCTTTGTTGAATTTCCAAAAACTTAAAACCTAAAGGGAATGACTATATTAAAAAAAGTTTGACCATGGCTTTGTCAGATTAACACAATAAATAGATTAGGTTCATTTAAGCCCTGTTCACACCATACCGGATTCATTTCGTGTCGGATTCACCCCTGTTCATACGGTGACGCTTTTCAACACAGCTTCAAAAAAACCCATTGTCTTAAAGCAGTTGCATAGCATTAAATGCATTCTTTGATGTGACATATCTGATACGCTGTTTTGTTTTGAAGAACCTAAATTTTGAAATCAGTTTTTAAACAATCTAATTTTCCTTTGCATTGTTCTTGTGAAGATCATATTCATTGCAAGGAGTACATATTTATTGTAAACTGGGATCCACTGTCATTTCCTGTCTTGAAAAGAGTACCAAACTGCTTTTGAAAACCCTGAAAACAAAGCTGTCACTTCTAAACAAAGGTCCAGGAGCAAAACCGTATCGGATTCATGTGTTCACCAAGCTTAGAAGTGATCCTATATGATTCCATGCCACATTAACAGCAAAAAGGTTTGACTTCACAAAAACAATATAGAGTGTATCGGATTCAAGCGCCATCATGTGAAAAGAAGGCCTATCGGATATGAGAAGTGATCCGACATGAAATGAATACAGTATCGTGTGAACAGGGCCTTAGATTACAACATGCTATCAACAGAGAGAGTGAACAAGAGATGTTAACCTGCCTCTTTGATTAAAATTGGATGCATGTCAATTCCTATAAAGCCAGTAGATGAGTAAAAATAGAAAGGCATACCTGGTGCATAGGCATGGCATCAAAATTCAATCTTTGAAAATTTCTTGTAAGATCTTCATTTGGATTCTGTCTTGAGCCCTGCTGCTGAATTTTCTTTGGACTTACTGGTGTCGACCTACTCTCACCATATTTTAGCTGCCTGGGCACATTGGCAACTCTTGGCATCAAAGCAGCAGTACCTCCACTTGATGTGATAACAGAATCATCAACTAAAATTATCCAAGTAAAATAGGCATAATTGTAATAATAATAAAGCTATAAAATAGTTCACATTGATAGCATTATTTTGGCAAGAAATCCACAAAAAGGAAACAATATATAAAAAGGAATCACGTCTATCATTAAAGCTGTTTCTTAATAACAACAAAAAATAATGGAAGCGTTAATTCTTACTAGAAACTTTCTTGCTGATGTTTTAGCAGAAGATTTTGCTAAATTATTGACAAAAAAATTATTCAATGGTTTCATATGTTCACAAATACTAGAACAGAGATTTTTCATGTGTATCCTCTATTAAAGTTTTTTTTTGAATTTTTACAACTAATGTGTTGACTTATACATAATATTAAGGACCTTTTTCCAAACTTTAACTGTCACTGAGCCCTCTGCATTGAGGTTGCTGATATAACTTTGAAGAACTGAGCCTATTTCTTTAAAATTAGGATTACTGATTCTTTAGTAGCTCAACTCTAATTTGAACAAAAAATTGTAGGCAAATTGCATAGATTGTTAACTATCCATGAGTTCATATTTTATTCTACCTTCAAAACAAGTTAAAGGTCTTATTTGCAGGTGTTTTGAAAAATACAGCAACGGAAAATGATGTTTATATACTGTAAAAGCTCTATTAAGCCCCCCTCTCTATTAAATCACCCCTTTCTATTAAGTTCCCCCTTATCAAGCAAAAACTTTAAATAAGGTCCCCCTCTCTTTTAAGCCTCCCTCTTTAGCCTTTGATGTCAAACATAGAAAACATGAGCATTTAGTGGGTCTCTTGACGGGTGTGATGATGATAAGATCGTATGCATTAAATACGGCCTATGTAAAGACTAACTTGTGCGACTTAGTAGTCAGTCAAATTTTGTTTGAAGATGTCCAAGTTTCATTTTCTGTGTGTAAATCAGACCTTCTCCTTTATCTATTTGTAGTAAAGAATCAAGTTGTGGCCTAGTTTCGCAAGAGAAAATAAAAAAGAGCAGTTTAAACAGGCTACATATTTAAAATGCCCAAGAAAGTATTAAGAAACATAACAAATTGATATTCTGTTGGTTTAAAGTATGCTACTAGGGTCACATTGCTCTGATTGAGTATAGCTAGAAATGTAACATTTACATGCTTTAATTTTTACCAAAAAATTGAGAGATTAGGGCTAAGATGCAATCAAAAAATCCTATGTATATGTCAATTATCAAATTTAAGAAAACATTTGGGGTTTAATAACCCAATTGATGAACAAATTTTTGGATTGGAAAAGGACTAACCTGAAATGACAACTAGTACAAATCTGCCTTTTTCTGTAGACTGTATTCGCATAATCTTTTAAGTATTAAATAGACCTGCATATTTTATCTGGTAATAGTACATCAATTTTAAGCACATATAATACATGGGGAACATATATCGTTGCTTAAATTGTACATTTTTTTAATTTGTTTTGCTACAGAGAGAAGTGATAGAAAGTTGAAGTGATAGATTTGGCATAAATGCACCCTGATCTGGCACACTAAAACTGCTGCTTCAAATCAGCAGATTTTTCACATTAATTTTCAAAATGAAACTTATACATTTCAATTTGTCAAATATCTTTAACCAAAAAAATCTTGAACAACTTTGATGTATACATAATAAAAACAATTTTCAGCAAAATTATTGCTTTTGTCAATGCTGTAAATATAAAGCTTGTTTTGATTCTTACAAAAGCGCTATCGCTGGCATGTCCCAGATTTGAGAATAAAAAGAAATTCACTAAGATCTTGGCATGAAAAAATATTTAAAAAGTGTTTGTCACTGTTTAGTAACTTTATTTTAAATTTGTTATGCCAGTGTACTAGTTTTACATACAGAACACACACCCAATCAAGACAACCTCAGAAATTTAGACCAATAAGACAATTAGGTAGTATTGCAGCTTGTTGAAACAATGAGTGGAACCTTTACCTGATCTTTGGAAATATATACCTAAAGGCCTGAAGGATTTTGTAAGTAGCAAATTTTTTTTCAAGTCTTATAAGCAAAAGAAAAAAATTCTAAGTTGTATCCAGGTATACTCAATCAGGATGATGTGACCCTAGCTGTTAGTTGTTAATAAATGGTTAGAGGTAATAAGTGGTTAACGTCAAAATGTTTAAAATAATATTGATATTAAAAAAAGACTTACCTCTATCAAACAAATTTATGGTGTTAAAAAAACTGGGGTTTTGGTATTGAGGGTAGAATTCTGGGCATTGCTCTTTTTGCAAAGAAATTCAATAGCTAAAATAGATTACTTTGATATGGCATAATCATACAAGAAATATGATACAAAGGAATTATGCAGATTTTCTTCATGCCATGCACAGTAAATGAAGATCTTTTTCAATGCAAATAACAGATAAAAAGCTAATGTTACTCCATACCTGATAATGCACTCTCTACTTTCCCCTTGGCATGAACAAACTGGCAATTTTCTCCATAAAAACAGTATCCGCTGTTTGCAAAATATTTGCAGATTTTCCCAAATTTGCCATTCATCGATATCGTTTCCATTAAAACTCCTTATAGGACTTAATAATATAGTATTATTTATTTTGAGAAAAGCATCTGATAATTTTCAAGAAAGGTTATTTAACACGAGCATTAAGACAGGTCCAGGTAATCGATTTCACCAAGATATATACGCGCTTCTAGATCAACAAATGGAGACCAATGCAAATTTGCAAAATTGTCGGCTCTAAAAGATTAACTGGATATGGTGCACTTATGAACCAAGTATCTATTGCCCTTCTTTATATCTATCTTTTTGGTTTGTCCGTTTCTTGTTTTCTATCTTCTTCGGCAATCTTCGAGCAAGAGTTCTTGACGCAATCCCATAGACGTAGGCCAAGTTTAGGCCCAATAATAATAGTATGACAATAAAATGAAACACCGCTTAGCAATCCCAATAAATTTCTATTGAACTTGAACTGTTAAATTCAGATATCTAAGATAATCTATTAACAGTCATAGCCATATTATCGATTCTTACTTTTATCGATGTTTTGCAAACCTTCCAACCAAGGTCATGGCGAGCTGTTATTCAATTCTCGGCAGTTGGCTTTATAAGGAGGCTCATCGCAATGCGCGCGCACCTACTTGGTGACCCCAGTGGGACATGTCTATTCAAAGGTTTTCTTGGAAATTCTTTTCAATAAAATCAGGATATCTTGATCAAATGACCCATGTCCTAATTAAAGCAACATTTATATGTATAATTTTAACGTTTTTATATGTAAAATTAATGTGTTGCAGATACATTAACTCAAATATTGCCATGAAAGCTGCGAGGACAAGTAAAATTAATCACTGAAAAAGTTACCTTAGCCGCTAATTACCGCCAAGTCCAAAAGCTAATTTTTCAAAACATCTCGCTGTGGCTTAGTTTCAGACCCACGACAATACCACATTTCAAGATAAAAATATACATATGGAGTGTTTGACAATTTTGGTTTTTTCCCAAAAGATATACTCATTCCATCAGTGTTGGCTTCCCTGCTTGCGTCCCTTATTTTCTTATTAAGTTTTCAGAGGCAGCCAATATGATAGCTTTGGTTTAAAGATAATACTGATCATAACATTTTCACTCCAATAAACATAGTCCCCTCCGACAACCCTTACTGTGGTCTACGGCACGTCCAGAAAACATTACAAAGTTTAAACTGGGAATGGTTGATTCATTACAGACAAAAAACGCTTCCAGATCTAGTACCATTATATAACAATCTTTTGGTGGTACAAAACTTAAAATGGCTTTAAAAAACAAACACTTGAATTTATGGTCTATGTTCCGACGGTTTATACTCTGAAGAGTGTCAGACGAGAAGCTTCAGTATACTCATATGTTTGCTTTTTCAAAGCCATTTCTACTATTATATGTTTAGATCACCTACTTTTTGGAGCAAATTTCAATAGCAACCTGCGGGTGTTTTATGAGTTTAGCCTATGCCTCTGGCTCAAGTAAACTACCCGTCGATCATCATTTGAAACATCTCAAGTATGTTCACAGAAAAATTGTCAGCTTGACATGGGGAAATGGCGGAAGACGACCATGAACGTGAACGTGACAAATATTGCACCCATATTTGGATAAAGGATTACCAGTCCGCAAGAAGGAGCGGCTGGTAACGAGTTAGTGACAATTGACTCTGGACTCTGTAATCTATGAATGAGTTTATCTAAGCCATCAAAAATCCATGGAGAAGGTTATGGAACAGCCTTCACGTACAAAGGGTTTGAGCTCGATATAAAAAACATATCAATCGTTTATCGAATAGTCTCAGGATATGTGAAGAGACGCAGGGACTGAGGAGGGTCTGCTTTCCCCGAGTTTTTGCTAATGCCCTTTGACGAGGAGTAAGTGCTCCTTTTAGGTCAAATTTTTAATCTCGAATTTCTTGGTGACAATACGTGCCCTTCTAAGGCAGCCTTTCCACTAGCCTGGGTTAAAACATATCCGGGTTAAAAGTTATCCGTTTCTACGTCGCGTTCCCACTAACCCACTTGAAAAACGGATACGTTTGAAAACGGGTCTCAAAGTTGGTCAGTTTTTACCCGGGTATCTTTTGATTCACCTGCGAGTTAATGGAAACGCCGAAACCTGGATAACTTCGACCCACTTGCAACAACAGCAACGTTTAAGAGTTGAAATGGCGCCAAAAATAAAAAAACAAAATCTTCGATGTCGATGTTGCTTCCATTGGCCTACAACGATGGAAATTGAAGAATTATTAATGCAAATACTGATTTCTCTTACAACTTTTCACCCTGGATACGTTTTAACCCGGCTTAGTGGGAACGATCAAAAACGGATTAAAAACGGGGCGAAGAAAAATGTCTTTTCCATTGACTCACTTTAAAAACGGATAACTTTTAGCCCGGGTATGTTTTAACCCAGGCTAGTGGAAAGGCTGCCTATAGCATTCCCAAAAGCTATGAATGCTTCCCGGTTACCCTTCGTGACGTCAATTGCCTCTTGTATAGTGCCTTGGAGATGACCTTGCAGAGACCAAGACGTCAGTGTATCATTGAGAAAAATCATCGGTCGCTCGAGGTCACATATTTCTTAAAGGAGTAGCACAAATCTTGAATTCTGCTGGCTCGCAACTCTCAATATAACGATTTTCTGTGCAACCTTTTTATTCTTTAGAAATATTCCTAAGATTCTTCGAAAACCACCAGGAAGTTGCGGAATACTTTTGTTTGATTCTTATCAAGACAAAATCAGTTACTGAAACGAAGGGGGATTTGCCAGGCAAGTTCAAGCTCCAATTTTGTTGCTTGCCAAATATTTTGCAAATCACCCAGGTTGGTTAAAAAAGGATTTATTGGGTATGCATGCGGTTGGTAGCTTCTTCATTTTTAAGAATTTAAGACTACAATTTTTCTCGAGAATCAAGCAACGCAGATAAAAAGGTACTGCTTGCTTCTTTGGAAGAGGTTTAATTGGAATTTGCAAAAACGAATCTCCACAATCATTCAGTAAAATTATTAAGGTGTAAAAGAATGACTATCCATTGACAAACATTTCAAAATGTTGCCTTTGAAATGACGAGAGAATCTCAACAGAAAATCAATTTTTTTTATTCATGCAAAGACCATTTTGCATCTTTAATATTTTTTTCAATCCAGCAGTTTTATTATTTACATCGAACTAATAGTTGACCTACTTGCACAGCAAGAAAATAAATAAAATTTAAATATGCAATGTTGCTTTTTTCTAAACGAGCTTCTGTTTTGGTTTTTGTGGTGGGTGGATGAAATATCTTCTATTAATCTTCAGCATGGAGCCTGAAAAATAATAATGAAATAAAGAATGTTGATTAATATAAAGCTTCAAAGGAAATGAAGTAATTATGTTGAAAAAGTACCAATATTCATCCAACTGTAAAAATAATTGAGAAATACAAACAAATTGAAACTAAAAACATAGTTCCTGGCCTGTTTGAGTTTGGGTTCTTTGCCTGTTTTAAGCTTTGACACTTTCATGCTAGTTCATGAGGCCTGCGTTGCTTTTCGCAATTTATAATGAACTTTGGCCTACAGTTGTTACTACAGTGCACAATCCTTCAGTTCTATTTATTTCATTTCAAAAACTTATACCTAAAGTTTTCTTTCAAGCATTTGACATGAATCGAGTCTTTAACATTTGATAATTTAGGTTTTGCCTAGCATAGTTTAATTGACGATTTTCCAATGACAAAAGAGTTTACTTTGTAAAGACCCCCTTAGTATTTTATCAAGATCCATTGCTAACGACGTTGCTCGCTCGACACCCTTCCTTTGTATAAACCGTATATGACAGCAGTTAAACTCCATGCCAACCCTGTCATCAAACTATTACGATTTACTCTTTGGCGCTCTTGTATCTAGCATGCAAACTTCTTTATAAGAACACTTGGCTTCAGTTTCAGGCTGGCGTTTCTCATTTTTTGCATAATTTCAGCCTCACGTGTTTCCTATTTTGATTCTTTTTTTGTAATCTATTTTCCTGGGCATAGTAGTTTCTAGACATAACATGTGCTTGATAAAGATATTAAAGCCTCTGTCCGGGATGTTGCACTTGTACCTGCAGTTTTATCTGCAGCAAATTAAAATGATTTGATATAACGACGGTAAGGATGTTATTGTAACTGTTGTTTCAATGCCATTTTTGTTATCGCTTTCTGTTGTTCTGCTGCTATTCTTTTATTTTTCAATTTTTGCTGGTATTTCATTTCTTGAGCTTCGCTGAATTTCAGCCTGCCTTGTTTCTTATGTTGTTCTTATTTTTAGGGCAAGTCTCATCCTGATGTTTCTTATAAGGGTTGTTCTTGTAAAAAAAGCGTGCATAGCTGCGATAAAAAGGGTCATTGTTGGCTCTTTGTTTTGTGCAGCAAAACGATCACAGCATTCATTAAGCTCACTTTTACTTTTACAGTCTACAAACGTGAAGCAACAACGACTTGGCTTGCAGAAAACCGGTCTTACCCAAGAATCGTTTCTCATGTCATGAACTTTTAACAGAGTTGCATTCTTCATGAAAATTATGCATTCTAATATATCACAAGAAACAGTCAAATCCACAATTGGTAAGAATATCAAAAAATCAATTATTGAAAATCCCAACCATATCTCACCTCAAATCATAAGAGGAGATCCTTTACTTCTCCATTTTGTTTTACTATATTGTCATTAACATCACTGTGTTGTTCATTTAACATTGGTACATAAACTGATGGGATCACTTCCTTTATGTCCTCCATATCGCTCCTCTTTAATACGGTCAAGTTCTCATAATCACTGTCTGATTTGCTGTAGAAAATAACAATGCAATGAAAATGAGCCTATGTACAGTAATGAGTACAATTCAAATAACGAAGACTGAAAAATCCCAACAAACAGCAGAACATCCCTCTTCCCTGAGGAGGTTAGGGGGCAAGTGACGCAAAATGGTGAGAAGGGAAACACTGACAAAAAATGCTGAGAAGGAATATCGTCTCGGAAATCACGTTGAAACTACCGATAAGAAATGTCCTCTGATTTGAATTTAAAGCCATCTCAAAAAGCACGCATTGTTTCTCCAAGTAAAAGACACAGTCGAGGTACTTGCCTGTAACTGGTACACTGGCTGCGAACAGAGGATTCAACCGTTTCAGCACTAGCAATGTTTTCAAAAACATCGTCATTAAAATGCACTGAATTACTATCTTGCATCTTTTGCGGAGAAGAGACATTCTCCAGACGTAAATACGTTTCATTCTACAAAACAAGACATTAAAATCAATCACAATACCCGGTTTTGATCGGTACTATAATATACAGAAAACCAATGATATATATAAACATAATAATATAATAAACAATTTATTTAAAGTTAGCAGAAAAAATAGCGTTTAGCTAATTAAGGCCAACTATACAAAATATACAAATAACAAATTACAAGATATGCTAATTACAAGAACCTAGATTCGGAACAAAGTCGTTGAACAATTTACAGCTGCAGTCCAAAGTTTTGATAGACTTAATATCCTTTTATGACGAAGATGAACAAGAAAAGCTGGCTTTCATCAAAGTCAAATTGAATCATCCTTTCTAATGGCAAGGTTTTGATAAAATAAATGATGGAAATAAGGTCATAGACAGGACAAGCCCGAAAAGGGAAAATGATATTAAGGGGGGGGGGATAGAAAGAATGAGTTTAGGGTAGGGGTATCCTGGTCTACTAGAAAGAATGAGTTTAGGGTAGGGGTATCCTGGTCCACCGATAAAACTTGTGTCTTGGGGCAATATAGCTGGATTTTCATTCTGATAACATTTTGATAATGGGGCAATATGGCTAGATCCTCATCCTGATTAAGAACTGGACGGACACTGTACCTGGCTCTCCTCTCCTTTCATGCAAAACAAGGACTGCACTAGCATGCCCTTGAAAACTCAAGGAAATGGTGCTAAACCCCACGTTTTCATTACTTGATATAATAAAAAAGAGCTGACATGATCGCATTCACTCGTTTAAATCGTGTTACAATCCATCCCATTCCTTAAGCCCTTTTTTACTGTTCATCCAACACAACTGAAGTAAAAAACATGGCTGATTTGTAACTACATACCGCATCTGCAAATGTTTCAATAATGTCTCCAATTCTTTGATAAATCTTTGAAAATGTTGGCCTCATTTCCGGGTTGTCTTCCCAACAATCAAGCATAAGTTGATAGAATTCATCTGGACAGCTTTCTGGTTGCTCCATCCGTTTTTTGCTTTTCAAGTAGCTTAAAAATTCATCCGTTGCCACGCCAGGGTACGGTGACCCCCCTAAAGTAAATATTTCCCAAAGCACTACGCCATAAGACCATCTAGAACGAGATCGATTTTGGAATAAAAAACCTTTTCTTTTAACACATCGGATGACAAAAAACGCAAGAGGCAGCTTGTCTACAACTAACCGCCAAGTTAGCAATAAACAAATGCAGGATCAATAGCTCCCTACAAAGCTTGTAATTATATAATAACCATAATAGCATACTGTTGCACTTTAGAGCTCCAAAAAATAATCTTACGTTTGGAATACTAATATTTTGAAAGAAAATATGAGCGAGTTGCATGACCATGGCAGGACTGTAGGTCGTTGCCCTACCTACTGAGCTCCCTAATAACTTTTTCGAATCTAAACCAAAAAATTTTACTTACACGTCACTTTGACTAGTGTAGACAGCGTCGGCCAACGACTCAGGAGCCGTCCATTTCAATGGCAAGACACCACAGGACTGTTTTGTATATATCCCATCACGATACACATCTCGGGACATACCAAAATCAGCAATTTTTACAATAAAGGCATCATTGATATCTTGTGATACTAAGACATTGCGAGCAGCTAAATCACGATGAACGCACTGTAAAATTACAGCAAAAGCATTATTTCTTACAAAACATCAAATTAATGATGCAGGTCAAACTTAATGATGTGTGAAGAAAAAGTGATGTTCTTGAGCCTATATTTCATAGCAGGCAATGGTTTTGGTTGCTTAAAGGGCCACTCCAGCCCAAAATTTTTATTTCAGAACACGATGTAATCAGACCTCCTGAAAACGAATCTCTCATTATTTTTTTCATATCTCTAACCGTTTTGTAGTTATTAGCGTTTGTAAAATGGTCATTGAGTTGAATTGTTTTTCAACCGTGTTATCGGAGATCTTCGGATTGACGTCACAGGCATTTTCGGCCTCGGTAAGTTCGCGGCAAGTATCATCGGCTGTCCAAAGGGTCAACGAGAACCTAGCGAAATGGCAGACAGGGCCTAGCAGCGGCATGTTTGTTAGAAGGCCAGACTTTTATCTGGAAGATTCGCGCTTTTTCATCGGCCCCTCCTTTAGTGCAACAGCTAAAAAACCATCGCGCAATTAATTCGGGAGGAAAGAAGAAAACAAAACCAGTATACCGGGAATGAAAGCTGTATGAATTGATACAACATATTCATTAGGATAAAGAGCTTCATATCAACATGACTTATTGGAAATAAAACAGGACAAATGAGGACATGGACAAGAAAGTATACAACTTTCAAGACAAGACTAAAAACCTACCATTAGTCATGAGTCAAACAACTTTTTCAAAAATTATAAATTTGTTTTTATACAAACAAAAAAGGGATTTGAGATTATATTAATAATTCAACTTTTTCAATATACTTTTGTAAATATAATTTTTGTATTTAACCTTTAAGCTATTACAGGGGCCTTGTCGGCTCCTTTAAGCTGTCAGAATCTCAACCTGCTATATTTATGAATAATAAATACATGTTTGATGTATTTAAATACTTGGCTACATTGAATTATACAATCAGGCCAGTGAACTAGCTAGCAATTTGTAATTTCTATTGCACATGAGAAATGTTCTTATAAAAGTATCATGAAACAATAATCTATTGCAAAACTTCTAGAAAATACCTATATGTTGTTACTAGCTTTAAATAATTTGCAAACATTATATATGACCAAATTATATATAAAATTTTGATAATTTTAGAAAAATAGTCTCCTTTGTGAAAATGTTAATACAAAAACAGAATAATGTGTTGAGGTCTTTGTGGTAACTCTTGAATGGAAGAGAGGGGCAAGTTATCACTCCCACAAAGCCAGTAGCCAGATAACAGGATGCATGTAATCTCCAACCTTCATCTAGCATTTTTTGCAAGATCCTTTCTGCTGATCCATAAAAGAGTTTGTAACCTTTTTTATGCCTAGAATAATAAGGTTGACAGGGATAAATACTAACATACCAGTGAAATTTACTTTTGACTCATATTAAAACATAAAATGATCAAAGAAACTTGGACACTCAGGGGCATTCAGAGTATAGATATTTAGAAGGATCAAAGAGAAATTTAGGGGTGAAAGGGCAACCACTGTTACTATAGCAAATAGCATCTAAGGATATTAACTTGAAGATATAGGCCATGCTTTTATGAATCAATGCTAGAATAGCAAAGGTAAATTTAACAAATATAAACAATTCTGCCTTTAAAACATTAGAATGAGGATATTACACATCTTTTTTCCAAAACCAAGGGTGTAAATTCCATGTTTTTTCTTTTGGGTAGTAGATCTTTTGCCCTGGATATTGATCTGGCAAAATTTTGAAATTGTGCATCAATTTTATGATGAAATAGGCAGAACTCCAAAATTGAAGGCAGAACAAGGTAGAACATGAAGAAGAAGGGTTCAGGAGACAAACCCTGGGAAATTTTACACATCTATACCTCAGGCAAAGGTGTAGTGCACAGATCATTGGCAGGGATGTAGTGCTAGGAGGCTCAGGCCCCCTTGTTGGTACAAAAAAGTAGCAAACTTCTACTTTTGGTAATATTTTATGTGACATTTTGCTTGAGAGCCCCTGTTGTACTTTTCATATTACCACATTTCTGACCATTTGGGGGACAGTTCACAAGACTGGCTGTTAGAAAACCTGTATTTAGAGCCCCTCCAAACCTCTATACCCTGCAGTTTCGCCTAACATTCAACATAGTAAAATGATAATAAGGATGAATTGTGACTTACGGGAAAGTTTCCATCTTGTGAATGGGGTTCTTCTTCTACTGCGGTGAGACATCAATTCTATTATTCAGCTCCCTGGAAATCCCTGAGATGACACGACGATAAGAAATGCCTTCGGTCAGAAATCCATTCACATCTGAAAATTCGTGAAGCATTCCATATTGAAAAGCTTGCTGCGTTGCCAAGATGAGGATATGAGTTCAGGTTGAAGCTTCCATCTTTGATTTGTCGAATTACTAGTCCATGTTGGCTGGAAGCCTCCGCTGAACATCAATCGCAATGAAGGAAAATAAATAAAACGACAACCGAGATTCCGACATGAATCGCCTCTTCCGAGCCTCTACCGAGTCGTGCGAATTTCAGTGCGAACGTATAACAATAGCGCCGAATGTTGAAACAATAGCCCTTTCACACGTCACAAAGTGCTTTTTCCGAAAAAAATTTTGTCGTATTTTTACGGTGATTCTCAACTTTGAGCGTCTATATCTGGAAAACGAGTTAAGCTTTTCGAAAAAAAAATTCACGATAGCTTCTTTTTCTCGACTAACTACCAATTTATGCAAAAAAAGTTTTGGGCTGGAGTGGCCCTTTAAACAATTGTTAAGCCATTCTTATAGTTTGGACTTGCAAAAACATAAAGGTAACACAAAACTGCTAAGCAAAAAGGATTCAACCTGACTTCCATCGAAATAAAGATAAAGACTTCCCAATGAAAGAATAATGAGAAATTAATATCTTGAAACAGTAAGTCAAGGGAAAACAAAATTACTTTTTGCATAGAAAAATTTCATCATGCAAAGGACACTGAAATCATAAAGCAAAAAAGACTAACAAGATTGACTTGATGTCCTAACTCACCTTCTTAGAAGCAAGAAAGTCCATTCCTCGAGATATCTGGTAGGTGAACGTAGCCAAATCAAAGTATGTGCACATATTTTGAATTGGGCCGGATTGCAACCAAGATGGTTCAAATGCGTCTCTTTTTCCACGAAGGAAGGACGACAGGTCTCCATGCGGACAATATTCTAGGATAACGCAAAGACTTCCCGACACTGTGCAAGCACCCAGTAAATTGACAATATTCTGATGTTCTCCGATATGTATAAGGATTTTCAACTCAGAGGCCAGATCTTTGAATTCTGATTCAGTTGCGTCATCTGACAAGGAAATATGCACAGATAATCAAACAAAAGAAAAATTATTGCAATAAAATTCTTACAGAACATGTGTTTTCGGTAGTTTCAAGCCTGAGTCTTTGTCTTTATACGTTGAAATTGTGTTCATTTATATTTCCTTCCTCTCTACTGTTTTTGCCTCTCTAATAATCCCGCCTTTTTCTATACTTTGAAACATTAATCCCGCCTGTCCGATAAACATATATTAGATAAGGAGGTTGAATCAATAAACCTGAAGCGGGATTACAAGAGACGATACGGTATACATTTGAAGCTCTCTATTTTAAGTAGGATAGGTTTTTAGGCTTCCTTAAGATTTGAATCAAGTCTTTTGAAATTTTGCGAAAAAAATTGAACATTAAAATTATTTGAGAAAAAGAAAACAAACTCTAGAAACAGTATTTACAAGAAGAGCATTTCTCGAGATTCAAATAGAAATCGAATAACACATTTCAAACAAGATTAGAAAGTTCAGTGAAACGAACTATATTTGAAATAGCTTTCATGCAGGGTTGCCAGCTTGGAATGGTTGGCGGCCAAATATTTGACGCGTGACGGCCAAATTCGGCCAGCCAAACAAAATATACAAAAAAGCTACATTTTGGTCTTTAGAGTCTTTAGAGTAATAGTGTAATCAAAATTGGCTTTGTTTGTTACAAAAGCTCAAACTTGCTTTCAGTTTCAATTTTCTGTTATCTTTTACTTTGTTTCTTGCTTCGTCATTTGCAATTTTGAGATTGTTTTAACTAAATGTTGAATATCTTCTGTGCAAAAATGGTTATTTCCTTTGTATTTTTGTGGCTTTCAACATGCGGCCAAAATTCGGCCAACTTTTACTTTTTCGGCCAAATCAATTTTGGACGGCCAATAGCTTTGAAAAACGACCAGAATAGAGGAATGGCCAAATGGCAACCCTGCTTTCATGTTAGGCTACGAATTTGTACACCAAATGATAAACTTTACTCTACCAGTTTTTTATTTTGAGACAAGATTTAAAATATGGGTTGGGCAATCTGACCTTTCAAAGTCTTTACTGCAACTTTCGCCAGGCTTAAATTCTTCAGCATCTCCACATTGTCGTATGTAGAATTATTGCTAAATAATCGAGAAAACCGTTTTCTTTTTGTGGGTGACATGCTGCTCGCTTCAGCTTTGAACTCTAAGATGCCTTGGGCCTTAGCGAGCCAGACCTCACCAAACGCACCATGGCCAATGGGCTGTAGCATCATCAGCTTGTCTCGTGGAAACTCCCATTTTGGGTCATACGGCAGTCGATGCGATTGTTCTTGCAAGGAGAAGTTCGAGTCGAACTGGAAAATTCCCAAAATCTCAGGCATCAGATATCATAAATGTCCCATTTAAAACATCGAGAAAAATTACAAGGATAGTCATAGACAATTAAAAGCAAGGAATATATAGGAATATATAAACATGCATAAACGCTTTGAGATAAGAATAGGAAATTTATACTGCATACAAAGAAGCCCCCAGGATCACTGTAGGTAACTTTTTGTTCTGATTGGATAACAATATGAAGCAGTTAACTTCTGTTAATGTTGAATGTAATGGAAACTAGCTGACTCCCTCTGAAACCCTTTATTTTTGATTTGATAAAGTTATACAAAAAAAAGACATAACATTCGAAGTTATATGGAATCCTCATATGCCGGGGCGAAATATTAGCCTTCATTAATTTACGGGTATTTATTGTTGTTCATTCTCATCGCATTGCGGTGTTTCTTATTTGCTATATTTTCATCGATTTTTCGCCGCAAGAACTCCTTGGAGTCCGTCGAGCAGTCTGCTATCGTGACATTTTTTTTATTCACACATAACATTCACTGCCTACCGAAATTATTCGTTGAGAACATATTCATGAGTTAAAAATATTCAACAAAAATTTGCTTCCATAAGAAACCTTGCTCCAGAAATGCTCCACTCCAATCAACCTCAAAATTAAGTTAAAATATTATGGAATTTGTTTGTTGCTACTTTCACATTACATGACATATCTTGACAAAAATGCAGGAACCGTTGCACCATTAGAAACAATAAAAATGCTAGAAAGGCATCTAGAAAATCTGCAAGATATGACAATATCTTTAATAACATGTGAAAATACTACCCATAACCTACCTCAAAGTGGAGATTTGGTTGCAAATAGAGACCATATTTTTTTTCAAGGCGTCGTTTGTATAGGTAGGTAAAAAATAGAATCAGCAAAATTACGATCATGCAGCAGCTAAGGACAGACACCAAAATCATGTCAGTTTTCGAGCCAGAGCTTGTTGGCAGTGATCCACCTAATTGAGAAAGATTATAGTGGTGATAATTATCTTACTTGATGATGAACCTTAACAATGGAAAAAATGAATAGTACCTTGCTCATCAAAAATATGAAATACAACAGGAGTTAAGGGAAAACTGCTGTGAAGATGAGGGAGGGGGTTTTCAAAACAAAAAAGGTAATTTTTCATTTGAAAGCAACAGCAGAAAGTAAAAGTTATGGAAGCCTTAAAGCAATGAGAAACTGCCTTCCTAGCAAGCAGTCCTTGTCTTTAATAAAATCGTGTCACTAGTTATTGCAGAATACGAAAACAAATCAACTAATGATGTATAGATAAAAAACTAATCGAGGAAGCTTTATCAATGCAATTTATAGGTGTTTCAAAAGGTCTTCTTCCTCGGTTTGAGTGAAAGCTGTCAAGAAAGTTACTTAGCCATGTAGACTTTGTCAATATTTGTCTGCACATCAAACATAGTATGGCAAGCAAAGCAATAAAAATCATTTATACATTAGCTCTTCAAATGTCTTAAATAATGTCGACAGTAAGGGCAATTCAAACCAAGGTTTCCGATAGAACAAACAGCTGAGTATATGCAGCAACCATTAAAGTTCACAAGCTGTTTAAATATCAATTAAGTACAACGTGAATCGATCAGAGGAGTGCCTAGCTGTAAATAGTAGCTGTAAACAGAACTATTGAAGGATTTCTGTTATCCATTTTTATCAAGCTTGTGAGTAAATGATGGAAACATGTTGCCAACAAATGAAAGCCTGTATAATCGAATAAGCCATCAGACACTTCAAGCGCAAAGACGAATAACTGTTTAAACAATTCTTGAATATGAGCTTCTAAAACATGCGAGAACAACAAAAAATGTAACTGATATATGATAACAAATTTATATCCACACAATAGGTTATTACCTTATAAACGGTTATAGCTAAGAGCAACGTCAAAAATTGATTTAGGTTTGCTACCTACCCTTCCAGTGCAGCGTAATATTTTTCACGTCAGAGCCTGCAACATTCGTTGCTTGGCAGCTAAAGAATGACGTCACTTTGGATGACGGTATCACCAGCTTGCTGAAATTAGATGGCTTATTTTGATTGGGAATGACATTAATTCTTTCGAATTTACTTGTCCATTTATTTCCAACTCGTTTAAACCAAATGAATGTTGGTAAGGGATTTGATCTGCTGACAATGCATTGTAACTCAGCATCTTTGTTGACGTCTCCCACCTTAACGCTTTCCTCCTCTTTAGCCATAGGTTTATGTATTAGTGGTGGAACTGCAAAACATAAATATTGAACCTTTAGCGAAAAAGCACCTCTTTAAGAAATAAGCAGTAACTTGGTGCAAAATACAGGCATAGTTAACACCCTCATACACAAAATAGATTACCTCTGATGGCACAAAAAATTTGTTGCAAAAGAATAATTTGCTTTTAACAATATAGAGTGATGGCTTTATATCATTGATATAAAAACATGTAGCTAATAGCAAACATATTATATCACAATATAGAATGAATTTAAGTAGGCTGAAATGCTCCTCTAGAAATATTTAAAACTCTATTGATCTCTAGCTTCTAATTACTAGGCGACCTTGTCTTACGCTACAGGAAGAGGAAATTCGATCGACGACCATTTCTTATTTCCCAAAAAAGAATCGCTGCAAATAGGCCTACTTTGGGGTATTAAAAACCTTACCATAAAAAATGTTGATAAACAGTAAGCAAAAACCGGGAAAATTGACGATGAACAGTATATTACAATTGGAAATGATTTGTTAAAGGACATGTAAGAATTCAATGACGTCAGCAAGTGTTTTCCCGCAAAAATTCCGTATTCTACTTTGCTATTTTACAAACATGGAGATTATCTATAAATCCAAATTACCTGTAACTGTCAATACAACACTTTTACTACCAAGTCCTTTCAAATTTGATGCGATACAAGAGAAACTTCCTTCGTCATTTGGAAATTTTGGTCTAGTGATATTCAGTATACATCTAGCAGATTTATCGCATGTTTTATGGATTAAACCATTGTGATACCAGGCAACAGTTGGTTTAGGTGATCCACGAACGACCGAACATTGGAAAAATGCCGTGCCTTGAAACTCCAGTAGTTTCAGAACTGTAAGGTTTGTACTTAGTGATACTTCTGGTCTCTCGGGTTCTGAAAAGAAAATACACGAATCAAAGAGACTCAAAGCTTGAAAATTGCAACATACTCTTTAAATGCATTCAGCCTCACTGAGTGTGATTGCTATTAGGGACATTCTGCAATGGCAAATAGCTTGCAGATGATAAATATCTAACTTTCAAAAAACATTTCTGGACCAATAAAGTGACATTGGAAATTTTCTTACGATACACCTAACAATACCTCACATCAAATAATAGTTGAAATCATTTGCCTATCCATAGATTGCTTTTAAAGTATCATTAATCTAGTATATATGAACAGATATCAAATTTGCTGATCAGATGGCTTTATTTGTTAATGATGAGAATCGTTAACTGATGCTTTTTATTTGGCGCAAGGGTGTGTGTTAACTTTAGAAACTTATTAGCGATTCCTTCTAAAATTGAAATAGATTTTCTTGTAGCTATCATACATTATTACCATTCTGCACTAAAATGTTTTCAGTTCTTTGTACTTACGCACTGATTATGATCACTGAATGACCAAAACTCACTGAATGACCAAAACTCACTGAATGACCAAAACTCACTGAATGTACTTACGCACGATCTCTGAAACTAGAGATTTCACCTGTAGAGTTACTTTCTTGTTAATATGACCAAGAAAGCAATATTTACCTTTATATATAACCTTGAATCTCGCTTCAGTTGCCTGACCCGTTGTTTTCCTTTCGCAAATATAAGCACCTTGGACACCATTTGTGACATTCTTAAGCACTAAAACCTCAATGTCCACTCCTCCTTTGCTCCTTCGTTGTACCATAGTTGCATCCACAAGGAACTTTCCTGTCGAATTCTGTCGGTACCACTTGATATATGAATGACCAGATGTCCCATGACCATATGCTTGACATTTGATCTCAAAGTCATCCCCTAGTTCTAATGTTTTCTCTGTTATGTTCGGATCCAGTGAAACCGGTACTTTTCGTTGGCCTACGAGGAACAGGATTGTATATGCGTATGTTTGGAAACAAATATTTGAATAATTCTGAAAACGCCCTAATGCAGCTACATCTATTGTCCAACAATATTTACAATATACCAGAACAAAAACACTTTATGAGAATAGCTAGGGAAATCTTAGTGCTAGAGCTTTGAAAAAAGCCTCCCAAAATGTTGCAAAATAGAACCTTTTAAGCCATCTCGTCATCTTTGCTTAATCCTTTTAAAAGAATACCAGTGAGATGACAGATGTGATCTTCTCCTAAACTGTACCTACTGCAAAGTAACACATGACGGTAATCTGATTTTTGATTGCTTGTCGAAACTGTTGAAACTTGTGGGAAGTTTGGGAAAATGGGATGCAACTTGCACCTGAAGATGATAGTATATTCCCGCCATCAAAAAAGAGAATAAAGGTTTTTCAAATAACAATGCTTTTTAAGGACAAAAAACACCTGGAAAAACCTGTTGCATTGTAAAAAGCGTCAGAAACTTTATCAGTCCTTGCTTTATAGCAAAATGTGAACATTATCTGCCAGAGTCACGTAGCTTCCAGACACGTATATGAAATGAGGTGCTTGGGAAAATCAAAGTGACTTCAAAGCTAGAACTATTTATCAAATGATGCCTGTACAATTAAACAATTTCATTGCAATCTTCAGGAAAAGCTTCATACCTTGGTTTACCATTAAAATACCACGTTTTACACAAATGACACTATCAGCAATTCTCGCCTCGCATTGTAGACTGGATGAATCCTGCTCTAAATGTGTTGAAAATGTGTAGGAGTCTTTGTCAATTCTCAAGCTGGCGTTGAAGAGTAGTGAAAATTGAATTTCCTTTCTTCCTGACCATGAACTGGACACATATAGCTTGACACTAGCCCCTTTCTCACTTGTACTGCAATTTATTCTAATGATGTCGTTTTCATAAACAACCAGGTATCCATGGATTGTCTTGCTTTTTTCCAGGAATTTAAAGCTATCTGTTAGTGAAAACACGAAAAAATTGAATGAAAATACAGATAATCATTATTTATTAGAAAACATCGAAGCTGATGAATGACAAAAAATTTTAAGAAAACAGATGTAAATTAAAGATTGACTTGATAGGCCTCCGTTAAAGGCAACAAGGACAAAATTATATCTTGACAAAATAGACTGACAAGTAATGGCTATCACCAAACGAAATGAAAAAATGGCATCTCTTTGAATTTTAACAGGTGAATAAAAGTTTCTTATCCCATTAACAAATAAAACTACATATATATCAATACAACATGAGGTAACAGTGATAATTAAAAACTTTTCAAAAAGATTCAAGGAAAAAAGTACTTTAAAAACAGACCAAAAAATATCTCAAAAATTTCAACATTAAACTGAATTCTTATCTAACAGCTCGTAAAACAAAATTAAGCTACTCAAGTTGTTGTTGATCCAATCAAGAAGTCTACTCAAATGGTAATGGAACTAAAACTAGACACACAGAAAACACAAAGATTTTAAGATTCTACCTTCAGCCTGAATAGGTTAATACACAATGACCTTTCAATGGAAAACAAGACTTAATTTAAAAAACCATCTAATGCACACAAAGCAACAATGCTTAATTTCTCAATCCAAACTTTGTAATTAAGAAGCAAAAAACTGAAAGAGTTTCGGTGCATTTCAAATCTTTAGATTTTTACACATAACAACAAAATCTGATTTTTAGGCTAACTTTGTTCTTATTAAGTAGGAGCTTATTCCACAAGTTCACAAGTTAATATCAGAAATAGGCAAGCGGCACTGATTGGTCAACCTCAACAGTCATGTGCTGGTGTTTCTTATTGGCCTATTTCGATCCACAACTGGCTATATATATTTCCTAGCGTAGATTTTCGATCTATGTTCTGACGTTTAAAACTCTGAAGAGTGTCAGACGAAAAGCTTTAGTTTACTCAAATGTTTACTTTCTTCAAAGTTGTTTTCATTTCACTTGGTTTTACTGTATGCGAGATTTACTGTATATTACTAACTATCAATAAATGAATGAGTCAATTACAATAAATCATAAACGTCTGAACATTACCCAGACAAACGATCTATTACGGTTGAGTAAAATCTCTCGTTTCACTAAAGCTTTTTAAGAAAGATGACGTCAGTGTTTTGGCAAAAGAAGTGACAGGCAACGTGAAAATGGATTTTACTTTCGTGAGCAAAGTTCAGCTTGATCGGTCTTGAAAGAATACTGAATTGATATCTAAAACAATTAACATTCCTTGGCAGACTGAAATGATTACAATAACATGTCGAAACAGTGTGATTGCTGATTTAGTCATAATTTCAATCAAGATCGAGGAATGGGTCTTATTGTTCAATTTTTGAAGTAATATCGTGATTAATTCCAGACACATCGAAGCCACTTTAGATCAGATCTGATTTGTTTCTCAAATGGCAATACAAACCAATCATCCCAGCTTGCTTGCACGTACAGACTTGGTAGACACAATTGCAATTTCCTTGCCTACAGCAGCAACAGTTCTTAGTTTTATCCTAACAACCAGAAGTAATATCTTGGGATTTGAAAATGCAATCAAGTTTTAGAATGTTATTGGTTGCAGTGGCTGGCATGTGTATGGTAAAAGTGTGTGAACTAATCCAAAAGGATCAAGGGGCAATTCACTCTTGCAAATAGCGTACGATATATTCCCTGAAACAAAAGGATTTCTCTGGATTTTCAGATAAAACAATAGGATTTTCACAAAAGGTGTAAGAGATTTTCTTGGAGTGATTTGCCCCTCGAAAAGGATGAGGTAGTCCCATGGGCCTTGATTATAGATCCATTTTCACTTGCCGGGATGTTCAGAGGGGTGGATAAACTGGTACAAGATGTTGTGGGCCATAAACCTGAAGAGAATTCACTATTTTTGGGGTGTGATGGCACGGTGAAGCTTTAGTAAGAAAATGTCACAGGCCTCGAATGCTAACGGTGGTTATGGAATCGCTTTGATGATTTCTTTTGGAATAGCTGATATGAAACGAAGATATTTGACCTTGATAAATGCAAATCAATCACGTTTAATGTGTGATAGGGTACGCCTTTTCGGTGCCCCTTTGGCTTTTGCTTTTGGCACTGATAGCACGATCGTTGAGTTTTGTGTTCATTGTAGCATTGCTTGAGTAAGTTTCACATGATGTCTTCGATATGGCCAAAGCAACAAGCGTGCAAGTGTGCATTGGTCTTGGGTATATAAACATCATGTTGGGAAAGCTTCTCCCTTACACGTCGCAAAACAACCTGAAGTTGGACTGTTGAGAGAAAAGGTTTTTCTTGAGTATATATCTTGGGCCTTATACTTACGTTTCAGAATTTCCAAATGTCACAAAAAAACTTTGTTTTTAGAATTTTTGAATTTTGACCACATAACACAAAAGAACAATTTGTGTCCAAAATCGGGTAAGATGTTGCCAATAAAAGATCTGAAATTTGCTAACAAATTACCGTTATTTTTGGATCTGGTAAGAGAATGTGCTCATGTGGCCATATCTCAGCCAATTCGTAGTACCTTTAATTGCAAATTTGGAGGTATTTTATGATAATCTTTCAGGTTATGGGTTCCAAAATAAAAAATTCTACAAACAAACTTTTGTGACGTCATCACTTAAGAATCTCTCAATCCTTGACTGAGATAACCAGTAATCCATTTACTGGCTAAATGTTCTGTACAATTTTATCAAAGGCAAAGCAAGCTTCTGATTCCGTTTTAACAACCTGCCTTTTGCTTGAATATCTTTACCTTTGAGTTGATGAAGCAAGTAGTTTCTGATTCCGTCTAGCCAATCTGTACATTTTAAGAATGGTTCCCTAGGACACCTTCAATTTTCTATTATGCCTTTAGAAATCTTTAAACAATCTTAACAGTTCGGTTAGCATTAGGGGCTTACAGAATTCAAAACATATACGATTTCAGGCGTTTGGTGAAAGAAACCTAAAATCTCTGTGTCTCTACGTACTACGTAAATAACACCTTCTAAAGGGGGTTCATTTTGATGCATCTGTTTTTAGATGGTTGTCATGTTGCGATTGAGAATTGCCTTGAGCAATCGGGTGATGTTATGTCTTTCTCGTTTTGTATAAACTTTCTTGCTTAACTTGCATAAAAGAATAGGAAGGATTGAACAACAACCTTTACCCTACTACACTTAACCTTGCTACGAAGGACTTTAATTGTTAAAATAGAGAACTGTGATAACACTACTGGGCTGACGAGCCAAGTAACCTTTTGACTACTATACAATTGACTACTAATTAATATTCACTATATTTCTACTAAGATGTTTTGAGCTATAAAACGTGTGTGATACCCTTTTTGTAATTATTTTGGCAGTCGTCAAAGTATAAAAGAAAACCCTGGGTGTATATTACTTGCTAGTTAGGTCGAATGACAATGCTCTGTGAAATAACAAGAAAGCCACATTTAACAAATAAGATCTTGGACATCAACCCGAGTTTCATGCAATAGTACCTTTCAATGAACTTCAGACATTTTTTTCATACCATAACAAAATTTTGAAATTAGTCGATTTTAATCTGCTGATTTTAAAAACTTCGGTATAGCTGTTTGAAATTGAATGAATCTACGCGGTGCTTTAGATAAGTAGAGAAAAAAGACGATAACAAATGACTATTCTTTAAAAGCCATAGCTATGAAATAGAATGATGGGGAATACTGACTGCCATTAAATTAGCATACAATATAAATATTTCATAAATATGAAAAAATCAAGCAATACAAACATTGATTTCTACAAGCCAGTGATGCGAGCAACTTAATAACCTTATGAAATCTTTACGAATGTTAATAGATGAAACAATGATCATACAAAAAAAATATTCCGTATTTTAGATCGCTTCTAAAGGACAGATGCTGACAACGACTCCTTAGCTAGGTTTGATTGTAACATTAACAATTATTAGCTGCTAGTCTAAATGACAGTCCTCGCCAGGTGTTACGCCAAGATAGGATCAATGAGATGAAAGACGAGAAAAGTTATTTAAGATGCTTACACTTCAAGATAAAGGACTCATATAAAGATGCTTAATAGAGTTTTTATCTATTGACTGAATTATTAATCAGGCACTGGCTGTATAGAATTGTACAATAACACATGCAGAGGCCCTAACAAACTTCAAATTTTAGAAAACCGATATTCGTTCAAATTCTAACATCTGCTAAGAACTTTACAAACACAGCTTTTTACACTTACAATAGAACAGTTAGTACCACCTCTTAGATTATTGAATAAATTTTGAGTTGTTTTTTAAAGAAATCATTACATGATCCTCCGATAAAATACAATCGACTGTGTTCAAGTATTGAATCGGGTAACAAGATTGCTTTTGAACCGTTTAAGGTAGAGAGAAGATTTAAACAAACAGTCCTGCAAACACGAATGCTGCTTATTTTGGCACACATATCAAAATTTAGATATCGTTGCTAAAACTGTTGAACATTCACTCTGGGAGGCCTAATACCTCCTTGTAGCTGTAGATGTGAAACTTGCTGCTTGTGGAAAACGGGCTAAAGGTATTTGATTCCGCTATCGGATACTGATCCAGAGCCCTCGTTATTATTTGATCTGATAACTTGATAGCTACATCATCCAATTAAGGGTTCTTTGCGGTATCATAAGCATATCATTCAGAACTGCTGGTTGCTCGCTTAAGTGCTACAGAATTCATGACCAAATAGAACGAATTAACGGATTTGGCAAAACATTCCGTACCACGGAAATATTTCTATGAAAATATAAGTAAGCGTTTAGATGCATCATGTTGTTGGTTGATGTTCGTATTCAGAAATTGACGTAGATAGAGAGTTCAGTGGGGGTGAAAAGCCATAGCTCCCAAGTTGCCCGCGATTCGCGGGTGAGACCCGCACGAACTCTTATAAACTCGCCTTGGTTTAATACCGAAAACTGACAAATTTCTACTTTTGCTATTGTTTTCTCAACATTTTGTGCCCTTACCACTGCTGACCCTCTAATGACTTCTAAAAAGTTGAGAGCTATGAAAACCCCCCTGCAAAGCTGAACTGCCATGTTGTCAGGAAACATTTATTTTGTTGGGAATATAAAATGATTGTCTCTTTGGTAAGAAGGGAGGGTAACCATTATTTTTTCACGAAATCACGAAAGTTTTGTCAGATTGGAAATCAATTGCAGATTTTTTTAAGTACACCCTCAAAGCGCCCCGTTGGTACGGCTATGAACACCAGTTTTGTTTTGAGATTTCATATAAAAAGTTTCAATGGACCAACATTGTTCAAACTAGCTAACATTTCCATGTTATCACTTTTCAGGCAAACAGAAATAATATCTAAGCAACAAACACTTACAATGAAAAATTCAGAGGTACATTGAAAAGAAAAGAAAATTATTTGATATGGACAATTGTACCCTGAGAATCGACCAAATCAACTCCTTTTTCTGCATTCTAACGGCAAGCAAAAACAGTTGATTTCAACAGCATAGTTTCCGAAGCCTTAATATCGCAATGAGAGAATTTCGGCCTGTATAAATCACATTTTTATAAATCAAAGTTTTCTCAAATTTCTAACTCTTTACGCATTTAGATGAAGTAAAGAAAAAATAAAAGGAGAACATCGAGACTTTAATCAACGAATGAAGGATTTGCCCATGAAAATACTTTCGTGCCAGTTTCTTGCCATTATAAAAACATACAGCTGCAACATGGGCTTGCCCGGTGCCTACTCCCTTTCCCCTTCTTCTAACCTGCAGATATACATAGAAACATGAGATTTTCTGACCTCATGAATAATTAGACGGTACATTGTATTACTTTCTGAAGATATTATACGATATACAAATTTATAAGAAAAGAGCTTTACATGTCAAATGGGTGCGGTTATATACTGTGTTGGCTGCACACCAACCGTTGGTTGAAGCATAGGTGACGAAAATGTAAAAATGTTTAGAAAAGTCTCCTAAATATCATTGTACCTGTTATATATGATATGCTGTAATAAAGCACGAGCTTGCGGTGGATTATAGCTGTTTATGAAATTATCTGAATACGGGCTTCTGGTCAGGTTATGCATAACCCCATTGAATGCTTGAGGTCTGTTTCTATGATGCAAAAATGTTTGGCATTATATGGGTTAGTAGCCAGTTCAACGTCCCAAACATATAGGGCGACGATCCCACATAGATTCTCAGCACAAGTATTTCCCCTGAATTCTCTCCTCTGAATAACTTAAATTTAAATTACAATATCACACGTGGTGTCTATTACAGACAGAGACAGGTTTTCTTCATTCCTCTTAATTGTTTGCGCCTCTCCAGTCCAACATCGAAGCGCTTCCTACACCTTCCTACCCATCGTTGCAGATTGTATTCTTGTGTATTTGTCAAAAGCTAAATCGTTAAATACGAGGTCATAATTCACCATTAATGCACGACTGCTAGTACCTGTAGTTAATCACAATCGAGCAAGCGATATTGGCTATTGAGAGAAATAAAAGCTTACGACATCAACATACCAGTACTCTCCTCCTTGCATTCACTGTTCGCAGACGACCGTTCAAACTGAACAAAAAGAGCTGTTATGACAGTTAGCGCTCTTGCCGCTTGCATTACGACGTGCATCCTCACTTGCAACTCATCAGTTGTGTTGTGTTGATCAGTTCTCACGTGGCTCTAAATCGTGTTTTGTCGACGCAAATTTCGTGCCTAACCACCTCTTTGCACTCGTTGAAAGAAGCGAAAATTGTTGAGATGTTGGATAATCCCTAGTGTTCACCTGTCCTGATCCCACTGTAAACATAAAGGATCAAGGAAACAAGTCCATGTATTGCCAATCTGTAGAAGGATTCACGTTTGTTTCTTAGCGTCAACTAATAATAGCATTGTATGATTTCCGTTAAAGCATTTGTTTACGTTCAAACACGCAAGGACCTGAACTTCGTCAGAAGGCGACTTCCTTTCAAAAATCAGTCATGTATCAGTGAGCAGAGTACAATTGAAATCAATCTTCATAGTATGTTTTACAAGAGGAGGGTTCCATTAAACTGTCGCGATCAGCCAACCTCGCGATCAGTCTTGTTTCCTCATCATCTGATCTGATCGTGGTGCCTTCTTTTGCAGCAACGTCTCTATCTGCACGTTGCATCGAGATTGATAGGGTTACTGCGAATTAACCAATGATATAGAAGCGCCGAAGGCGCTAGATGTCTAAATCACAGGTACGATGTGTGGCAAATTTGTTTACTTCCGCCATTTTTGATACTGGCAAAAAGGAACTTGCTTCATACTGAGCCCTTATAAATTTAGGAAAAAGTAAGGATTGATTTCGTTCATTTGGTGAGTGGCCTTATATTGCACTTAAATTTATGAATTGATGTTATTATAGGAAAAATAAGCCGATCTGTTATAAAACGGATCCAGCAACAATGTTTAGCCACTCAATGCATAATTTTCTTAACACATTTGTACAAAAGTGTGATTTCGTTACTTTTTCTTTCTTTCTTTACAGAAAATGCTATGAAATATCTAGGCTTAACTCTAGAAAAAGCCGAAAATAGGTCATAATTCAATGCTTGGATATTAAGAACAGAATCTAAATAAAGTAACCATTTTTTTGATTTAATACAATCATTGATATTTTTTAACTATTTCAAAACTACACTCGTTGCTTGTAATTATTCTTTAGCACAATGTGTCCCTCCCCGTATCTTTAGGCCTATAAAATACCTCCGGGGTACATTTTCACGATAAAGATTACTAATTTGGCCTTACCAAGAGGAAAGAAATTTGATCCATATCAATTTGACATGCCATATCAATTCGATTTGACAAACTAAATATAAAACATTCGCACTTTCCTACTCATTCCATATTAGGTTCTAAACGACAGACAGAAAAATTCAAGAATTAAATATTTAGAATCGCCCATGCTATTAGATAATAGACTCATAAAGTTCTTTCTAATTTATATGAAGATTAAAATTGCAAGCAGATACTTTTTCAACTCATAAAAACACGACAGGCCACTGCTATATTCCACCCGTAACTACGTAAACTAAAAGAGCCATATTTTTCAAAATTCTGTTTAAAAACTCCAAAAAATTGTTATCTGTTGTTGATTTATAACTCCTCTAACTACCTGCATCAAAAAAGACACTGAAATAGGCGTGAGCCACGAGAAAATGATTCATTAAAACAAGCAATTTTCCGTACTAAACCCTATTGCAGCTCGCTTTTTGCCACTATTTAGAAGTAAACAAATTTGCCTCACTCGGCAGTACACTGAGTTTAGACATCTAGCGCCTTCTGCGCTTCTATATCATTGGAATTAACTATACTACGTGAAAGCGAGGCACGACCTGTATCTGTTCCACTATGGTCAGCAATTTTTCAATCTCACTAATCTAGTGTCTCTTATAGAACGGGGGGAGGTAATAGAAGGGAGGGGGTGCTCATTCCGACCAATTTTCAATAGAAGGGGGTGCTAATAGAAGGGGGGAGTGTTCATGTCGACCAGTTTTCAATAGAAAGGGGTGCTAATAGAAGGGGGGTGTTCATGTCGGCAATCCTTCTTTGAAATCGAAGCACCTTTAGATAATTCTATGAGATAATTTAGATAATTTGGTTTCAGTTTCTTGCATAGTTTTAAAGAAAATTGTTATCATTCAAAGATAAATCAAATTTACAGCGTTTAACTTCCAAGTCAAAAATCATCGGTTTCCTTTGTACGGTTGAGATTTTACAAAAAAACTGTGAAAAACAACGAATAATGAAAATCAAATGACTTAATTTGTAAAATTTAATATAAGGGGGTGTTAATAAGCAACGGGGGGAGGGAAAATTCTTCTGAAATTAATACACGGGGGGCCGTCTTTAGAGACACTAGAGTATATTTCTGAGACAAAATAATGGAGACTCTGGTACCCAATTAGCCCACGATCGGTCAAAACATTTTCGAAAATGTTTGGATAAATGCTCAAAACTATCAAACTTGAAAAATTATCTGGAATTTACATTGCAAATAGCTGGTTTTCAAAGCTTTATCGCGCTTTCAAGTTTCATTTTCTATTCAATATTTTGTGATACATACATTATATTCAGTGGCTGTTTAAGGGGGGACATGGCCCCAGCCCCGCAACTATGGACTATGGTAAGTGGTAACCAAATGGGGCCCTGCAGCCATGAAGCAAGATAGAAATTTTAAAGAACAAGGGCCCCGCAGAGGTTTTTGGCCCTGGGCTCCGCAGTCCCTAAAAGTTTCGGATTATGTTAGAAAATACGGACAGTTCTTACGGTTTCTTACGGGGAAGAAGTTTCTATCAATCGATTTCGAGTAGAAAACGGTACGTTATTATAACATTATTCACACTGTTGTAACAAAAAAGGCAAGGTTTTAACTGACAGCTTTATTTAACGATGCTTTGACAAGAAAACAGTCAGTATTTGAATGATGAAACATATAAGAAAAGGCCACAAGTTTTAATTTAGCTTTGCAAAGTGCTTTAGCATCTGAAGACCTGCAGAGACCTTGTAAACTTGTTTAGCGTTTGATCTGTTTGTCTGTGAAGTTTTGTCTGTATTTCATATTTACAAGTTTCTTTAAATTTGAAAAATGTCAAGATTGATAGAGCAAGGATTGTCCCAAAACGTAAAGTAACTGCCCAATGCCCGATGAACCCTAGTGTTATCGTAAAGAAATCTCCCAAATTTGACCAGCTTCTTCTTAATTTTCCCATGAGATTTTGGATTAGAGAAATGACCTTCAAAGAAAGGAAGCTTAAACAAATCCCATGACACAGCATTAGACCATATTTAAATAACTGACTTTAACAGAAATGGTGATTGAAATAGCAAAGGTTGACCTAGGCCAGGTATAAACTAGACTGTCAAACCCCTTAGTAATCCCCAATTTTCACCCCTACCTCTTCTAATCAATGGTGTACATCCACACTAATTATGTGATTAAACATGGGCCCAGTCCATGTGGAATGTACACCTTTTGCAAATTTGCTTAGTCTTAGAAATGATGTAAAAGAAAATAGAAAGAAGTAACCGATACATGACTGTCCTAAAAAAACACGGCTAAAATAAACAATATTTCCCTTGATAAAAATTTTTTGGTCTTGTATGTAAAAACATGATTAGACAGAAGTAGAAGTTTGTTGCTAGGCCCAACCAAACATAAGCGCCAACTTTGTTAAAGATTGGACTCGAACCACTGCGAGCCCTGGATACTTTGATGTTAAACAACGAGCAAAATATTATCTGAAATAACATCGACATAAAGAGCCCTAGTAGTACCGCCGGAACGAAATTCATATTGGGGGTGCTGCTCATTGTATTCCTTCTCATTCAGCACACTGTTATATAGGAAATACACTACAGTTTGACAATGATTGGGGGGCTCCAGCCCCCCAGTCCCCAGCCCCCTCCGGTTCCAACTGGCCTGCCTAGCCCAACCACTGAAACCACCCTTATTCTCACAAACAACTTGCTAATACGTGCTTTGGCCACCAATTGAGGGCTACGTTTATCGAAAACGACTTTTAAATTCAAGTTTCTGGCTAGTCTTTGTCAAAAGTCACATAAGTTAAACAGGCTATTCATTTAACATAGAGAGTAATTTTGTATATGTATATAGTGAAGTATATGTAAATTATATAACTGTAAACAGGAAGAGACAAACCATAACCGCAGGAAAGTTGATGGAAAATCAATCCAATAGATAAGAGGACTACGTCAGAAAACTATTTTTTGGGTTTCAAGGTTGCCTCAAGTGTCCTAAACAATGCTGACATTTTCCCCATAAGAACATTCTCGAAATAAATCAAGCAATGGGAAAATATCTTGGACCAGAAAACCATTAATCTTAGATTTCTGTACCTAACAAGGCAATGTGATAAAAAGTAGTTCTACCAACAAAAAAGAGAAGGACTTGGAAATCGCGGCTGTATCATCTATAGGGCTGATAACAGCAACTGTGACGTAATAATGTGCTTGTTATTCTCAAAAAAGTTCCCTGCTCATCCGATCATCAGAACCGTACACGAGAGCGGGTGTAGGAGGTTGAAAAACCCCTAGCTTTTCATGAGTTAATTAATAAATCGAGTTTCTCGGCAAAATCGTTAACTAGCGTGTGAAATCGCTTGACAGTAGATGAAATAGCCTAAACCTTCATTTTTTATAAGAAATTTTGCAAAACAATAGCACATATGTTTACAACCTTGTGTGAAAATTTACAATTGATATAGAAAGAAACTTATCAGGCAGGTATATCATACAAACAAAATGAGCACGAAGGAAATATTTCCTTGAGGCAGTTTAGCTTATCATTGATGATTTGTGCAATAAACAGTGCAATTAGGACGAAAGTCTCTATATTAGTTGTACAATAGCTTATTTTTTCCGACAAATAAATATTTCAATCTAATCAGACGACTTAGGCAAATGTATATTGCACAAGCTTAGAGCCACGAAGATTATTAAGAAACCTCCAAGCAGCTGTCCTACCAAAAAGCGGGAGGCAGATTGTCCCAGGCCTTGAGCTGAGATGGGCCGTACGTAAAAGTTAAATAAGAAGCTTTTAAAGCTAAATTTTGAACGACAGAACTTAGACGAGATCACTTATAAAAATACGAAAACCTGTAAATAGAAGGCAGTTTGTTTGTGCCAATGCTAAGTTCTGAAAACGTCGATGAGCTGCGAAATAATTCAGAAAAGAAGCCTTTATCATGAATTGATAAATATAAAAAACTCATTCTACATCATGTTTGATCATTTGATCGATAATGGTTTATTAATCTGTTTAAACAACTGCATGCATTAAACACTGTTACAAAACCGTCAGCCTGAAGATATTTCCCCAGTACCGTAAAAGTGGATATATTTCATGGAATTTCATTCATTCCATGACAATGGCAGTGTGTGGAATTCTGATAAATGTCATTGTTTCTGTTCAAGAAATGATGACAAGTCGCAGCAGAGAATCGATGCCTTGGTTTGACTTCTCCTAAACTTCCATTAGCCAATTTCAAAAGCTATTCCCAAAAGCTATTCCCAAATTATTGTTTTGGAGCAATAACCTTCACATTGTACATGGACATGGAAGCCTTGAAGTCAGATGATTGGACGATGCATGTGTTTCAACAAAGGAGAGTTTTCAACACCTTTAGCCCTCCTCACTAGTCTGGCACCTCCAAGCAATGATCCGAAGAATTTGCAGTGTGCTGTTCCAGTTTCAAAGGCTTTCTCTCAACTGATTGTGGGTCAGAGTCATCTCTTACAGGTGCTAGTGTATCCGCGAACTTGTATGAGACATTACCGTACTCTCGCAAGCACGGGCATATGTCCAGAAGATATTCACAGAAATCTTTGCGAATTCCAAACCACCCTTAAAAAGAGCATAAACATCCTTGAATTTTACAAAATGAAATATCTTAACCTCATTTATTTCTCAACTTCCGCAATGTTTTCCCAAGTATTCTGCAAAAAGATTTTAACGATTTTTATGTGACAACGGATTTTATTAAATCGAGCACAAAATACACGAAGGAACAACTAGACGGAAACTATACTGCTTAGCATGCTAAAAAGGGCATCCATCTAGCAAAACATGCTCTCGTATTGAATGCATGAGCTTAATACATCTTCTTAGAAGGAAAGGCATGGCGAATTGTGTCTCAATGTGGGCAGTGAGTCACAGTTTACGGTTTTTGGCACAAGGGCATATATTCTAAACTATGGTATATAGCACCCCCCTAAATCTGGAGATGAGACGAGCTCATCTCGAAACTTGCTAATCAATTAGTTTTTAAAAATTATAGTATAATCGAAATCGTATATATCTTAGTCAGAACATGGTCTAGGTAAGTCTAACTTCATTGAAAGGTTTACTTACGCTTACCTTTGTGGGTCCTCATATTGAAGTAGTTGTAATATTACAAAGTAATATCAATTTGGAACCTTTTTATCAAATGTTGTCGATAGTTGCAGAGTTTCTGTGAATTTCCATGCACCCTGTGACAACGCCTTGTATGTATGATGGTCGTAAATTTTATGGGAAAACCAAAGGCTGACGGGAAGTAACCGCGGAAAATGTTGCAGGGAGAAGCCCCCAAAGCACTTTAAGGGAGAGCTCTTCCGTGCTGACAAGTGGTTGGGATAATCAAAAATTAAAGCATTAACAAAAAGTAAAAAAGTAATTTCCCCTGTTAATAACACTTCTCAAAAATCGCAAAGGTGGGACTACAGTATAATATGTAGACAATTTAAATCAACAGAAATTTACAGTGAAAAACATTCAGTGATAAGCGGAGTTGATCTGGAGCAAACACACGCGCGACGCCCTTCCATGCGAGATTTTTATCACCCCGCTTCAATGCAAAATGCTAACAGTAAAGCTGATTTACTTAACATTTACCAAGATAGTCTAACAAGTTTTTAACGATTATTGACTGTGCTTCGCTTACAGCTGGTTTTTTCAACACATTAGCGTTCACAGTTGGCTAAGACATGAGGCTTTGCTTTTACGAAAATTATCAAAGGAAGCATCAATTTTGCAAAATACCGAGTTAAATACGCAGCTGTAACAATACCTACATCAGAAATGCCTTACAATGATGCAAAAAATCAACTGTTCTGTTTGTTGAACAAAGTCAACCATGGAATCGTTCAAGCATTTTCCCTACATGATAACAAAATCTGACTTTCACAGCAATGGGTCAATGCTGGAAAGAAGTTCAGAGAAGGAATAAGAAAACTTACAGTGATTTCCTCCTTTTTGGTAAAACGAACTTATGATCAGACTTGCAAGTGAAAGTTGCAATGGTATAAAAACAGCGGCAAATGAATCAGTGTTGACGCTGTCCAGCTTTCTTGACAATGCAATCTGTAGAGATGAACCTAGGTTTAAATCTATAAAATCTTTCTAAATTTTGTAGCTAAACCATGTTCTTATTCAATATGAAACAAATACAGTTGAATCCAGTGGTGTACTGCTATCGAAATAACAAGGAGGGCTCTTGCACAAAATTTTGCGAAAAACAATAGCAAAAGTAGAAATTTGCCAATTTTCGGCATTAGCAAGGGGGCTCAGTCCCCCTGAGCCCCCCTACCACTACACCCCTGGACTTGAATCCCGTTAGGTTGGACCTTCAAGGGGTGTTAGGAAATGATTTGACTTAGCTTATGCCCGACCTATCCCGGGTACGATTTTTGATTTGAGGTAAAAATTCATCGGTTAGTGAAAAGCCAGGCCGACTGGGTGAAATTCCCAGTTATCCGGGGTACGACTTACAAGGATTCGACTGTAGTAGTGCAGATTACAGGTGTAATAGCGAGAAAAAAACATGACAAAGCTATATTGACCTACAGCTAAAATCAACTAGTATATAAACTCAATGAACATAATACACAGGAAGAGAAAAAAACCTTTTAGTACTTGGCTTTCTTACCACATAGCTTTTCTCTCCTAGCACTTGTTTATTCAATGCTAAATTTCATGCGCACGATAAAATAGGTAAATCATCTCTCCGGTTTTAAATACAGTGGAACCTTGCCTAACGGCCACTTCGTTAATGCTGCCACCTCGTTACTACGGCCACCTCGTTATTACCGCCACATTTGTTTGGCCCGGAAAAATGGTCATACATAGTCGCATAAAAGAACCCCGTTAATGCGGCCTCCCATTAATACGGCCAGCGGCCACATTTTGCAATCCCATACAGCAGGATTCTTTATAATTCCATCCCGTTAATACGGCCATTTATATTTAGCAAAACTGTAAAAAAATCACAATAATCTCATTCGTTTTACAAAAGAACTTTTCATTATCAAAGTCGCTTGCTTTCAGGTGTGATGCCCACACTTAAAGTGACTGGCTAGAATGCAGAATGAACCAGTCAAAAGTCACCGATTTTTTGCAAAATCATGAACATGATTTGGTGATTAAGGCCCAAGAACCCAGGACTTCCGTTTCGTTTTGTTTGTGGACAAGTTGTTTAAAATATCTTTTATAACTTTATCTACATTTTCAGATGTTTATTGAAAAACAATTCCTTAGGATTTTATTATTAATTTCTACCCCTTAAACTCCAAAATTTGACCCTTCCTCATTAATACGGCCACCCCGTTGATACGGCCAATTTTTGGTGGCCCGTTGGTGGCCGTATTAACGGGGTTCCACTGTATAGTAACAATTTCAGCTTCAAAATCTAATCAAAGACTTACAATGAATGAAAGCAAAGGGAAAATCATGAAACACGACAGGGTTGCGTAAATTACATGGCCTCTTCTTTGTCTTGGTGTCACTTCAGGTGAACGTAAGAACAGCAATGCCCATATGACGTAATAGATAACAACAACACACAGCAGTGTGAGGACGATCCATAATGGCACGAAGACAATCTGCAAAAAATGATGCCAATTAACTGATTAAAGCATTTTAATTCGAAAATAAAATAAAATAAAATAAAATTATTGTTCACTAGTACACAGAGCATCATGAATATGTCTATACACGCAAAAACTTGCTTCCTAAATAATAAGTATTAAATATAAAACACTGTTTGTTTAAAGGGTATATTGATTTATCGCAAATAAATTTGAAGATCATCATAATACCCAAATGAAATAAAGGTAAAGGATTCTCATAAAAAGATAAGTATACAATGGACCCTTAGTTGAATCTATATCACCATCCGGCCAATCACTTCTAATAACAATCTAGGCCATAATGCGCATGTACAAGTTACAATTACTTACAACCCACTTCCAGCTGATCACATTGTCCAGTTTTAATGCCAAGCAAATGAACTGCAAAACATTGACTGAGAAGAACGTCTCTAGCTACGAGAAAATTAAAGTTTAAGAAAGAGCCATTCAAATATAAAATATTTCACACTTTTAAGAACACAATTTGGGCATGCACTCGTTATTTAGTGAGAGGAAGATGCATTCTTCATTCGTTGTTTATCAAGCCTAGACCTGTGCTTTTGCAGTTTGCATACTGTGTACACAAATCTAATTATGAAATACTGAAACATCATTTTACAAGTCATAAATTAATTTAGATTTTTTTTGAAAAACATTGCTAAATAATCTATTTAATATTGGTTCTTAAATTATTTTCTCATTATCATTTCGTTTTTGGGTTACAGTACCACATTCAACTTAAATATTTTTAATGAACCAATCAATATGTTTCCAACAGCAATAATCAATAAAGCTTTCCTAAGCGATGACGTCATAAAAATGTTTTTTAGAACTTTTGAATTCGGATCCCATAACCGGAATCAGCATCTTGAAATATATCTTAATGGCCAAATTAAGTTACAGTCGTGAGCGAATTTGCTGAGATATGACCACCTGAGCAAAGGATCTTTCCCCATTAAACTTCTGCAATTTGATTTCTGTTAAAACAGTAAACCCGATAGCAAACTTCAAATCTTTTTCTGGCTATACATTATCTGATTTTTCGAGATATTTAGCTGATATTAAAAACTTAGAAGTATTTTGTGCCTGTTTATAGGTTAAGCAGTCAAAATTCAATAATTCCAAAACAATTTTATGACATCACACTCAGGGAAGCCTGAACTTGAAGAGGGCAAAGGGGGCAAAGTGCCAAGAAAAAGGGGAAACAATATTTAAACAAAGAATTCTGAAATTTGCAAGGATAGAGAAGGTCACTGCCAGTGGCGGACACTTGGGGGGGGGGCGAGGGGGGGCGACCACCCCCCAATACTTTAGAGAACAATGGTCTTTTGTTCTAAAACAATGGGAAATGTGACGTCATCTTATTAATACAATAGGCTTGCCCCCCAATATTTGACCAAGTGTCTGCCACTGGTCACTGCCCCTGCTGTCCCCTGGGGCAGGTGTCCTTGGTCACTCTTAAGGACTCTACTGAAATAGATAAAAACAAATATAAGACAAGGGCTTATCACAACTCAGCAACCATTATTAATTTAATCAAAATTAATGTATTTATATATTCATACAAAGACAATATAAACATACACATTTATATGTTATCATAATTTTCATAATGCTGTCTAAAGTGCTCAGCTTATCAGAGCGATTAGTTAGACTAAAATAAAGTTCTTTTATACACCTGGTGATTGTTTAGACATGAAACTCAAACAAGCGTGTTACAAAAGTCTGTCTATTTTTAGCTTTATATACATACATTTAACTGAATTAATAGCTTACATTTGTGATTTACAAAGATGGTCATGAAAATTTAGTGGAAAGTTGAGTACTATCATCAAGTGTTCTTTTTCTGTGAGCTATAAAATGCTGTTTGTGTGACTTTCTTTTTGACATGTATTTGATTTTCCTATTTGAAAATATTTTTCCTGTTTTGAGATAGCTTTGTCTCATCATGTAATGTCTCATCATTTTGGTACAAAAAGAACTTGCATTCATAATTTGTCTAATACAACATCACAAAAATGTGACAGGAAAATATATGAACATGCTTTAATAATTACCTCAAGTGATCTGTCATGTCTGAAACCCCAAATACAGGCAGCAATTGATAAGGCTGACATGACAAATAATGGCGAAAAAACTGCTCTGAAAGGAACTAATGAAAAGCCACTGAGGTTTGAGCAAAGCAGTAATTCAAAAACAAACAAAAGCAGATGGAAAAATGCACATATCAGCATGGCATGTAGCTCTGAGTTTTCTTCTCTCCTGTAAAAAACACAATATGTTGGTTTACAAATTCAAGACAGGATAGCCTCACATCTATAATTCAGATAGCACTTTCTCAATATCCAGCAAATTAAGAGAACTAATAGCATTAACTCAAGACAATGATTTTCCAATAAAATGAAGCAAAACTAAAACAAAAAAACACAAAATTCCAAGTAACCATATTTTTTAGTAAATTCCTTCAAAACTTTAAACAGGAGTTATCTACATCAATATCATTATCCACCACTGACCCGCTATCTTCCTTGAATAAAATTTGAATGATATATATTATATATCTATATATCTAATTTGAATGATAGAGTAGGATATATATCTATCTGATGAAAATCTGTAGTCAGGTGCAATATCAAATTGGTAAAAAATTAGTTTTGTAAAAAATTGGTTTTTTATATATTTTCTCAAAAAGATTGAAGCTTCAGAGTACTCCAAAATACATGAACTTTTCATCCTTTTTAGTGGGACCTTAAATTCCCACATTAGTTTGATTTTCAATTATTTTACAAGTCTAAAAAGGAAATTTTCTCCCTGCCACTTTTTCTTCCTTAAAGATGTTCACATGAAGGCCTCTATGAAGTGTCACTATTAACAGATAATCCTCCTCAAAGGTCTTAAATTTCATAGTTTCAAATAGGTTAGTAATTTTATATTTGTTTTACCTATACTCGGGGTGCTTTATCCAAACAAGAGTCCCAGTTATTGCTCCAGCAAAGACAGTTATTTTCCATATCCAAAGTGGTGCAAATATTACCAAAAAACTCCAGTCAACAATTTTATCAAGCCTCAGTCCCAACAATATTGTGAATAGAAATGCAGATGAATAGATCAAGAACTTGCTAGAAAATAAGAATGCAATTTAGTTACCTCTTAAAAAATATTTTAGAAATAGTTTCAAATATGTGGGTCTAACATAAACAATCTAACAGGGAAAATTAACAAGTTAAATTTGTTGTACAGAACAAACTTAACTCACTTATACTCTTCACTGTCTAAAGCATCAGAATAGTGTCAGAATGTTTTCAGTTTTTTAGAGATTAGAGTGATGTTTCCTTTTGTGATGTTCCTACCTGCTGTGGATATAAATGCAATTTAATAAAGCAAAGGCTATACTTTAATTACCTTGGGTTAAATTCCTGGAACAAGCCTTTTAAATTCATATCAACAAATATTTCCTGGTTCTTGCATTCACTTTACACTATACTGAAATAAATTGGTCAGGATTAGCATGTATCTTGATTGGTGATGAATGATAGCATAACAACAGCCAAAGTTCACCAATGAAATTTTGAATTTTCATCATTGCCCATGCCAATTGTCCATGTCAATGTTTTCCTTTTCCATGACAATAACAGTGTTCACTCCTAAAATAAAATAAAAATGTTACTCAACTACATATCAAGAAATAACCAAATTATAGAAAATGGGAATGGAAGCATGCAAGGGCATTATTTATTCAAATGTTGAGGCACTGCAAATCCTATTTCAATTTGAGAAAACATCACAAAATAGGTTGAACAAGAACAAAGCTGTTGGATTGATAAAGACATAAAACTGTTATCTTGTTCATGCTATTCGTTTCCTAAGCTCTTCTCTCCAAAACTCAAATTGCCTTATCATTTTGTTTTAAGTCATTAACCATTTATTTTGAAATTTGACGAGAATCAAAACGTATCCCTACAAAAATGTTATTATACATAATATTTTGTAACCAAATTACTCTAAACTTAATTTTGTGACTTTTTGCACAGATTAGAACTTGTCACACTATACGTTTAGTCTAAATACAGTATCTCATTTTTATGTGGTTGCATTGTAGATTTCATGACCGATATAAAGTTTATAAATTTATCTTTACTGTATGTACAATACTTCTTGGTGAAACTTTTAACCCTCAGTCGTTGAAAGCAGTTAAATCAATTATCGAACTCTAACTTAATATGGACAAAAAACAATAGCATTACATTAGCTTCATAGAAACTATGTGTATTAAAATATTTAGTTTAAAAAGGCTAGAACCTTGTTTATTCTCCATAAAATTTTGAGCAGAAACTTATCATTACTCTTATGAGCAACAAGACAACACCTGATCTGAACAATAAGAAAAGAAAAAGAAGCTAGGTATCAGCTAAAACTAGGCTGAAACGTAAGTCTAAAATTCCTTAATTATTGTTGGATTATAAACCAAATTGGAAGCGTTTATACATGTTAAGCCACTCTTACACGGTAAGATTTTGTCGAATTCCATTTGACAAATCGAAAGGTGAATGAATGACATTCTTGCTGGCCCACACTGCTACTGAATTACCATGTTCTGTAATGCTTTTTAGTCTGTTTGCAATCATTTTAAAGACAAAAAGGAGTGAACGCAGCCATGGTTCAAATGTGTATCGTATGTTCCAAATACAGGACATTGATTCAGCTATTCTTTTGTCCATTTTGTTTGTTTTCGCCTCTTATTTCTTCGCTTTTTTAATACCAGTGCTATAACTCTGGCAGCTGAAGCAACCTACTCCATTTCATAAACAGAATTGAGGCATTTGACTCTTATTTTATTGACAAAATCTGATTGTGTAAAAGGGGCATTCGATTTGACAAATCTGAAGCAAAACTAGATTTGACATAATCAAATTCAACAAAATCTGACTGTGTAAGAGCGGCTTTAGGTATGTGAATATATTTAGACAGGAAGGTTACCATCAAAATTCATAAAATAGTAAAGGAATAGAGGGTCACAAACTAAGAGACATGTCTGAAACAAAAGTAAACAAAAGAAGAGGTCTGCAGTTACAGGTAAGTGAAAGGAATAGGCTGAATAACAGAGCTTCGCAATCTGGTATCAGGTCTGTACATTTCTCTGGTGCTAAATCCCAGAACAACATCCCAGTAGATATTAAAAGATCATAATCTGCTGTCAGTTCTTGTCAAAAGCTTAAAAATTTATAATTTAACAAGAACTATCAAACTTGATTCTGAAGCAAACTATATTGCTCTTTGACTAATCTTAGTAATTAATTACATACAAAACCAGCATAGAAAAGGGGTGCTCTTTTTTGATTAATTCATCTACCGAGAGAGCTCCTCCTAAAGAAATTCCCCTGGAAACAAAATCTTACATAATTGCTATCTGTTGTCAGGTACTATAAGTATGTTTATGTGATTTGTATTCATTGAATTAATTAGTTGTAATGTCAGTTGTAGTAAGGTATTGTAAGAAGAGGAATTTGAAATAAAAAAACTGAAAACTAAAACTGAAAGGAACAGCTTTACAACATACCTGAAGAATGCTAGAAAATAGAAGTTTTCAATAAAACTCCAGACCAAGAAACGTAAAATTATTGAAAAAGTAACTTTCGAAATATCGACTCATCTTTGGTGTGGTCTACTAAACCAATAGTAAATTTGAATGATATAAATGGCAAATGCTTTTAATCAAAATATTTTTATCATCGATTTAGGCCTAGCAAAATTTTTGTATTCATTCATTATAAAACAGCAACATATCTATAAAAAACATAGAATGAAGAACTTTTAATTACCAGGAAACAAGAATATATACGAGCTATAATTCTCCTGTCAATCTTTCAGAAATACTTTCTTACTGTTCATTAGTCTTCACCATTCGATTCTTGATCAAATGTATCATCTGCTTCATATAAAGCAACACCAACTTCAAAACGAGACGAGATAGATGGAATCAGTTTTTTAAAGCGTCACCTCATTTTATCATGGACTCTGGTGAGGAATGTGTTGCTGCTTCCGCTAAGATTGCAATTGTTTATAAAAAATGAAAACGTATGCGCAAGAAATTAAATAGGCAATAAAATATCCGTCTGGCTCATGCCCTGGTTGACCCGAAGAAAGGAACTAGGAGTTGATAACACTAACACACATAAGACAAGACTGCTGAATTGTGCAATTTATATTGAACAAATAGCGGGAAAGTTACGGAAGAAGAGAAAATTAACCGTTTGAACTTTGAATGCTTTAGCCCAGAAGACTTATACAGGGCCTCCGACGAAGGGGGGGGGGCCGGGGGAGCCATAGCCCCCTCACTTTTTTGCAAAACTATAGAGTTTTTTAGAAACACTTTTGTTATGATTGTTACACTTTCTCCTGGCCCCTCCATTTTCCAACCTGCGTCGGAGCCCATGTTATATATTTCATTGGTTCATTGAATTACTAGATCAAAATATTTCATACTTTTGCCTCATTGACGAGTTTTCAAGTAATCCGTAGTGGATTCTCAAGGCAAAAGTAGCACAAGGGTTAAGAATTAGCTGTTACTGTGACGTGGAAAAATTTTCAAAAAAATTTTCAACAAAATTGCTACTGTGGGAACTGTGGGTGAAGACAAAAGTGAAAATTAACAAGCTTAGCCCAATTGATTTAACTTTCATATGCAGAAAAAAAATTATTTTGATGGTCAATCAGCAACAAGCACCATGATCGGCATGGACCTTGTTACAGTTAACAAAAGATTATACAGTCGACATCCGCACTCATGACTCCTCGAATGAGCGCCTCCCCTCGAGTGCCGAATTTTAAATGAGCAACCCGGGCGATCTTTCGAGGAAATACGATATAGGATGACTCCATAAGAAGATAGACTTGTCATTTTAAAAAGACCTATGCATACAGGGCCTACACCACGATTTTGAAAGTGGGGGGCCAAGGCTAGAAAAAGGAGAGGGCCAAGGCTTTTTCCTCCTTTACTGTCGCTTTAAAACTACTTGCTTTGCAAAAATGAGGGGGGCCATTGCCCCTCCGGCCCCCCAAGTTGCGTGGGCACTGGTATAATCGGGGATATACCTATTGATATTTTAAAAATGAAATTAATCGAAGAAATAAATCGGTTGGAGCGTACTGGAAATTAAAGGAGCTCTTTAAATCGTTCATTAGAAAAGAGATTCAGATGGTTAGTCAAACCTTCTAGAGCAAAGAAATAAATGTGATGAAAAGTGTCGTGTTAAATAAGAAGAAATTAATTCATAGAGTTAGAGTTAAATATAAAAGAACTTTTTGCTTTCCACTAGTAAACATGCAAATTTGAGAACTAGTAATGACAGCTTTAGTAGCCTAGTAACTTTAATATGGAATATATTAATATATTTTGAAAACAACAAATAAAAACAGGTATAACTACAAACACATGGAAACTTGTACTTCATAGTGTAACTGACTCTAGAAATATTTTCTGTATTCTGGTTTGTATCAAGTCTTGTGTTTAGGCAAATCAGCTAAGAACGGCAGTATCAACTAGCAAACGATCATATTAGACATGTTCCAGTCAAGAGCTGTCTTAAATCTTCGCTGATTGTCTCTCTTTTACGTCTTCAAATAAATCAGCGTTAAAAAGAATCGATCACTTTTTACAGAACAGAGGTATCTGAGGAATCCGGTCGGCAGTGGCGGCTCCAGCCAAGGATAAGTGGGGAGGGGACAAAAGGTGTGTCAAAGACCATGCCCTTTTTGACTATGCCCCTTTCCCCCTGTTTGAAACATTTTCTCCAGGAGGAAACACCTCTTGTCTCCCAAGAAATGTCATTTAAATGTGACAATCTAGAAAACGTACATACCCCCCCCCTCCCTGAAGTTTTCTCATCAGGTTTGCAAGACTCTCAAAGAAAAACTTGGCTCCGCCACTACCGGTCGGGTCGGCTGTTGAAAAACCACAGAACCTGCCTATAAGGCAAGGTCTTTTTTAAATTAGTTGTGTCAATTACAGCCTAAAGCTTTAAAGTAGAGGCCCTAAACTCAAATTCCCACTCTTTTCACCCTTCCAGAACATGAGGATATTCAACGTGAAAATGTAATCAGGTACTGTAGCCACTGAATAAAATGTTAACGAAAAGATACTAAATGTTGATAAATACTAAAGATAAATCTTGACAAAATATCTCTATCAAAGCGAGTGAGTATTTTTCTTTGTTAAACCGGGTCACTTTGAAGTCTGCAGTATAACAGTCAGGAAGAGATTTAAAGTACTGCAAAAGATAAATTGAAAAATATTTTACTACAAAAGATTAAGCGTTTGAAAGCAAATTTATTTACCTCTTGCCTCAGCATAATGCATTTTTTCTCGATACTAGAAGATCTTTGAGAATTTGTTTATCAAATTGAATCAAAATTAAATCCAATAACACGAGATCACGTCCAGGATTGAATCAAAGAAAAATAGATGATTATGAGAGAATCAAAAATCTATATTTTTTTGGAAATGAAAGGGATACTGTTAACTAAGCAGTGGCAACACCATCTAAATATATCACCCAGTTCAAAGATAGTCAAATAAAAACTCTTTTTGTTTTTCTCGATGGAGTCATTTCTATTGGCTATGGCTTTTTCTATTCTACACATAATAATCCGATTAAAACGGGATCATATGTCCTTAAAGATTATTTACTTGGTTTTATACGAAGCATCGTTCGCTTCATAATTAGAAATCGTCATTTCTTGAACTCATAAACCATAGCCAAGTTTGTTCAATTGATACTATTGTCCTAGTAACGAAAGTGAATATGTATATGACAGATACCCTATGCATGGGAATTGCTCCCAGATCAGCTGCGGGGAAAACACGAAGGCAGTTTAGCAGCCATTTGAATGCTAGTAGATTAGAAAGTTTCAAGACAGCTCCATTCAAAGGGAAATAAGACACAAAACAAAATTATAAGAAAAAACAAACTTTGGGATCAATTTATTGCAATCAAATGAAAGTATTTTACAAAGAATATATCACAAAATTGTCTTCCCTAAAAACGTGTACCACTTGTGCTTGTCTTAGCAGAGGAAAATATCTAAAAGCAATACAAGTTATAACCACACATGAAAATATGCAAGCATGCAGAAAAGCAGTTATGTTTAACAAATTCGGACTTTGCCACAAACTTAAACCTAGACTAACGTGTCAAAAAACCACACTTTTTCTTTCAGTATCTAAATTACCAATGTATGCTACAAACCAGATTACTATATATGATAAGTTACAACAACGACCAAGACGACAACACAAACGTTTAGCAAACACTGCCCAGTTACCAATTCGGTATATTCTTTAGGAAAAATGGGTTTCTTGCCTTATTGTTAATGGTATACCTTCATGCTAGACAGAGTGTGACCAAATGAACAAAGGGACACACACTGAATATAAACACTTTTGGACAATATTTGGGTAACATTATTTGATAGACTGTAAATTAAGTCTTTGCTTTTCTAATTAAATCCCTAGCTGGAGATTTGTCAAGAGTAAGGCCTTTTGTATCAAACCTCAATATATAAATCCTGCTTTGACTGACAAATATTTTCATCAATTTCAAGACGACTTATGTAGACAAATTCAAAATTGGTGGTAAGTTTTGTCTGTTACAGGATAGCAGTTCATGAAGAACTGACAAATACACCTTTGGGCTAGATATGTGATCAATAATTTACTCAATGAAATCTTGTTTGTCATTGAATGATGGTGTGCATGGGACAGAAGAGGGTAATTTTGCAACCTTCTCTAGACTTCTTTGAAGGTCATCTAAATTTAAAAAATGGACTGCTGCAAGCTAAAACCTTCTATACAGAACTTTCTATTGTGATAACCTAAATCTATGGGGCTGCTAAAAATCTTTACTCAGAGTCCTCATCTTCTTCCTCCTCTTCCTCTTCTTCTTCATCCTCCTCCTCTTCTTCATCCTCCTCTGACTCTTCCTCAGGTTCCTCTTGCTTTTTAACTGGTTTCTTCTTAGCAGCCTGTTTATTTGGCATTGGATTCTTAAAAGAAAAGGTTTTGTTGAGAATAGTGTTCTGCAGTTAACCTTCATTGTGAAACTGTCAAACTGGGGTGACATTTGAAACTGCTACCCCCATTTGGTTTCAGCATGAACATTCTATTTTGAACAGTAACAAAGCAGACCAAAGTAAAATTGCCACGATATTGTGTCTTGTTTTAATTATGTAATTTATTGAATGAAATGATGTTTAGTTCTGTCTGCGAGGTAGGCTTCTTAAACAGACATAAAGCCCTGATATTTCTCTAGTTTCATCAAACTACCAAATGTCACCGTTATTGCTAAGGGTCAGGTCAGATCAAGCATCTTGCATTGGTTTTCAATGTTTAAAAGTAGTTAACCAGTGGACAAGTTTTTGTAGAAAAGAAACAATTATCTGATAAATTATCTGAAATATTTGAAGAAGTGTAGACAGGGGCATGACAGGACCACAGAAAAACTAATTTCCAACTTAACAATAATACTTGTAATATGATGCTCAATATTTTTATGTGATTAACACAAACATGCTATGGTCTCCCAAAAAATAGAAGCTTGAGATGGGACAGACATGTTTAGCAAATGGCAACAAAAATCTAAGGTGGGTGGTTAACGGAAAAATTGGTGGAGATGGGAGTAATTAATCGCCTTTATTGAGCGATGCCTTTCTAGGAGGGTGCTGAGGCTCACGCAGGTGATTGCCTACCTCAAACAGCCAGGCCTGCAAAAAGTTGTGTATGTAATATAAAAGACTGAATAGTTTTACTACATAAATTAGCCTGTGATACTTACTTACTAACCTTGAAAATAACATGCTAGTATAGAAATATTAAAAGTCAAGCTATTACAAGGTAGCATGCAAGCACCATTAGCAGGAAATTTTGAGAAACAAGATTTTTTCATAGGGTATAAGAAATAATTAAAAACCTATGGCTTTTTTGGCAAAAGCACATTACCAAGGTTATAGTTCCAGTAATGCTGCTATACAAAGGCTTGTGGAAAATGGACTGCCTTATTGTCAACAAACATTTCAAATTAAAACTGATATACAAGGCTTACATCTTTCTTGTATGCCTCAAGTTCCCTCTCATAACGCTTTCTGTCTTCAGCAACTTTCTCAAGGTAAGGCTCCTTCTCCTTCTTACTCATTTTTTGCCATGCTTGACCTGCAAGGGTTGGTAATTTTTCCCCTTCCTTTAAAGGAACTCCTTTCTGCTTCTGTCTGAAATCAGCCAGGAAATAAAAGTATGCAGTCTGTGGACGTTTTGGCTTAGCTGGATCTTTCCCCTGAGCTTTTTGATAAGCATCTCTCTGAAAAGAAATTGCCAATAGAAGTTATTGTAAATGCCAATAGAGGAAAAAGTAGAGGTTTCCTTGAAAAACTTATGATTTTACTATGCTTCTCAACTCAAGCCATATAAAGAGTAGGCTTTTATATTACTACAATTAATAATTTCTAAATTTTGTGCACTCAAATGTCATTGCAAATTACAAATGACCATGAATTGTCACTTCTAATATGACTTTTTTCTAATTATTTAATCTTTTAGTGCAATATTTAAACCTACAAATATCATCAAAAGAAACTTCCCTTTCATTGGCTGATTATTTCACAAAAAGTAACTTGTTGAAAGGTAACAGGTTGCTGTCCTAAATTGCTCTAAAAAGCAACTTGCTTTCCTTGAAATAAAGTTTTCCTTTTTGTTTCTATTCATATTTATCTACAGAAAGCTCACCTGAAAATTACCAGGACAGCTGTTTACTACTCCCCTGCTAAAAGTCTTGTGGCCAGGCCTGATGTTGGTTATGTCATTTACACATAAATGCATAAAATTTAAAAAGACCCAGAAACAATTAGAACTATTTAAATCTCAAACCTGAATACAACTCATATTCATAACACAACTGATCCAACCTAAACTAATGACATAATTCATTATCAGAGAAACCTAGGCAACAAAGCCACCCACAGAAAAATAAACGTGTTAAATGTGCTGAAAGATAACCTCAATTTTCTTTTAAAAATTGAATCTTTTTCAAATTTTTGTAAAATTTAAATATTTGAAAACTGTAATTTTTCTGTTCTCCCTCCCCCTAATTATTATAAGGGACAGGGACAGTTTCAAGCCTTCGTAACTAACTATCATGGAAAAATGTTTGCTGAGTACAATGGCAGATTTTTCATAAATTGGTTAAAGATTCAATTTTTAAAAGAAAATTGAGATTAACTTTCAGCACATTTTACACGTGGGTAAAGTGGTAAAAACGTCCAAAATAGGCCTAAATCTAGCTGTGAGGCACGTTTGTTGTCTTATTCTTGAATTCTGATTGGCTAATGGGCTATGCAGGATTTTGGTTGCTCAGCCAACCAAAGATTTGGAACCTATGCTAGGCAACAAAGGACATTGTCAAATTTCTTTAAGAGATGCTAGTCACCTCCTTCAACATCCACAAATATTAGTTTATTGCAAAAGGACATTTTTGCTCTGGACAAGCCAGAGTACAACTGAGCAACATCTTACCTCTCTGCTGTACCTCTCCTTATCCTTGTTAGCAAGTTCTGTATAGCTTGCCTTGTCATTTTCATCCATCTCTCTCCATTTTTGACCACAAATTTTTGCTACTTCTTGAACATTTCTAGTATCTTCTCCCCTTTCCTTTAACTGTTTTCTGTACTGACTGACAAAATAAATGTAAGCAGAAGCAGGTTTCTTGATTCCATCATTAGCCTTCTTACGCCTCCTTTTCTTCTCATCACCGCCCTTATCAGATTTTCTCTGCTTCTTTGCTGGTGAAAGTTTTTGCTGCCTTGCTGCCTTTCTTTTGCCTTTATAAATCAGTTTATAATGCATAAGACAATGCATAAGACAATGCATAAGACCTATCACCCTGGCCTTCACATAACAAAAACCGTATTACATTACAAAAAACAAAGCTTAATTGTGTTGGAAGAAAATTTTTAGATCATTCTGTTACTGTAAATTTTCAAACTAGTCAAGTTAAAAAAGAAGCCCCTCCCTCCACCTAAACTTAGCCGCACATTTGGAGAGAACATTCCCTCAAACAAGCCTCTACCAACAGGTTCGTGAGAAGGGCATGCACATGTAATCTGCATGAACTTCTAAGCCAATGTGTTAAAGTGACTGAAACCAAACAACTATTAAGATATAGAAAAATCACAGGCAGAATTTTTCCTTAGTGTATGAATTTGTGAAATATGAAATGCGAAATATGAAAAAGCATGCAAAAGTATTATGGTAGTGTCTCTAACACTAAACTGCATAACAATGACAATCAGGCCCCTTCTTATTGATTATGCAGAAGTTAGGGTGGTTCAAGGGTTGTCCAACCTCAGAACATGAAAAAAGCTTATTCATAGGGCAAATCTGCAATGAAAAAGTATGTTCTCACAGAGAAAGACGAAAGGGTTAATGGAATATCTAAGTGGTTCAAAAAATATCTTGAAATATAATCTCCAGTTCAGAACACAATTGGGGTGAATGTTTTTTATCATTGGAAGAGAAGCCGGGTACACTGCAGTGTACTGCTTGCTTAAGCAACAGCCAAGATAGGACCATCGGTTCCAGGGGCAGGGCTGGCAAAATGTTTTTGAAAAGGGGGCAGTGCAAAATGCTTACAATTTTCAGGGGATTAAAGAAGGTATGCCACCATGGTTGCTGTAAGAAAAGTTTTGGGAACATGATTTCAAAGTGATCTAAATAATTTACAACATCTGTTGTTACCAAAGTAGATCCTAGGCAATATTTGCATGCTTTCCTTTATAATTAGTGCTCATAGTTTAGTCTGATGTGATTTTGAAATAAAAATGGAGAAGAAGTTGCAAAGTTTTATCATAAACTTTTACCCTTTGACTTCCTTAACAATTTAAAATTTTATTTCAGAATTATTTTTGAAAAAATGACATTTATCTTGAACTGGCACTGGAAATAAGCAAAATTGAAAACAACAACCGTTGTCTTTAAATACAGCTTTTATAAAAAAATAATAAATTTCTTATCTACCGTCTATGAAAAGTTTTGGCAAAATAAAGCAAAATACACCGGAAAATAATCAAAATTATTAATTTTCAGACACAATCCATCACGCCTTTAAAATGGACAGTATAAGAAGCACTTTCTAAGTGCATGTATGCCAATCTTCCACCTGTATAATATGTGAACATTTTTCCAACATTCCTACAATTCGATAGTTATGGCAACTGCACAGTTGGACGAACGGAACTTTAGAGAAAAAACATCTGATTTTGTGTAAAATTCTTTCTAAAGCAACTTAAAAAGATATAAATACAAAAACTAGCTATAAAAATGTTCAGAAATGCTTAAGTTTACATAGGCCGAACCCTACTACCACTTCAGTATGCTACCCTTCGCTTCCCCTTTTGAAGATCCCTTCCTCTTCATCAACGTCAATTGAAGAAAAAACAAAATGGCGAATTACCGAATCAAAGGTAAACCAAGTAACACAGCTTCAATCTTTCGTATTTTGTTACATTAAAAATTACATTTTCCATAAAGAAAGCAGTGATGCTTGAAAGTAAGTTGTTATTCCCATTACCTTACGATCACGGCCGCTCTGAAGAAAGTTTTCCAGACTGTTATATTTTGGTTGAAATTTCCTTCTACAATCGAGAAAATGGCGCACCTTCTTCCCCAGCTCGAAACCCGAAGCTTTGGCTACAATGCCATCAAATTTCAACAGAATATCTTCGGGAAACCGAACAAAAATCATAACCTTTTAGTACGGTGTACTGTCCTAGTACTTGTTACACTACATGCAGTCGAGTTCTGAAACAGGGTTTGACCGTATAGACGATAGACTTGTCCAGTGTAGAGATTCATTGCAGTAGTAAACCTTCATACAAGAATCCTATACATAACTGTAGTGAACGGTGGAAACAGGCTTCAGTACGAGGTGGGTAGAGTATGAGATTCTGCAATTAAAATTTGGTAAATAAAAGGAAATTTGTAAATACCTTCCATATTGCTAGAGCTGAGCTTTTATTGCACGATTTTCACGGTTTGCCTTCCTTCTCGAAAATACAGTCGTCTTCTTGGCGATCGAAATTGCAAGAGGGCTTTGACCGCGTGAGAAGGATCTCCAAAGACGAAAACATTATCATGTCTGGAACCCAGTCCACGTAACACAATAGACCGCGGCAATTTATAACCGCGCCATGTTCAAAATTTAATACTGCGTGAAGATGGCCTTGGAAAAGACAACAGTAACTTCACTTAGATCAGTGATGTTTTTGGTGGCTTTAATAACCAGAAGTAATCATCAAACTGTATTACAATTCTTGGTGGACAGACCTGATCCTAAAAATAGGTTTTGAGTTGACAACACTGGCTTTGTAGCAAATGAGGAACCCCTCTTCAATCAATTTCTGGTTCTGGAAGAGTGTTATAGATTTAGAATTTTAGCTTGGAATAAAAAAATATTTTCAAATGGCCTTTTGCGCTTGGGCGTAATATTCAGAATCATATTCTACATAGTTATTGTGCACGGCTAGAAAAGTTACTTTTTTTTCTCAAATTTTATACTAGAAAATTATTCTTTTGCGTTGATGGTTTATACCCAACACCTGAGCACCTATATCCTAGGTATATTTGGGTAACACCCGCCCCCTCTTGGATTGTTCTGATCGAACTTTAGACCTAAAAAGACACAAGTTTTATCCTAAAGAAAAAACTGGTTTAAGTAGCAAATTGACAAAAAATAGCAAAAAGGAGTAAAAAACGAAGCTGAATCTCCAACAAGCAATTAATGGGCAACTCTGACCAATATTTAGTGACTTATCATCAACTGATATGCTTTCTAAATTTACCTAAGCCTGACCCGAAATGTAAAGGAATCATTAAAAAGTATATTTTGGAAGAAATGTCCAAAAAGAACAGTGCTTGTGATTTATGTTTATACTGCAAAAATTGAGATTAAAGATGGGCAACAAATGAGGTGAAAGGTGGACAGCTTTGGTTTTGCAAAGTTGCTAAAGAGTTTTGCTTGCAGCAAGGAAGATATATGACAGTGTTGTTGAATAAAGGAGAATAAAAGAACGATTAAGGAAGGCATCAGTGATATATGAAAAGAAATGGATCCTACGGATGTTATTAGACTGCAAGTTTGTTTCTTCCTTTCATTAAAACACCTGATTTCTCACTGGATTTTTTAGGATCAAAAGGAATTAATGTGAAAAATAAACGTGAATTTCTTATAAATATTTAAGTGAAAAAGCGCTGAAAGGCTCCTTTTTGCCTATTGGCCCAGTGGAAAAATCCCCCCCCCCCGTCCACCCATCTCAGGGTTAGTCTGTCTTTAGAACTCAGCCGTTTTCAGCCCAATTTGCCAATCACAGACATTTTCATCATATCGCAAAAAAATCCAAATAGAAATTTGTAAACAATAAATAACTGAAAAGAAATGCAAAACGTTCAAAAATACTTTCTAGCATTGTAAATAATGTTGTAATTCAATTACCTCTTGAAAGACTTTTCATCGAAAGGATTCATCTTTCAACAATTAAAAAAATAAGATTACATACTTATAAATTTGGGAAGAACAGTTTTGATTTAGCTTTTGGAATTTCTCGAAAAAACTTCTGAAACTGGACTTTGTAGATTTGAAAGCAAATTATAAAACTGAGAGGTAAAATAAAATAACAGAGACAGTGTAGCTTCGTAATCTAATTGATCAAAACTCGTGCTTTATCTAGGCTCTAAAATAGAAAAAAATGATAATAAATGAATGCTTCCAGAGCATTTTTACTTTACATAGATATGACATAAAGAGTAAATAGTGAAAAGACACTGATAACATAAAACGTAACCATGAAAAGCTTACACAAAAATTCAAAGTCTCAAGATGAACAGCTTAGACAAAAATACCAATAGAACTACTTAAGAGAACTGAGAGTTCAAGGCCTACGTATACTTGTTTATTTTTTCTTCTAAATCTCCTTATTGTTTTTCTTCTTTTACATCTGGCAACGTTACGCATTCGCATTTTTGTGCTGGTCTCCATCATTTCCATCATCATCTCCACCGAATATTTTCATTCGGATCATTAATATAACAACAATAAACAAATAAGAGGGAACAAATCACAGGTTACGCCGAGGCACTTACTCAAATTCCAAATACAAATTAGGTTCATAGGGACAGCCCTGAATCGTAACAAGAGGCAAGGCTCAACCAATATTTGGCTTGATTTCTACAAACAGCGGGCGCAAAGTCCATGGCTGCAAAATCGTACTTTCGTCTCGAAAATGGCGAGCGCCCTTTGAACAAGCTTGCTTATTCGCTGATTCATTTACATATCTCTATACCAAATTTAAACTACGTTATCAGCTAACTAAGCAGTGAACTTTAATCATAACTAATAACCAAAACTGAAATTTTGCTTAAAAAATCTTTTAATGAATAAAGCTTATGAAACACATTAGTTCTATTTTCTTTTAGTTAGCACCATACTTTAAGCTTTAGAGGCATTTAACTAAGTGCATATCACATTCTTTACTTGTTCTGAATAGCTTCATGGGCTGCCAATTGAATGGGAGGGAAGACGTGATCGAAAGAGTAGATACCTTGGCTAGATTAAAATGGGATTTCTATACTGCAAATGTATCAGTTAAGGAGGTTTGTATATTTTGTGATGAGAAACGAATAGAAGTCACTATCATAAAAGTTTTCTCCAGGAATCTTAACCGGTATGTACTCAAAGGGAGATAGAAATATAGATTGAATGCTCGTGACCAATGAAGTTAAATACAATAACGGAGAACTAGTAGCAATCTCAATTAAATCTTTTGTGGCTAAGATTAACAATCACAGAAGATATGGAAAATTAGGAGCGATTATTTCGTTCAACCAAACAGACTTTAGTTTACGATTTTGTTCACTTCGTCCAAGATTTTTCCAGTGATCTCGATAGCTTCTTTTGCCATCTGACTGTTATATTTGTCATGTGGTATCTCAGGATATATCCATTGATCAGGGTATCGCATAGCAGTAGAACCCTTAACTAAACCCTCCAACTCAGCAGCAGCTATCTCCAAGGTGTTTTGTCCGCTCAACATCGCAATATGCCTGAGACGGTGATGTCTAGAACGACAGTCTTTTTTCATGTATGCAGCAGCTTTCAATGCCTTTTCTGCTGCCTGTAATGAATTATAAAAAGCAATAGGAGCAATTGATTAACAATTGATTAGACTAACAGGAGCAATTGATTAGCATATTATTATACACTGCTTTTAAATATTTACTAACATTTTTGTCTTTCTACGAACGAAACAGTAAGTCCCTGTTCATGAGTTGTGGATAATATCTAAACACGAATTTGGTCAACATAGGCCATATCAACCAAAGAGGAAAACTACCAAACAAAATCCCTCTAAAACCCATAATCCTTTTTAGACCGGGGCAATGAAATGAACTAGGGAAACAGGAGAAACTGCCCACCCCCCACTTAGTAGCAAGCATGTGAAAATTATACCATTTCAAAACACCTAATCAAATCATTCATTTTCCAAAGGGTTTATTCTTAACGAACTGATTGGAAATTTGATCAATAGCTGCTAATGGTTCTAATTAGAGAATATGCCTCCTCTGAGTGGAATTGACTGCACCCACTACATTCCAACGTTTTCACACTATACTGATGTTGCCGTTCCTTAGAATCTATTAAAAGAGTGATGTTATACTCAATAGATTTATATTTACTTTATTTGTTTATTGAGGTGCTGATTTTTTTATTTATTTGCCTGGGGTGCTTTCTTTGTGTTGTTTAATTTTTGATAAACTGGAGTAACAGACCTTATGTACGGAAATCACTCTATGAAAGGGAGGATACGATACAGATGAACAGATCTATAGAGAAACTCAAGGAGAAAGGACGGACGAACCAGGAAAGAAAGAACGAACCCATAATTGAAAAAGAAAAGAGAATACGAGAAGAAAAGTACTTAGGTGACGAATAACAATTTTATCATTCTAAAGAACATTGAATTTAAAGGACTCTTGAACGGATCAAACTCTTAACTGATTTATTTTGTTTTAATATTAGAGTAACTTCCTGATTTGCTTTATCCTTCCGAAATTGGAACCCTTTCTCTATATACATACAGTCCTCTTATGATTAGATTAGAATCTGTTTAGAATCTTTGGAAAAATTTCGAGCTAGGGGGGCGTATCATGTTTTGCTAGATGTCAAATTCTTAGGAGAGGGAATCAAAAAACTCCTCAACATGCAGGCACGTAAATAATAGGGGGGCGTGGGGGGCGTAACGCCCCCCCAAAGTTTGGAAAATCCAGTTACAGTTGGAAAACTTAACGGTTGACTTGGAATTTTTTTCTTAAGTCCAAACTTGTGAATTTTATATTTTAAGAAGCTTTTTTATTTCAAATGTAAAAATTCTAAACATCAAAATTCACAGGCTGAAGCTGACCCATCCAATAATCGTTTTCTATTGTGAATCCCGTCTCCACTGGATCCAAATTGCACAATTGCCCCGTTTGCTTTCTTTCTGACGGGAGTTGAATCAAATTACGAACAGGCAAGGTGAATTTCCGGATAAGAAACTTGAAACTTTACAGTTTGGAATAATAATACCCGCATTGATCAGAAAATATTAGAGTGGGAGTTTTTTAAGAAACTACGAGTAGTTAATTCAATAAAAGATTAAGAATCTTTCAGTACTAAAAATTCTCAACGCTTCTTATAAAAAACGAATTTATGCTAAAATCCCCCTGTTATTTGTTAACGTCCTTGACTCCTTATCATAAATTCCTATGACAAAACTGCTGTGAAGCAAGAACACATTGCAAATCTGCAGTAGAAGCATTTGATCAAAAAAGAATGTTTCATCTTTCGAATCAGGCATATGCACAAGTTTGCTCTCAAATCATCATTCCAATTGTAAAGAACGAAAAGGCATTTGGTCCTCTAAAAATATTAGTAGTTTTCTTCGATCAAGAACGAAAATAAAAGGCTCAAATTCTGGGTGCTTCTATATCGCGAAAAAATGTAGGTATTTTAGATAAATAGATCTGCATCAATTGATCAATTGATCAATTTAGATAAAATTGATCAATTGATCTGAAAAAATACTACTAATCATTAAGTATATCTAATACTGGTTTTGCTTGAATGTTGCTTCACTTCTTACAGTAAGTTTAAATTTTTGTTTCATGGTAATCAAAATTTAGAGATTTAGGCTTTTATGCTTTAGGCTAATTGTTGTGTAAGGTTTTGGTAATTATAAAGAAAATAGAGCTATGGTGTTCGGGCTATTTACAAATATCAATTTGGTGGGTACAGATTTACTGGTCGCATGAAAAATTTCTCACTTAAAGTTGGAATTTTCATCCTTCCACGCCCCTCCAAAAAGAGCAACTTATTTTCGTCCCTGTAACATGTATGACAGGAGGTTAATCGTTCTTCAGTGTCGCCAGCCTAACTTTTGCAGTAACATAAACACTTAATCATTCAACGTGCAATTGAAGTCGAAAATGAATCTGAATGGTCAAATGGAGTCAAACCAATCAATAAATGTCCAAATAAATCACAGAGTAACGATTTTTCAGCTTTTCTAGAGCGAGTCCACCCCGTTGAATTAAATTTCAGTACTTATTTTAGTAATTCCTCCTGACTGGTGCAATCATATTAGTAAATTTAAAGATTGAAAAAAGTCCGTGAATTCGTAAAAAGATGCGTTAGTTTAACTGACCTGGTGACATGTAAAACAAATCCATTCACAATAGTCCACAGCAACGCTATTTGCGGCTTGGTAATCGTACTTTGCTTGACGATACCACCGTTTTGCTTGACCAGGCTGTGGGTTTTCTGCTTCTTCTCTTGGCACCCACCAGTCTCCTTTGCGTGTAAAATTATCAGCTCTTTGTGTTCTGCTCCTCGCAAACACGCCACCTCTCTCTCGATATCTCCCTAATGAGCTTCCAAAGTTCCAGAAGGCATCAGTGCTTGTCTTTGCATGGGCTCTACGCAAACGATCAACTTCCTGTTGTATAAATTGAAATATTTCCGTGCAAAGTTTTTCCCGTCCAGGATTCTTATCTGGGTGCCAAAGCAACCATAAGCGTTTTATAACTCTCTTAGCATAGGCTTCACCACGTTCAAAAGCACTCTTTAACTCTTGAGCAATCGCCTTAATGATTTCCTCTTTCGTTTGTGATTCATCCACTTCCTGAAAATCAATCTCTCGTAGGAATTTGTAGAGCTCTGTTTTATGGGCAGTCTTGGACTCCACACAGCCTACATCGATTTTGTAGAAATCGTCTGGCAACACTTCCTCGATGACTGCGTATATATAAATTGGCTCTCCATTCTTGTCCTCCATTGCCGGATCCTCAACTTCAAATGCGACGTATTCACCAACTTCAAAAATTGCAATGTCATTGCTTAGAAGGCAATGTAGAACAACGGGGACGAAGTCTCCTTTAGTGTAGGGTGCATTGTAAGAGCTTATGAAAGAGCCATCATTTCGTATTCCTTCTTCATCCAGATATGCATGCAGCTCTCCAATCGGTTTTGTAAGTATATCAACAAAGAAAACAGCAAGCGAAGGATTGGTTAAAGTAGACCTAAAAAAGTCTACGACCGCTCTAGCTACTCTAGTATCATATTGCTCTACCGCAGCAACAGCAGCCAAGTTGATTACCAGGCTGTCATCCGAAATCTCAATGTAGATATCACGACTCTTGATGCTTCCTTCGATGATGCTGCCAGCTAGGGAATACAAAGCAGTTTTGATCTCTCTTTTGCTAACAACACTTACATTTGCCAATAACTCATGAAGTTTTTCTGCTTGGCTTGTGACTTCTTTATCTTCAGTCAGTTGGTGTTGCAGAAGGCGCAGAATGCACGAAACTACTTCTTCGCTATTAAAGCGCTCCTCCAATTCCTTTGCAAATCCCTCATTTGGCAGTGTTTCAGAGGGTAGCATCCTTTCTTCTATCAGTTGGCTGAGTTTCTTAGGTCTTATACTTTCTGGCAGTCTTTCTACAAACTGGCGCTCTTCAGTTGCTTCGACATTGAGCTGCATACGGGGCTTATTAAAACTTCCAAGCCGATCTTCAAGATGATGGTCGTCAAAATAGACAAGGTCTTGGGACTCGAAAAGTCGGATGGTCTTACAGTTTTGACGATAGCCTCCCAGCAAATAAAGCTTTGTAACGCTATCTGGGAATTGAACTTTCTTAAGCTGGAAAATGATTTTCTTCATAGATCGCCGCACAAGTTTCGCTTCGTTTGGATCCATCTCTCTTTCGTGGCAGCAAGACTCTAAATCTTCCAGTACTCTAGCTAGTTGCTCAACAGTTGGCTCGGCAGACATTCCGATTTTCTTGAAAAGCCCCGCATACTTTCCTAATTCGATTGGCATCGAAAATATGTATGGGGGGTGGTCCCAGCCAGGCTTCAGAGTAACCTTACTTGCAATGGATATCATGTTGCTTTCAGTCAACACAAGTGGAATCGCAGCAAGCCTAGCACATGTCTGTTCGTCAATTTTGTCAATGTCGTTATTTGAAAATTCATAAGACGAGTCAAAAACCGATCTGAAATGTTGCTTATACTTTAAGTCATAACACTTGACACCCTTTCCTTTTGGCGTCAGCAAATCAGATCTACTGACGTTGGCAAGATTCTCGGCAACGATGCTGCAGCTCATTTTTTTAACACCGAGCTGTTCTAATGGTAATTCAGTATCAGGGAAATAAGTTTTTGTATAGCTTGGAAGAATCTTTGTTACTGTCCAAGCGAGCTTGCAATTGTCAACAAAGTGATCATACTCTATAGAGCCTTGAAAAGAGAGACGTTCTTGAACATTTTCTGGAGTCTTGATTTCCAAGAGCATCTTCGGAATGGGATCAGAGAGCATAAAAGGTATCACACTAACTTGTCTATGAAAATTGACATTTCTTTTTAGATCATCAGAGCTACGGAAGTATTCAATAAGACACTCTGCCTTTTCTTTTGCATCAGATTTGTCAGATATGTTAGATACTTTTTCAGCGAATTCACAAAAGTGTGATTGTGATACCTTGGAGATAAGACCAAGCATTTTGAGGAATTTCAGCCAACGTTCACTGCAACAAGATTTTGGTGGAAAATCTTTATCTTCCAGCATCAATTTGAACAATTTCACTTCCGGATCGAAAAAACTTGATGTGGGTAGGAGACTTCCGTCTCTTTCAAAGTATCCTATCGAACGTAGCGTAGAAAAAATTGAAGGATGATATTGGTCATTCCATGTCCACTTGTCTTTAAGAAAAGTAAGATGTTTCATCCGTTCTTCAGCCGTGAATGAATGAAATGCTGGAAGAATCACTTTACGATATACGTCATCATCTTGGCTACTTTCGATGCCAATGGAGGAATACAGAGATCGTAAGTTTCCATCTTCCTTTAAGAGCAATGTATTCGATGAATCTTGCAATTTCGAAATTCCAGCCTTCGGAATCTGATCGGAAACAAAGTACCAACGAGAAGCTTCAGTTAATGCTTTCAATTTCCCTTCCAAATCCTCCCAAACCTTTAAACGTTTTAGCTGGGAAATCTCCACTGTCAGTCTTGCTTGTCTTTGAAAGAAGTGAAGGAGTTCACTGGCACTTTTTTTTGATAAGCAAGTAAACCTGGAGTCAGATCTATTCGTGTCATACACCAAGGCATCAAGAAATGCTACAGGGTCCTTCTCATTAGCAGCAAATTTCCGAAGTAGCACGTTTACTCGTTCGATTTCCAAGTTGCACAACTGTTCTTTCTTTTCAACTTTTGTCAACAAAGGCTCGTAGCAGGGTTCCGCTATTCCAATTTCTTTTATGATGTCTGGCACCTGGTAGGTAGGCCCTATGGCAAAACGAGCCAGGCTGATTTTTGTCAGATAATATTTTGAAGGCTTTTGAAGCATGCCGGTTTGTCGTCTGATTGGAAAAATACACCACTGCAGCATCCAACTCAAAAATGTTTTTGGACTATCATCAGGTTTTGAAAATGAAAAGTGGTTGATGGATTTTTTAAGGTTTTCCTTCAATTGTCCATACTCCCTTTCCAAAAAAATCCAAATATCTCTCAACCAACTCTTTGTTGGGAACATTCCATGTACATTTTGTTCGGTAATGTCGATCTCTTCCATCTCTCTCAACCAACGCTCAGAATCTTCTTTCAGTGCCTGATCAAGACTCTCTAGAGTCAGTCTTCTTACTGGGCCTCCCACGTTGTCCTTGCATTCTTCCAAAACATCTTTCATTCCAATGTGAAGTGTGCTCCGTTTTCTCATTGGGCACAAAGTAGACAAATAATCGTAATACACGAACTTCTTGCTATCAAATACTCGCAGCATGTTGTCTTCAGTTACTAACAATGGTAATCCTTCTAAGTCAAGTTTCTCGTTCATTTGCTTTTCATCCCCCTTCTTATTAAGGTCTTCGTTCATTTGGCAGTAGCGCAACAAATTCCTTACTGTTTTCAAATCTGCAAAAGCTGATTTTGTCAACGGAATTGCATCTTTACCGGATAGAACAGAATCTGCGTTTTCTTTCAAATATTTTGCAACAATCGCAGGACTAAGCCGCTCCAGCGGTACTTTAAATTCATCAAAGCCTCTCACAATATGTTCTGGCACACTATATATATTTAAGCCACACTTTGCTAGTGCAATGCAACAGGCGGGTTTGGCTTTTTCATCGGAAAAAAGTGAATTTTTAAAAGATGGAATGTAGAACTTCTTTGATTCTGAACACGGCGGGTAGAAGTCCAAGCCAGGAGACTCAAGGGTGTTGTCATACTTGAGTGCGGGTAAGCAGTCTACTTCACCTTCTTTCAGTTGTTTGTAAAAACGGACAATAAGCTCTTTGTCATACTCATGTGCCTCTTTGTTACTATTGATTTTAGGGAAAAGATGGAAAAACCGATTTAAATCAGGGGGATGGAATGGCCTATCAGTGAAGATTTTAGTTTCAAAATCCTCCTTCAAATTGCGCTGTTCAGGCAGAAATATTTTTCTCAGATGGTTGACATCAGAGCGAATGAGCTGAACATAGGATGGCAATACACAATTATCTATGATGTAGTAGTTCCAACTTGTTTGATAGCCATCGCCATTGGTGTACCATAATCGCCTTCGAGATTCGTAGTCCAAGATAAACTTTCCGTTAATATGAACTGGGAGGCTGCTAGTTACTGCCAATGGCAGAAGGCAATATACTTTCCCATTAGGGTTACGTTTGACACTGGCTTGTTCTTTATGTGCTATTCCACCAACAGGAATCAAAGGGAACTCTTTATTTTTGTACTGCTCTTCGATCTCTTTTGGCAGATCTTGGCTGTTCAACGATGCACACTTCTGGACAATCTTCCATCTACCCTCATTCTTGCCATCACATTGCAGATCAACCATGTATTCAAATGGCTCATGATCTCGCTCGGCATTACTTCTATCATATCTTGATTTTACAAGAGCTAGGCAATCAGAATTCATCTTTTCTAATTTCTGATCGGAATGGAAAGAAAGTTTTGCATTGACTGAGGCGATGCAGTGAAAATTACCATTTTTATCAATACGATTGAGCTTTACTGATCTGACCTTTTGAAGAAACAACAGTGCCTCAGAACCCTCCCTTTTGAAAGATTCAAACATATTGAGTATTTCTTCTATTGTTGTAGGCTCATTCTTTAAATCTGAACTCTTTGCCATCTCTTTGGTCCTAAGAGGCAAGCGAAATATGGCCGATTTCTTTTCTGTAAGTGCCTCTGGCAAAAATGTAGCATATATATCTTTAAAATGATCCCGTAAGTAATCTCTTGCATTTTCAAACATCCTTCCTGGCTCAGCTTCGGAACATTCATCCAAGAACCTAGCATGGGGATCAAATATGCAAAGAACGTCTTCACCTCTATCCTTTAAACCTGCAAGCAAACAAGGAACATCAGATATATGGTATACCACATTGAATCCAATACCATATTGCCCAGTTTTCAGTACATCGTTGGATTTGCTTCCTTCCCCAAGGTTTTGAATTCCCTGAATATCATGTTCAGTGAATGGAGCATCATTGTAGATCACGAGTGCTGGTCCTTGTAAGGGCCTCCACTTGTCCCCAAATATACTATCAGAAGGATGAAATCTCTCGTCTAGCACGAGCTTGACTGTGCTGGCACCAGCATCGTCTGCATTTTGCAATAGCTCGTAAAGAATTTGCAAGTTTGATGGATAAGCATCCAGAATCCTTTTCAGTCGCACTGTTAACTTCTCGTGTTGGCCAAAGGGTAAACCTCTTGACTGGGAGAGTATGGATTTAGAGCGAGCTGTTCTTGCTCCAAGAGCCAAGGCTAAATCTGGAGGAATATCTTTATGAAGGTATCTCAGTAGAGTATCTGTCTTAAACCAGACTGAATCTTTCACAAATATTGCATCTTTATCTCTTAAAATACTATTTTCATCTGGCAGGACAATATTTGCCTGCTGAGCGTTTGGTTCGCTCGCTTGGTTTTCGTCTCTGATCGACTCGAGAAGATTCCTGACTAGTTTTACTTGCTTGGACGAGATTTTTCTCGTTCCATAGTGGTTCTTCAGCTCTATTAATGCATTTTCATAATTTTGTAGTGTAAACGCTTCTTTTACACCCA